GTCACACTTCTGGAACCCAAATGCATTGACAATGACACATTTGCATGAATGTGCATCTTGTGCATTCATTGTTAATGCATTAACAGAACCCAACTTAAAGATGGCCGTTGAATGCAATCGATCTAAAGGAGGGCGCGGACATTTCCGAGAAGTTTTTACATTGACTTGTCTACCTCCCAGACCAATGTTTCTGCAACTCAATGTTATTTCTTGCGTCTTGGGTCTTAAATGCAACCTATGAAAAGTAGTGTGCAAATGAACAGATGTTTTCACTGGATGACGTCAGCCCGCCCCCACTTAAATGACCAACACAATTTTGGCAGGTAACCCTAACAATCCCCATCCAGTCAAACTCCAACACCAGGGTTCGTTGGAATCTGTTGGAGTGAGTACTGCACTAGTAAACTGATTATGCTTTACATTGGGTTAGGCATACCACCATAATCAGAGTGCAACAGTTTGAGTGTAGGATTTACCATATGGTGTTGGAATTTGCAGGAATGAGGAAGGGTCCTAGTAAATCACTCAAGGGGTTAGTGTGAAGCAAGTTCTAACTGTTCTACCAGCTGCATAACATTGGCCCGGTTGGTGGAAGCAACAAAATACTGCAATTACATGTATTCAATTACTGAAATTATGAGAGCCAGGGTAATGAACTTTTAATCAAATATTGAAAATATTGAGAACCAGGCAAGATTCAAAGTTCTTTTGAACAGATACTCAGATTCCTATACGAATTAGCTAAAGCCCATATCCCGAGGTTCAGTTCCTTCTATACAACATGTTACGTTTCAATATACATGTACATGTACTCGTCAGACTTGGAAAAGGACTCGATAGACCTTATTCATAAGGAAGCCATTTTCGATCGTGTTCCCTGAATCAATTTTATGAATTGTAAACTGTTGAATGGGATGGTACCACACTATTTAATGAAAGGAATGCATTCCAAGCCTCACTTATTATTTATTCATCAGAGCAGACTGGTGTTAATTTGTAATAAACTTCTTATGTCATTGCTTTCATTTCTACTCGCAAGTTCCAAGAAATGAAGACTTTACCCCGCTTTAAATTAAAGGGAATGTACATCATTGTTTTTTGCTGTGATTTTCAGAAATGAACTATTTGAGGGATTTATATAATAGATAAAATATTGTTACACTGACATGTTGGAAGTTGTGTGTTCGAAAATGCTGGAAAAACCAAGAAAAACAAAAATGTTCAAGTAGTCTGGTTCCCAGACTCCACTAAAGATAAAATGGATCAATTTATAGATGCCGGAAAATTGTAAGGTAAGGGAACCTGTCTAGCTGGCCTGCACCTGTTCATGAACATGTAACTAATAGCAAACAAAATTTGGACTGAAAAAAAAATTGGTAAATTTGGAGCAGTAGTGGAAAACTAGTCAGGTTTTTCCAACGGTTGTCGGCCGACCACCGTTGGAAATGTATACAAAAATATCATTTTCTTGAAAATGACTTCAAACCAGGTGCCATAATTTTACAGGATGCTTTAGACTGTCATTTACCAACATCCTATAGTAAGGTATTTCGTAAAAACTTGGTAGTTTTATTTTTCGATGTTTGCAAATGTTGTATATTCCCTTTAAACATGGCCGACTCGTGAATAAAGTCTATTAAAAAGTTACAACCTGCCATCAGGGGGAAAAAACATGGTACATAATTCTCATACTTGATCCTCGGATGTAGATGGTTTACAGTTTGACAGGTGAGAAACGATGATTCCTTATTACCCTCGGGCCATTGCCTCACTCTTTCATAAAGTTGGCCGCCTACACACAGCATTACCGGTGTCATATGAAAATCCGACTCCTATGAAAATCCAACCCCTTTTCCCTATTATTGGTAATAATCCTTCACACGTGACAGGTCACTCTCCTATATATATGCCTATAAATAGGCTATTATCATGCTTACGCATGCGCGACACTACAAACGAGTCCATATTTCACGAAGTCGGATATTCATGCTACACCGGACCTGGCCCAGATATTGCAATCCCCCAGACCTGGATATTGTATCCCACCTCTTGCTCAGCCCACTTTCTGTCATTGAAGGCTTAATCCATACTGAGGGGGATAATCAGGGGTTTTACTCCCCTATTGTCTCCCCTATCGTGCCTGTCGCGTGGGACTCACATGTTTGTGGCAGGTAGATAGGCTTAATGCCCAACAGATCCTGCGAATTAAGGCAGGGTGCGTGTTCCCCTTAAAAAGGCTGAAAGCTTTTACAACAACTTGATTACTAGACTTGTTTTATTAAATTGCTGGAAAAGAGGGGTGAAAAAGATGGGGGGAAACAGTCTGCTATCAAAGTTTATCAATTAAAAAAGAAGTCTTGCTATTAAATTTTAATGAAAATGTAAAGCCTTTTTAAGGGGAACACACACGCACCCTGCCTTAATTTGCAGGATCTGTTGGGCATTAAGCCTATCTAATTGCCACAAACATGTGAATCTCACGTGGCAGGCACGATAGGGGATGGGTATTTGAAAAGTACAAATCCTAATTATCAGGACAGATTAAATCTCCCATGATGAAAATCTGGGCTGAACAATACATGTAGGTGGGATACATAATTATCCCAGTGGGGGTGGGGGGGGGGGGGGGGGGGGGGGCTCCATTCATATTAATTTGTGTACACAAAATTGAAAGCACTCATTCAATACAGCAGTATTATACTGTTACATGACAACAAATACAATTGTACGCGATCATGGAGTGTGTTTGCCTTTGCCATTTTTTTTTATAGCTGTTTAGGGAGTTAAATTATTTTTGTAAAATCGTTATTTTCCATTAAATGTTTTCACATAGCGTTCTGCATGGCAGCTGCCATCTTCAATACTCGCCCAGCTGCACTCCACACGCACTTGGGCATTGGTAACTTGAGAACACTATTCGGGGTTAACACGAAAACGGGTTTTCGAATACTGTCTGTTTACTCCCAAAATCAATAACGAAAGTATTTTACCCATAAATGCAATGATAACATGGGCATTAATCCAAATACCGTCTGAAAAAAAGCATTCTTTAGCTTTTCTTACTTAGAATTCTCAAAGCCTGTTTAAAAAAAAATTGTACCCTGAAAAGGTCATGCATGCATATGTAAAAACACAGGTGAAAACTACTGTACTCCTGCTAGCGCAGGTGTGAACAAATCTTGCTACACTCGCACTAAAAAAACGACAAGATGTCTTCATGGTGCCTCTATCGTACAATGTAATCAATGTATGTACAACCTCATAGAACTGATGTGTGATAGAACTGGGGCATCGGGGGATCTTTACAGTTGTGAGAGAAAACGAGTTGAAAGCTCACCAGCCTGAAGAGAAGCCTGGCTCATCAGACAGGTGATTCTTTAGTTCAGCTAAGCTTCGTTAAAGAAAGAGTGAAGACATTTGAAAATCAAGTACATGTACATGCATCTATCAACGAAAGCCATGGGCACACTTCTAGGACATGGGTATTCGAAAACTGGCTTACATTGAGCCATCCAGAAAAAAAACAACCTTTTAGACCTACTGTAAGCAATTCATGAATTCAAAATGAGTCACGTTTTTTACAGATGATAATTTTAGGTCACCTTACAAAATGTGCAGGACTACATGTACATGTAGATCCATGGATGTTCTTGAAGCTGATACATGTACATGTTCACCATTAACTTCAGCTACAGTTTACCGGGTAGATAACAAGTGAGCATCCCTAAACCTTTCCTGCAGACAACTGTCACAAATCCAGCTGAGCTGAAACGAACCACGAAAAATTTCAGAATCTATACATTTCAACTACAGCACTGTGTCTTGGTGTGACTTTGCTTTTGGAGATCCACGCACGAATACAGGGCGAGTAAAAAAAAACGAAACCAAAATGTCGGGACTATTAGTTCTGCATGTAGCACAAAATCTAGGATATAAAAGCCCAATTCGTAACCTTTCTTTTAGTACAAGAATCATTCAAATCACTCATGTACTTTTCAAGTTGCGGAGTTTTAAACACAACCACCGTTTTAAAGTTCTATCCACGGATCACAAAAGAGGTGTTCGCTCTTTCAGCAAAACGAAAGCCATTCACGCACATCGCTATGAAATTTGTTTTCGTTTTGCTGAAAGAACACTTACCTTCTTGTGATCCGTGGACAGAACTTTAAAACGGTGGTTATGTTTAAAATTCTGTAACTTGAAAAGTACATAAGTGATTCGAATGATTCTTGTACTTAAAGAAAGCCTATTAATTGGGCTTTCGCATCCTAGATTTTGAAAGGGCTACATGCAGAACTTCACTAAAACAATGGTCCTGACATTTGGGTTTCGCTTTTTTTGACTCACCCTGTATCATCTGCACAGAAAGCACAGAGTATCATTGTCGAGTGCAAACATGCTAATTAGCATGTTGGCATTGGATTGGGCATTCTGCTTCAAAAAATGGCAAAATGCAACCAATCAAGTTTCCAAAGTCCATAAAAAAAATGTTTCACTTTGTTTTGATTTTGGTGCATGATCTTCATCTGTAATTGTTGGTTTTTTTAATAAAAAGGCAGTTTACAATATTACAAAACATTTATGTACACAGTTGAAGTTTTTTTGTTTACAAATTTATATTGAACATCCGTAAGGGATTTTGTAAAAGTGGAATTACTTAATTTGCATACTGCCTTGAAAACCATTCCCCCCTCCCCCCCCCAAAAAAAAAACCCCAATCCAGTCCATCTGTTAACAGAAAAGAGAATGAACTTTTGTTCACTATTCCACACTAGAACAATCCGAATGTAGATTTCAATGTGCATGCAATTTAACTTTAGGTTTTCTTTTATCATACCGTAGGGCTGTCCATTTTCGAATAATTTAGTATTCGATTACTCAAAACTGCATTTAACCGAATATTCAGATATTCGAAACTGCCAGCTGCAACTATGTGCTGCCCAAAGTTGCACCAAGAGTGGGCAAGTTAACATTTGTGTGGTTAAGCTCACCAGGGTTAAGCTCACCAGGGTTAAGCTCATCAGGGCATATGCAGGTGGATATTCGGTCACGCCTCACTCTCCCCAGTGCTTTGTGTTTGTTTGTTCAACAGTTTTGCTCTATGCTTGAAAGGGACATTACTGCCTGAAATCCCCAAACATTTTACATTTTGGACTGTTTACTAATCCCATTTCAAAGGTCTGGTTGAAAAACTAAACTAATGTTTTACTGTTAACGAGATAAGACGGTAAAAAGAAAACACTGGTTGTTTACTTCTGACGCGCCGCGCATTTGGATACGTACTTCCAGCCGTGCCCATCCAATGTACGGTACTCGTTGTGTGTGTGACACATAACACACACAGTGCCAATATACAAAATCAATGTTGTTTCTCGCACATCCGCAAAATGCGATGCACTGGTGGAACACGTGCGGCAGGATTCACAACTAGCGGCCAAACAGCTCGAATTTTGATAGTCAAAAGTTTGAACCCTCAAAATTCATTCTAACAAGAATAACACAAAACTCCCCGTTTTTAAAGGATGGTTGTCTGGATATTTTTATCCTACATTTAAATACTCTTTCCTATTAACATCAGTTCGTTTTAAATGCATTTTGTAGCCCAACTGGGCACATTTCAGGACGTAATGTCCCTTTAATACTGGTACTTTATGTCCCTTCTCCTAAAACTGACCTGCAGTGTTTTAAAGGGTTTTACATATTGCTCTGAATATTGAATTCCCACATAGGAGGGTCATGATCACAACTACAGGTACGTGTATGATTGGACAAAGCATCAAGGGGTGTGCTTAAAGGATCAGTCTATCCACAGGGGTGGAGGAAAAAAAGTCAGGATACCGTGTAACAATAAGCCAGTGTTGCAGCACTCAAACTAGAGTACTTTGTATTCAAAGTTCATACTAGTACTTGTACTCGGGTATTCCAACTGGTACCCACCATCCACAAGTACTCCACTACAACACTGCTACAGAACTGTGGATAATTACATGAAGTTGTGTACATAGTATACCATATCACCACATCAGTTCTAAGATAATATGCTGATAAGCCCGGTTCCTCAAGTGGAGGTTCCCATGTGTAACCTGGGTGCTGAGTGGGACCGTGTGGGCTCAATCCGGGCCATGACCATGGCAAACCACGACGCAACGTCCACCTTGGCTATATCATAGCGTTTGAAGAAGCTGTGCTCCTGGAGGGCAAGAACAAATTTGGAAGACAAAACAGGACGAGTATTAGAATGAGTTCAAATAACAACAATGTATGCATTTTTGCCTTGTGTCTGTGAACCAAATGTTGAAGATGAAAAATTACGTGCAAAACCGACACAGCGCTGTCTGCTTTAAGTCGAAATTGTATACATGTCAAAAACTGTTGAAAGAAGACACAATCTCATTTTAAAAGGTGTGCGTGATCCATCTGGAGTTTTCCACTCCATTCTTGGGGGTACAGCAGAATATATTTCATTCTTCAAATGTACACATACATGTACATGTTGCCACTTGTCACCACAAACTGACACCAAGTGGTCCCTGAGTTTTCTTGATTAATACAAAAAATATAATAACACATGTTACATGTACATACATGTACATTAAGCACGCACCATTATTAACGCGCAGTTTTGGTTTTCGTGACCTCACACGCAGGTTTAGAGTCGTTGTTTTTGTTACCATGAACTGAAACCCGTCTTAAGTGCCTTTCACCAGTTAACAGGGGTTTTTTTTTTTACGTCAAATGATTCTATAACCCCAAAAGTGCACGGATGGAGTAAAATCGTGTCGAACCTTTGAAAGCGTTTTCTCCAAACAGTATTTCTGCTAAAGTGCTTGCGAGTCTGTTCGTGAAAACCAAAAATAATCGTACACGCAAGTTCACGAAGTGCACATTGTGCATGTCAGTTCTTGAAAACAAAGACGATGTGCGTACATGTACAGGCAAATGACAATGTCGTAGAAAACTATCGCCGGTTATTTTTTTCACAAGTTGTAAATGTCAGCAACCTTTAAAAGACGGCTATCTGCTCATTTTGAGGAAAGACTGCTTGATCTGCTCATCTTGAGGAAAGACTGCTTGATCCGACAGGGATTTTTATTCTACCGGCCCAATAAAAACTATCGCCGTTTATTTTTTCACAAGTAGTAAAATGTCAACAACCTTTAAAAGAGAACTATCTTCTTATTTTGAGGAAAGGTGGCTTGATCTTACAGGATCTTTTTTATTCTACCGGCCTAATGATCCAACTCTCATCATCATTTTGAAAATAACGGAAATTGAAATGTACAAAACATGTACGCAGTTCATAAGGCCAATCTAAAAAATCCACAAAGTACAAGTACATGTACAAGTCGTGCACTCTCAGTATAATTGAACCTTATAATGTGATCCAGGGATCATATGGACATTACTGTATCCACACTAGTTTGGGCAAGTCACAGAAATTTAAGCCCATGTACTTGTCCAGTATGGTTCATACATGTACATAGTATGTACATGTAGCTATTAGTAATTTGTCTTCCACCTGCTGGACGTCATCAAAGCACAATGATGTAAAAATGGCATTAAACAAAGATGCCCATTTGAGAAAAGAGCATCTGCATGAGGAAAGGCACTGAGTTTTTAACTCCTTGCCATTTCCACCTGCCGACAAAACCTTCTTTAATGACCAAAATTCTGTGTTTGTCAAAAGTCAGAAAACTTTCTCGAAAGAAACGTTTGGAAGTTCTATATTAAAGGGAAGATACAACATATTTGCAAACATCAAAAAATAAAACTACCAAATCATTTTGAAATACCTTGCTGGACTGTTAGTGAATGACAATGTAAAGCATCCTGTAAAATCATGGCACCTGGTATACTGTCATTTTCAAGAAAAGTGGTATTTTTGTATCAATTTCCAACGCTGATCGGCCGATCAGCGTTGGAAAAAAATGGCTTTTTTTTCAAAAAATGGCCCCAGTTGACCATCGCACTTGTTTGCAATCGATTACACACCTATGAACGGGTACAAGCCAGCTAGACTGGTTCCCTGACCTTACAATTCCCCAATATATGTAAACTGCTCTGTTTCTTCTTAAATGGAGTCAGGGAACCAGACTACAGGAAAATGATTGTTTGTCTTGGTTTTTATAGCATTTTCGAACCCAAAACCTCAAAAAGTCAGTGTAACTATATTTGCTATATATTTCCAACCCCCCCAATTCCATCCATTTCTGAAAATTACAGCAAAAGCAAATGATGTATATTCCCTTTAAGCCCTTTTCACACTAGAGCCTCTCAAGCCGGGTTGAACTCAACCCTGGGCGAACCCACTGCCGCCCCAGGGTTGAGTTTTTTATTTTTCAACCCCGCATTCAACCTTGCATTGTTTCACACTTGTTTCATGCAAATCAAGTTTATCATGCTCAGTTACTACTGTTTTGAACCCCTGGCAAGAATTTCAACCCAGATCTTAACCCTGGTCTGCAGCAGGGTTGAGTTCAACCCGGGGCGAAATCAATCTCAGGGTTGACGCAGGGTTGACGCAGGGTTGACGCAGGGTTGAAATTCTTCAAGTGTGAACCGATGCATGTTTTCAACCCTGCATCAACCCCGAGATTTGTCTAGTGTGTAAAGGCTTTATACTGACTTGGGGCTGTCCAGAATACCAAATTTTCGGATATTCGATCATCAACTGAATATTTGAGTAGCTTTTTGTCGGTTTGAATATTCGGAACAAAAAAAAACTACATGTACACGACTGTGATGTTATTTTATTGTTCAGTCATTGTCAGTAGAGGTGCTTCATTGTCAGATGCCCATTTTTAGTCAGCGACTGTTAATTGTTCCCACCCTTTCAGCAGGTTAAAGCCCTTGACAAAATACTTTTCTTGCATATTACAGCACGCAGTTGAAGCTGGCAGTTTCGAATATTCGGTCAAACTCAGTTTTGAGTAATCCAATACTAAATTATTCGAAACTGGACAGCCCTATACTGACTACATTATATGACTTTTTAGCAATTACTGTAGCGTATCTCGTTACGACATACAATGTACAGCAATCAGGATGAGAGGGTTTGTTGTCTATGGCTCGAGACATATGAGCGTGGTGAAATGAAAAAATTCTTAAAAAACAGAAGTTGGAAGAACTTGAAATTGAGACTGATTGCTTTGCTTGGGGCACTTTGGTTTAAGCTTGGGCAGCCTTTGTTTTGACTGGTGCATAAACAGCAACTGAAAATGGATGGATTGGTTCAAAGATGGAATGAAGACCTTCAACCAAGGGTCACACCCTCAAACAGAACTATATGCCTTCAACTTGTCCAAGTTACGAGAATAATCGATGCCCCCAATATACCGATATTCGATCATGAACCCAATACTCAAATAGCTAGCTTTCTGCTGGTTGGAATATTCAAAAGATAAACATTACATGTACACACACGACTGTGATGTCATTTCAATCGTAAAATTGCTGTGCTTTATTGTCAGACGCCACTTTTTGTTGACTTTAACTCTTGTTTTTGTCGACGGCAGTTCATCGTTCCCATTCTTTTAGCAGGTTAAAGCCATTGCCTGTAATAAAATGCTCACTGCAAAATACTCCCGCGCCCCATAAAATCAATTGCCGCGCGCACATTGTAACCGTCCCGATTTCTGTGCAACTTTTGCCAGGTGCGGCATGCAGTTGCAGCTGGCACGTGTAAACTTGACCGCTGAGTTTTGACTATTCAAATATAATCGAATACTAAACTATCGAAAATGGAAAGCCCAAAAGAGAATCCCTCAAAGACTGGAGGGGCTGGAGGGGGTGCGGCCTCATTTTAGCTACATGTACATGTAGGGGGTACCCTTTTTCTCCTGTCTCAGATCTCCTTTGTTACTAATCCGTAGAGAGAAAAGGGATGAGTACAGACACACAAAGGGAGAACAACAGATCCTTTCAGTCCTCGGGCGTTGGGTCTTTTTTTCCAAAATGGTCCTCTGTGGTAGGTTTGTGTGCTTATATAGATAGACTACGAGTGTTATAATACAGGGACATTGGAAAACACAAAGCATTGTCCTCGGGAGTATAGTAAAACAAGAGAGTGTGCATGTACATGTGTACACATAGCATCGATTTTAAAAAAAGTCATCTGCAGTCCTCTTCTGCTTTCAGTATTAACAATTAATTTAGAAACAAAATGACAATGGTGGGGGGGGGGGGGGGAGGGTATTGCCACTACCCTCCCATTCCTCAGATCGCCTATGCACATAGCCTGATATTGTTTATTGACTTAAGCATCCCACCGCGATCAGGCAAATCAAACAGTATAAAGGGGAAACTGTATTGGGACTACCCGGTACTACAATGTACTGTGCTGCATGTTGTGAAAATATCCTGCTTGCTGGCATGGCGGGGACAATCATTTTCTGAAATCTATACCGCGGTGAAAACGATGGCATCAAGTCGTCTCCACAAGGGTCTCCTGATTTGTTTTACTTGATCCTATTACAACTACTCCATTACTACATGTATGTCCCACATCAAAAAAAAAAATGAAAAATCACCCCAAACCGGGGCAGGCGGAAAGCTGATACTACTGCGCGCATCAGGAGCCTGTTGAAATGAAAGCCGAAAAATGTCATAAATTCATTCTAGGATTCACCGATTCCGGTCTAGGGTTCTGCCATTAAGTGGCCGCAGCGGCGAAATGCCAGTATAACTCACTATTACATTTTCTATGGTTTTATTTTATCGGTCAAAACCAGGGACGAAAACAACACATAAATCATCAGCAAGTTTGACACTTAAACCGACACTGCTAGAAAAGAATGCATTATCCCTAACCGCCCTGAATCCTCCAAAATCCTTTTTGCAAATTGGAGGAATTTGCAGGATTGAGGTTACATGGCCAAAGTGCGTTGCTGATTTCGGAGTATGCACTGTGTCAAGGTCTTGGGCCGGACCTTGTGTTGTTTATGCTCAGCTGTGCATAAATTTAGTCCTTGATTATACTTGACATCCTCCGCACTGCTCCAGGATGTCACTGCCTCTGCCTCAACCCATTGACAGTCATAGCCGGAGGATTTTGCAGGATTCAGGCAGTGGTCTCCCCTCCATGGACCATATTCAAGAAATAATGGAGGAATTTGCAGGATTGAGGCTATATGCTATTTTTTCATGAGGCCAATTGGAGGATTTTGCAGGATTGAGGCTACATCCTAGCAAAAAGGCCTAGGGAGTTAGGGTTAATGTTGTCTGCCGTAGTGTACACGGAGTCCATGGCATAAGCCCAGGGTGTCATTTTCCCACCGAGGCAACCTCGTTCCCATGGTGTCCCGCAGTACGCTCCTATTAAAACCCGTTCTCTCACCCTGGAATTCGATCATTATGTAAGCACCGTTGATATCAGAATTGTCAAGAACCGATTTATTGGAATTCCAATATTGAGAATATTCGATACATCGATCATCCCATGTAAAATTAAAGACCATAAAGATGACACTTTGATTTGAAAAAACAAAAAATAATAATTAAGTCCCAATTTCCCATGGCTTTCTCTGGAGCACAATGCTCAAACTTTGAAAAACAAATCTCGGCACCGACAGTTTACCGCTAATTCCAGCAAACGCAGCTTGACATTTCGAAATGTTTTTATTTTGAGTCCCAAGCAGAAGTTGCCTCCAAGTTTTATTTTATTATACAACAAACGTTAAATACAAAGTAAAAGCACAAACGGGAGATTTCTTTTGACGATAATCTGACGCATTATTGATATTTTCGATATCATTCCTTACTATAAAAAATTGCTATTGCCGATATCCATATCAAAATAATATCGAATAATCGAGTAATATCGATATATCAACAGTGCTCAGCCCTAACTCCCTGGTGTCTTTTACTAAGAACTGGACCGAGTCCACCAAAATCCATCAACTGCTGTGCTTCCAACACAAAAATGTATAATAGAATCCTGGACCACTGACGCACTGATTGATATTGATGGACTTACTATGGCTAATATGACAATAGCAGTACAGGAAGCTACATGTACGGGTAGGCAAAATCAATCGGATACCCCTAGCACTGTTTCAGGCCATCAGGCCCAAGTCCATCATACTCCATCAATATTTAGTCAAACCAAGCCTACTGGACCAAGTTCCCCAAAATCCACCAAAATGGGGGGATTGGATTTTGATGGAGATGGGGTGGTTTAATAAGGTTAACCCTAACCCCTAGGCCCTTGTTGCTTACAACCATCCTCAATCCTCCAAAATCCTCCAAAATTTTTCAACTCCGCCTAATTTTTTCAAAATTGTCACACAGTCCTGCCTCAAAATGCATTCATCCTCAATCCTCCAAAATCCTCCTCATCCCAAAACTTTGCACTCGTGTTTAAATGAAGGATACCCAACACCAAATCCTTCAAAATCATCAGACAGTCCTGCCTCAAAATGCATTCATCCTCAATCCTCCAAAATCCTCTTGTGCTTCATTCACCATTCATCCTCAATCCTCCAAAATCCTGATGTGCTTCAATCACCATTCATCCTCAATCCTCCAGAATCCTCATTTGATTCAATCACCATTCATCCTCAATCCTCTAGAATCCTCATTTGATTCAATCACCATTCATCCTCAATCCTCTAGAATCCTCCAAAACCGCCAGGAGGATTTTGGAGGAGTGAGGTGGCTTAGGGTTAATTAATCATTCCCATGTTCAAATATATTGCACATGTGTTTGCAAATTATTATGCAGAAGTAGTCTGGAGCCTCGCTGTGCTTTAAATCAGTGTTTGTTTTTGTATGCGGCGGCTGGGGTAAAAACATAATCAATTCTTCATGGCTTGAGATCCGACAGCATAATTTTCTTCAAAGTTAAAATGTTAAAATCGTATCCAGGCAATATGCAGTATGACATACATTTGTTTATAAGCAAAATGGGAAATGGGGTTTGTTTTTGAGGTGGAATGGATATAATTCGTTAACATTTGTAATACACGTTGGAAATAACACCACCAAGTACACGATACATGTATATCAGTAAACGTATACATGTAGATACTTGCTACTGCTGTCTTGCTCTACATGTACCACATGCTGTATTGAATCAGGATACAGGTAGAGTTCACACTCAGGGCCCTATTGGAAATGAGGTTTTAAAGAAGCCCCCAGGGGGAAAGGTTTGCCTGCCCCCCCCCCCCAATAAAATTAATTTCACTACAATAAATCTACATCTCACTGGCACCCCACTCAAATAAAAGGCTTTGTTGTCCCTTTTCATTTGATACCACATTTGAGGTCGTGATGCTTGTACATATACATGTACATGTACATTGTAGTTCTGAACATTTCATGAATTGCTCACTTTTCAGCCACGTCCACTTTCGGTGGAATTGCGCACGACGGGAATTTAAGACATTGTGGGCGACAATGAGATCAGGCAGGGTGAAAATCTGGCGACAGAGAGATGATGTTACTCGAGTTACTTGTACTGAGAGAGAAAGAAATCTTGGGTAGAAACACGACTGCGAAATGGAAATTAACTCCCCCCGAAATTGAGGTGTGAAATACATGGGCTCAATTAGTTCTGAGCTGGGCAGACAGGACAAGACATGGCTGTGGCATCAATGCTGTCAATCCACAGCATGTTCTATTTAACAGACTACGCTGTATTTGGCTGAGCATTAACACAAATTACCAAATTTATTGAGAATACATGTAGCTCCATCATCTCGTGTAGTTGTACGCTACACTCTTTCGTTTTTCGGTCACGTCGGTTGGGTTTAACTTTTATTACAACTGAGTGATTAACCGATGAACAGCTGAAAGTGACGTGTACACATTTACATACATTGTACATGTACTTTGCAGAATACTTGAAAAAAAAAACATACATGTACATGTATGTAGTTCTTCCTTTGGTTGATTTGAACTTTAATTATAAATGAACAAGCAATGCGATGAACAGCTGCAAGTTATGTACATTTACATGTACATGCACAATCTGTATATATGTGAACACAAGTACATGTAGTGCGTTCGATTACTTCCCCCAGCTCACTCGCCCCTGGCTCCTCGCGTGATGACAGACATGCGCAGTGGAGCTAAATAAACAAACGGTTTCAGGTAAAGTTTCGTGCAAGGACTGGAAAGTTGAACTTTGACATGACACACCTGCATCCGATCAACTGTCTAGGGCAAGGTCTAGGACCACGCCCATTGAAAATACGCGGGGAGGCACTGACAATAGAGTAGCCGTAGCTCTGGAAGCCCGTTTGAGGCACCCGCCGGCTGTCACGTTGGCAGCCATGTTTATTGCATGGCCTTATGGGATACTTACCCAAGTAACCGGCTCGGCGAGTCGGTTACTTGGGCCAAGCTCGAGTAAGCGCGAGAGCGAGAAGTCACGTGAGAGGTAAATCGAACGCTGTCGCGCTTGCACGAGTAAGCACGGGGGAAGTAATCGAATGCACTCAAGGCACGTTAACATTAGTAACAAGTCAGCACAGTCATGGCAGGTGGATGAAGAGAGGGAAAACAGTTTCCATCCAATTGGTGTCAACAAATTTATGAATACCGGTACATGTGTATTTAACAGTGGAGTCCGGTTGGCAGAGTGGTACGTGCCTCACCTTCCACCACTGTGTCCCTGGTTCGAATCCCACCTGGGCCAACATGTGAATTTGGGTTTGCAGTTTCTGCATCATTCTGTTCGTTTTCCTCAGAACATTCTTCTGGAGTTTTCCTCCCACCTCTAAAAAGTGTCTTAAATTTCTTCTCACTGTTTCTCTCTACGGGTTTCTTCAAGCTTGCAAGCTGCAGTGCCTGGGGCACTTTTGAGGAATCCTCAGTCTCATAAACTAGCAATAACTCACCAAAAAATTATAAAGATAAAGATTTATAAAGATGCAAAGATAACCTGCGTTTCTTACCATGAGTTGCTTGTATTTGGGCCTCTGACTACAATCCTTTGTCAAACTATCAAATACAAAATAACACACAAAAGAAACAGAAGAGCATTAGTTGGAACCAAAGAAGCCATTCATGAGATGTTTGACGGATAATGACTCTGACAGCTTTACAGATATATATGCCTCTGGACATTATATCACGCTAGAAATGTCAGTTTCTGCAGAATGCTACCCGGTTCATAGGAGTGACCCAATCTCTAGTTCCAAATGACCGCAAGCAAAATGGAAATTTCTTCTCCTCGTTGGGCTGCAATTTTTCTTTTTCTTTTTTAACCCTTACCCTACTAGACCCTCCAACGCATGCCAATGTGTGCCTCAAGAAAATCTCCTATGTTTTTTGCATGGCCCTCCAATATCTGCCATGTCATTTCAAGGGTAACTGGACAGGCACTCCAATACATGCCACAGAGAACAATGAGAGTCCTCTGATAACAAAGTGAGTGCCCCCAGCTGGTCAGTATCAGGCACCCTCCAGGGCCTCCAACTCCTGCCAATTGGAGCCTTCACTGCTAAGACTTGTTATCTGCCAAATAACTGCAGCTGGAGGGCATTGGCATAACCAACTGACATGCAGTAAACTACCCTCAGAGAGTAAGGGTTAATACAAGTGTCTTTAGATGTCTAGCACAAAACCGGACAAGTGGGCTGACGTTCTGTGCCCACGGCCGTTAACTTCGGACCAGTAATCTGATGCTGTCCGCTCACTTCCTTTATGACTTTAATTGAGTCTAAGAACGCTGGGGGGCATATTGAAAGATATCCCAGCAATTTTCATCCTTTGAAGGACAAACACTACAGGATCAACGGAACTAAAACCGAAAGGTCTCTGCAAAAATAGCTTTTCAAGTTACGCAATTCCAAAATTCCAACCAAAAATACACAGCTTCTCACAGAAATTCAAATTTGAAATACTGTCAAAAAGTTACAACATGGGTGCACATATTTTACTAGCTTTTATTATGACGTTTGGCAAATTGTATGAAAATGATCAATACAGTTCAAATGATCCCCCATCGCATGGTAATAAACAGCTTTTACATGGACTTGCAACTGAACATTAAACAGAAATCTTGATGTATTTTAAAATCTGAGCATATTACACCAGTGCTGAAAAGTTTGCATTGGCTTCCAGTAAATAAGCGTTTGGAATTCAAAGTTCTGTGTCTTGTTTACAAGATTCTAAATGGAATAGCTGCAAGTTATCCTTGTGAACTACTTAGTGCTCAATCAACTGCACACACACTGGGCTCGACAACCTCTGGTGTGGTATGTTAACAGCAGCCACTTGGCAAAACCGCATATGGCGATCAGTCATTCACAATATATGCCCCCCCCCCCCCCCCCACCATCTGTGGAATAACCTACCAGCAGCAATCCGATCTACTTGTACCTTCAACACTTTAAAAAGTTACTTGAAAACCCATCTTTTTAAGCATTACCTTTGTATAGCTTAAGTTAATTGTTAAGTTCTTAATTAGGCCTGCTTGTTTGTTTTTAAACTGTTTTTAAACTGTTTTATCTGCATTTCTTAATAACCTACATGTAGATTGATTTTTAATGGTACAGCACTTTGTGATGTCTTTGTCACATGGAAAGCGTTTTTTAAATAATTCATATCATTATTTATTATTACATTTTATTCAGACACTTCTTCACAATTTTACATTGTACATGTATGATGAGATTTGAAGGTTTCGAGCTTCACCAGTTTGCATCCTTCTCACGCCTCACCGCACCCGTCCTTATAACATCGCTTCATCGTTGGAATCCCTCATTCTCCTGACGGCGGGCAGAGCATACTTTTCGAAACGTTGAGTCCCTCCGGTTCTTTTCAGAACCACAAATACTTTAAGAGATTTATTCACATGGTGCTCATGGTGCTACCGCAAACTTATCTTGTTATACATTGTACATGTACATGTATGTTACAATACCGGTACCAATCAAAGCAATATATATGGACTACCGTACGGTACATACTAAGTACTTTGGAAAGTCATTGGCATTCGTGGTTTAGTATATTTCAGTTTTTAAAGAGCTCAAATAATATGTTGAAGAGACAATGTTGTCATCCACCTACCAGCACTGGACAAAGGAGTGGAAGTCGACTGAGAAGCCTCGCTTTGGTGGGAGTCTGGGCGGCTCCTCCGATAGGACACGGGCCAGGACTTCAAAGTCATTGTTGCAGTTCTTGTAGGGAAACTCCCCTGTTGCTAACTCCACCTAAGAAAAGAATGGGGTATACATGTAGTATGCATGTAAGTCTATTTATTTACTGATTTGGGTTTTTTTTACACGTCAATTGAAAATAAATTATGTACATGTACTGTCCAGAAAATGTACATGTTGCTAAAATACATGCACATGTACCGGTACCAGTAGGACTTCAATAGCGGGGTAGGCTGGTTCCACCCCACAATCAATATCACAATCAGTGTGGAAAATGTACAAATAAACGTACCAGAAGCTTTGCGTCTCTTTTAGTACCCCCAACCCCACTCCCCATCCCCCCCCCCTCCAAAATAAAGAAAGTTGCAGACACAAAAAAAACATTGAAAAAATAGTTTTGGTTGGAATTATAACAGTTGAAAACGTATTAATAGAAGGAAAAAAAACAAAATCAAATAGTAATGAAGTGCAGAGGGAGGGACGCAACTTGCAAATAATTCAGACAATACAAAACACTGCTTCTGATACCGTCGACACTACAAACCTGTAACCAGGCATGCGACTGTACCGGTACACAATGTACATTCACAAAAAAGTAGAAAATTCCACAATTCAGAAGACTTTGTACAGTGTTTTTCTATTTTGAACATGTTGAATGACAGAAATGGGAATAAAAAAGAGGAAATCAGCTGATCCTAGGAAAAGTTGCATGCTTGTGTAACGTAATGCCACACTTGTTTTACTATCATTGTGGGTATTTTTTTTTTTTTAACTCATGAAATCAAGCCCTGAGTCGAATCTGGGACCCCAGGAAACACACACCATAAGCAATGTATCAATTACAATACAATTCCAAGCGCAGTGCAATGGCTGTGTGGTCAATGACCATGAAATGTCAATGTGCCCAAGGCTTCAACTGTCACTGATAATGACAAGACAATAACACAAAAGGAAGCACGAAGTCAGCATCTGTATGCAAAATGAAGAGAATGCGTTTAATACAGCTGCCAGGCAAAACAGAGGCAGCTTCGTTTTCATGCATTACGTAGGTACATGTATTGCCTTACATGTACCGCTACAGGTACGGTACCGGTACGTACACAAGTTGTTTTGCTAGAATCTTAAGCTCCCTGGAGGAATTGTTATTTCTGGACACATTTCGATTTCTCTATGACTATACAGGATACCACAGTACTCGGTACTCGTACATATACTCGAGTACTACTGGAGTAGGCCCTACTTTTTAAAGAGTACTCGTACTTGTACCTGATTGTCAAAGTACTCGTACTCGAAATGACAGTACTCGTACTCGGAGAGCAAAGTACCCGGTACTTGTACTCGATATGTCAAAATTGTACTCGATCATCAAAGTACAGTACTCGAATAGCAGTACTAAAAAAAAAAATGGTATAGCTTGACTCATACCACGGCCTTATTCTATTATCGATACTTTCAGTGGTTGATTGGGTTGCAGAGAAATCAAAAGTTTCCTGATTTTTCTCTGTGCACGTCCAGCCAAACACATTTAACAGCTAGCCGTGCGAGTGGGTATGTATATCATGTACATATAACGTGTACGTGTGTATCAGTCTGAGTCAGTGTGCCTGGGCCAATTACACACAATGAACCATTTGCAGTATGGCCGTATCTATAGAAGTACATGTACTTGTACTCGTACTTGTACTCGGAATACAATGTACAAGTACCGGTACCCGTACTCGGAATACAATGTACAAGTACCGGTACCCCGTACTCGGTAACCTAAGTACTTGGCAGTACTTGGTACTCGGAAAAAAGTACTCGACTATAACACTGGGATACCATTGATATCAATGTTACTTTTCTCAACTTGGAAAGCAACTCGACCAGGCAAAACCAAGTACATTGTACCGGTAATACTGGTCCAAGAGTGCACACAATTTTACTGAACTAATTCGGAATGACCTTCATTGCAGCTACACGATGTCGCGCACTGAACTGACAAATTTTATAGCAACCGCGTGCGTGTGTACGTCGTCTTAAACGCTTGCGCGCACTTCACCTACTTAAGAACGAATAACTAATGGTAATTTCAAACGAAACGCCGTTAGACGCATCGTTGGAAATGGCCTGCTTTCATTGTTTTCTTCCAAATGACAGCTTGCCAGAAAGAATAATTTCACACAGAGTTTTGTCCCAATACTATCTTTCAACTGAGTATATTACTTTTTGGATAGCTGCAAATGATGGACTGTAGCTTTAATCATTGTATACTCCATTTTATTGTGAATTCTTATTCACAAACTAGAAATTCCTCAAACTTGATTTGTTTAAGGAAGCTAGCGGGGAGCGCTTACAAGAGTTCCCAAGCGTCCCGAATATATGCAAGACTTTTATCACAAAATAACAATACGTGTACCAAAAGGGATTACATTCACAGATCTAGCTACTGCTTGTTACATATGTACAACATTGCCTCAAGAAACACCTGCATTAAACACTGTCAATGTCAGTAAACAAGAAGAGGCTGATGAAATGGCAGAATTAACATGTTGATAGATTTCCTTAGGATACACGCATGGGAGACATTAACAAAACATTCAAAACCTTCGAGATGCGGATGTACAGTACAAATATAGTGATGCATTAATGCTTGTGTACACAACAGGAAATTGCAGTGTAAATCAGCAAATTTTCGACAAATCTCTGGACACAGTTCTGGCCTTTAAGGCATCCTGTCAACTCGGTGCATTCCATTTGTACATCTCTGCCAGACTTGGAATTTGAAGACTCTCAACACAATATATGCCCGGGAAATGATGATTAAGCGCAGTTTAATCAGGTTTATTGACGCGCGGACACCTCGACATTTTTTGAGAAGATCCCTTATGTGGTCGTCTACGATTACGTCACACGCTGAACGCGTGAATAACTGGCGGTGATTGGTGGAAAGTTCTTTTGTGTACATGTAAATAGCACGCAATAGTGTGGCGTCGCGTCATTCTCGATTCCACCTCTGACCAGAGAAAAGGCAAATGTTTTGCATCTCAGCTTATTCCTCGAAATGTCATATGATTCTATCAAACAGTTTTATATTGTGTTCTGAATTGTTAACAAGGTTATATTTAAATATGTAATATTAATATTGTGATTTGTCTGGTACTTCAAAGGAAGTTTTTTAATTGTTGGTAAAGTAAAAGGAAATTATATGTATGTATCTATTTATATATTATATGTACATGTATGTATCTACTTACATCCCAAACGTTTTGAATCTGAGTGGGAAGTAGTATTACTGGTTAATGTTTTATGGCAACTATACTTTACTTTGAAAAATGTAATATTGCCATGGAAACAATCTAAAGATTTCAATGAACATTTTCTTGCAATGTATTTATTAATTTACATAAAACTGCAAATACTAAATTAAATATAAAATATAAATAATATACAATGTGTTAAATTTTAAATAAAATATTAAGGACTCCTGAACCCAAATGGAGATTGGTTGTTTCAGTTAGATGTGTTTTCATTTTGAGTTCGAGTAACGCAAGTCCATAAAAGGTTTTACAGGACCTGATGCATACCGGTAGTTCCTTGTCCACAACCCATTCTAGTGCTCTCCACAGTTTATTCAAAACAATCCATGTACATGTATGTCCAGAGTCTAGCCCATGGAAAATTACTAACGCATAAAGTAGGGATGTAGTGAAGTCCATCACAAGTTCAATCACAAGTAAATCTCAAGTCCAGTAATAGTTCTAGTCACAAGTACCGGTAACAGTGGATGACTTGTGATGGGATTGTGATGATGGACTACATGTAGCAGGGACTTGTGATGGAATCGACTACATAAAGTTACCCTGATTGAAATCTATCTTTATTTGGGTCGACTTGAGTCACTCCAAATATAATTTCAGTTTTGTGTGATTCTGAAATATATGCTAATTCTGTACAGACATACTGTACATGTACACAACAATGTGCACCCTCTCATGGCACCCCTCATCTGTGTAAAAAAATGTCATGTTGACATCATCTTAACCCTAAAAGGGCGAGAGGGGGGTGTTCCGCCCCCCCCCCCTCAACTTTTTTCCGCGATAGCCTTGAAAAAAACTTTTGATACCAAAAACTTAAATTTCAGTGAAAACTGAATTTTCCCATATATACGGTACGTAGTGTACAGAAAGCAGAATTAGCATTCGTGCATGTACATGTATACATGTATGAATAATTAATTATCCATATTTCCAAAATCCTTTTACCTATAGTCATGAAATTTCTTGGGTATAATCATAATCAGTTGCTCTATGCGTGTACTGAGTTTCATAATTTTTCGTTACTCGATGGCCGAGATCTTAGGGGGGCGGCAACATGATTTCGTCTATACCGGTAGCACTCCATTTCCAATAATTGGTCAACTGACTGATCTGAAATGACCTACATTTCTATAAATGACAGCAAGCCAGATGGAATAATTTCACACAGGTGTTTAGTAAACAATGTACATGTAGTTACAATCTTTAACCCTAACAGAACTCAACCCATCCAACCCCAACGGCATGGTTTGTTGGAATCTGTCAGGATGGGTACAGTACCCCTAAACTGACAGTCTTTTACGTGTACATTTTGTACATTGGGTTGGCACACCTCCAGAATCAAGGTCAGAAATATGTGTGTGTTATTTCCCGTATGGTGTTTGAATTTGCCAGGATTGGTATAGTTCCAAGTAAATCATGCCAAGGAGTTGAAAGTTAATCCAATTGAAGTTTTTGATAATAATTTGGTAGTTAAGGGATAAATGCAAATCATCCTCAGTGCGTGAAATTACAGTCGGACATCGGACATTTTCCGACCACTTTCATGGTTTGTCCGACCAAATGCAGATGTGCTCGGACAAAATGTCCGAGCGATTTATGTATTCTTTGTGGAGTTGTCTTTTTCAGAAGTATGAAATAAACGGTTGCACTCAAAAGTATTTTGTTGTTTTACTTTATTTCCGATGATCCGGTCTGTAATACTTACCGTACGCTGAGCGGCTGCTAACTACATGTACGTGTTGTCTTATATTCACGCAATAGATGCAACGCGTTTACACCCCAATACATGTAATGAGAATTTAGCAAGATCAAAGTACGTTGTGTTGCGCGGTATGCTTTAAGTGCGTGATTGTTACTAAATTCTCACAACGTGGCTTACTACAGAAACGAGCGCGTGAATGCCCGGCGCTTGTCATTGCAACTACATAGTGTGTATTATGGATACGTACATACGTAAACATACATACTGTACATGTACACACGTGTATGTACCGTCCACGTGTTTGAAGTATAGTAAACGCGGCCTTTTGAAAGTTCGTCTCGCAAGGTTTCACAGAGTAATTTACTTGGGAAAAAGGAGCATTTCAAGTTTTCAATCATGAAGAGAGCACTATGTAAGTATGTTTTAACTAGTCCTCGACTGTTGATAACCTATTTGTTTGCTCATGTGACCTTCAAATTTGGAACGCTAAATGGCAGATCAAAACTTGACAATGGCAGAACACTTTTGATTGTGCTCGGACATTTTGTCTGACCACTTTTTTTGTCTAATTTCACGCACTGATCCTACATTACTACATACTATGTACGTCAAAACGTTGTACTCACCAAGGATATTCCCAGGCTCCACACGTCCGCTCTGACGTCGTAATCTGGATTGGCTGGGTCTGGCGGGTCGATTCTCTCAGGCTGCAAAACGTGAGGGACATACCGGTATAGTCAAAATCAGATCATCATTCTGTTAGTGGTAAACCGACTTGTAAATTGGTATCATTTGGAAGACCGAATCATGAACCGGGGTAATGTGCACAAGATGTTCCTACCAGGTTTTATACATAATGTAATCTACATGTGGACCAGGCAGAACCTTGACCGAAATTACTTGCCTTGCTGAAATGTAGCAAATATTGTGTTGATTCAATTACATGTACATGTACGTGTACATGTACATTTATGGTACCGGTAATTAAAGGTACCAGTAACATACATGTACATGTACATGTACATGTACAGCACTTGCTTACGGCTGTGATTTTCAGAAATGAACTATGGGGTTAGTATTTCATAGCAAATATTTACACTGACTTGTTTAAAGTTTTGGGTTCACAGACGCTGGAGATTGAAACCAATTGGCAAATGTTGTTCTTGTACCGGTAGTCTGGTTCCCTGACCCTACTTCAGACGAAACGGAGCAATTTATAGACGTCGGGGGAATTGTCAGGTCTGGGAACCAGACTTGCTTGCTTGCGCCCGTTCACAGATTGTGTAACCGATTGTAAACAAAATGGGGACTACCGTGACTAAATTTGGTAAAAATGGGGGCACTATTTGAAAAAGATTTTTTTTTCCAAATGATGGTCGGCTTGTTATCTTATTCATTTCCTAATCCTAATACATCTCTCTTTCTCCCCCATTCTCCCCACCATTCTCATCCCTAGCCCCAACATTATCTAGTCCCCCCCCCCCCTCTCCCAATCTCCCTTATTTTTTTCTGGTCTTTTATGAATATACTGGTCATGATTATGGCTGTTATTGTTTTCAATTTGTTGATTTGATTTTAAATTTGCTTTCAAAGATGATTTGATGTCTGTTTAATAACTAAATTGTAAAATGACAGCAATTCAGCCTCCTGGCTGTCATACAGACATGTACATGTGTCATTATTAATGAAAATAATAATAAACCATGAATGAAAATAACAATAGACTTCCCACAAGTACGGTGGGAGGGCTGATGCACCACTAGTCCGAAAATTTGGGACTCTTAATACTGTGTACGAGAGCCCCAAAACTTAAGGTATTGAAAACAAGCAATACAAGAAAATAAACTGGCACCTGAAACAACCGGTCCATTATCAGTACTGCATCAATCAACTGTGCCAAAAGAAATGTCTAGGATTTCAGGTACTAGTCTCTATTTCTACACATTTCCCCATAGTCAGGCACCAGACTAATGACAATGAATGAAGAGATCAGTCTTTTCAAACATTTGACCACGGCCAATGACGGCTAGATATGTACAGTCTATCTAGTCTTTAGCCTCATTTTGAAATCACCTGACTTCTTTCTCATGTGCAAAATATTAAAGAAAAGTCTCCTTTAAAAATTGAATTGAGTCTTCAACTTGGTTGGTGGAATACTGAGGTTCTATTCTTTGGCAAATGACAATTTTGGAAAATTTTGCTGGCTTAAAGAGTGAGTTAAGTTGGCCTGATTGATTGTTTTTAGTACTCAAGGTCCCATCAGTCTGATACACCACAGTTGTTGCTTTTTTCTCTCTCTCTTGTTGTATGCTCAGTATCTGGTTCTCAAGTAAGAGACTCCATGAAACCATTTGTTTTGGTGTTAACTGCAAAGCTCTTAATTACGGTACGTAATTTGACGGTCAAACTCCAGTCACGATGGCCTGGCCCAGACACTCACGGCATTCTACGCTAGCCTACTGGGCACCAGGGCAGGTGGTCCCCACCTACTCACTTTTACATTAACCCCTAAACCGGCCAACCTCCGGAACAAACTGTTGTCCAAAACAGAAATATCACTCCCGCTTCGTCTGTAGTCTGTCAGTCCCAACGTCGCCCAAAATATATTTTGGCTCGTCTTCTTAACTCCCTCAATAACATGTGTCTGGCGTGATATGATTTACAGCGTCCACAAGTAATAATTGTTTGCGGTCAGCGTTTTTTTTCCCGGGGTTTATATTTAGTCAGTCCGGCTGGCCCAGGGATTGACATTTGGATTTAAACGTTACCGCAATTTGTGACAAGCCCCAAATGGAAATTTGATTTGGTCGGGAGTCAACCGGGTGAGTGGCAATATTTAACCAGGCAATCAATTTCCAATCTTGTGTACTTGGAGCCGCCGGCCTCACATGGTACAAATATATACTGCACCTGCGCCTGGGCAATTACAGCCAATTAGCAAAAGATGAAACTTCACGTTTTAAAACAGTTTCAGATGTCATTTCTATCATGTGTCTCACTGTTTACCACTGAAGCTGGCAGTAAAAATATGTTTGTTGTGTGGTACCGGTACATGTATCGGAAGTGTAGCAGCCTTGAGAAAAAATATTTTCCTGATTGTCCAACATGTCCAAAACGTCAGGGGAAAAAGTTTCATGTACATGTATTAATGTACAGTGTAGAAGTCTGGTGATACCGGTAGGTGACGCGGTGCCTTGAATTGCAATGCGTTTTATTTACAGTGTACATGTACCTGTACGTTTACTTTAAAAGTCGGTTCGGAAGTACCGTACATATATACCGGTACATGTATGTATACCGGTACATGTATGTATATACCAGTACATTCTCTGAAAAATGAATTGTTTTGAACGTTATAGTTTCAGTTCCTCGAATAGGAAAACAAAACAAAACAACATGTTTTTATTCTCTTTAAAACATGTTCTGGTTTTTATTCGGTGGATTAAAACCAAATATTATTCAGTTCATTTGACAGTGTGCCCTATTTTTAATTGTACTGAAGTGCATTACCAAGCACTGGCTTGAATGAACAACCACTACCAGTACATGTACAGGGCAAGTAAAAAAAACGAAGGCGCCAATGTCGGGACTATTGTTTTATTGAAGTTCTGCCTGTAGCACTTTCAAAATCTGGTGCAAGTACCAGTACATGTATGAAAGCCCATTTCATAAGCTTTCTTTTAGTACAAGAATCATTCAAATCACTCATGACTTTTCAAGTTACGGAATTTTAAACACAACCACTGTTTTAACATGTTTAAGGTTCTGTCCGGGGATCACAAAAAAGTGTGCCTTCTTTCAGCAATTCACACACATCCCTATGTGATTTGTTTCCTTTTGCTGAAAGAACTCTGAATTTTTTTGAGCTCCGTGGACAGAACCTTAAAACGGTGGATGTGTTTAAAATTCCGTAACTTAAAAAGTACATGAGTGATTTGAATGATTCTTGTACTAAAAGAAAGCTTATGAATTGGGCTTTCATATCCTAGATTTTGAAAATGCTACATGCAGAACTTCCCTAAAACACTGGTCCCAACATTTGGGTTTCGTTTTTTTTTTTTTCACTCACCCTGTATACCAAACAATCTTTTCTTTGAGTGAAGTCATGCTGAACACATGGCATTGTTGTGAACAATTCCACATTGAAAATCAAACGTCTCTAAAATTCACAGTTCATTTTTTTAACCCTATATAAAAAAATACCAACAGGTTTTCGCTAGGCACCCTGCCAAATGCAACAAAATGTAACTTGTATGTACATTTAGCTAAAATAGAACCCATTGACATTGGGGGAGAATGCTAATTCCAAAAAATGCAGAGTGCTCACCAAGTGACGCCACTTAACATTTCGCGATGTTGATATCTTGAGTCACAAGAACAAGTTGCCACCAACTTTTATTGTATTATAGGCCTACAGCAAAAGTTAACCAAGTCAAAACACAAACGGGAGATTTATTTTGACTATCATCTGAAGCATTTTCAATATCATTCCTCAACTTTGTTTGTTTGTTTGTTTGTTTTTTGTTTTGTTTTGTTCTGTCTTGCTCTGTTTGTTTTTGTTTTACTTTGTTTTCCTTGTCTTGTCTTGTTTTTGTTTTGTTTAGTTACGTTTGTTGTTTTGTTTTTCTCTTCTTTTTGATATTTTGTTTGTTTGTTTGTTTTGTTGTTTTGTGTTTGTCTCAAGTAGGCCTATATGTGCGTTTTTTTGGTTTTTTTATCCATTACTTTTTAGCATTCTATATATCCATATATATGCATATATCCAATGAAATCGTCTCCTATCACAATTCACAGTGCTCGTTTAATCTCTACGGTATATACATAATTTGTTTTTAGTTTTTATAAAATCAATATATATTTTTTATAATGATTCTTTTTTAACATATTTGTGTTTATATATATAAATATAAATATTTTTTTTGTTTTATATATTTTTTATATATTTTTAAACCAGTCCTGTAATTGGCGTTTTTTTCTGCTGTTGGATGTGGATAATAAATAAATACAAATTTTCGAAAATTGTGATACTTCGATATGATTAAAAACATGCTATCGGCAAAATCCATCAAAATAATATTGAATAATGAAGTAATATTGATTTATCAACGGTGCTTTATACTAGACATCTTCACGTATACACATGAATATGTACCGATAGCATGTAAACATACGGTACCAATTGGTGATGAAAATCTATGGGAAGATTAAATGTCATGAATGCAATTTAAACTAAATTATCATAGTACACAATGTACACTCACCTCACATAAAAAGCACAACGACAATAAACAAGGATAACATACATAGTTTGTATACATACAATGTAGATTCAAAATACAGTCCGTATGTTCACAAATTATTTTGCATTTCAGAAATAACTTTCGGCATTGTAGTCATATTTTGGCTTGATTTTACTAAGTATTAGGCCTTCATTGTACAATGTACTTCCAAGTTATTTCTGATTTCGTAGTAAGCAGCTTTAATTGCAGATCCCAATGGCCAAGCAAAAAAAAAGGTGGTTAACACTCACAAAAGAAGGCCATGTTGTTCTTCAACCAGTTTGATTGAGACTCAGCCAGACTTATTAAGTCTTTGGACCAAGTCATTACAACCAGACAGTGAATAAAAAACAAGCATAAATTTGTTTTGTTTTTTTTACTACCAATTTTTTCAAGCATCTGCTTGCATAGATGAATAAAATTTGAAGCTAACACATACAAATTTATGTACATGTATAGTGAAAAGTATGTCTGTCAAAAACTAAAAGTATTGGTATTGACTTTGTTTCCTTTTACATGATATAGAAGAAAGGAAAAGTTAGCATACATAATTTGTGCATACATACGCATGTACAATGTATAAGTGATCTGCGAAGCATTATCCGGTAGCTTTTAATTCAACATATTCAATGCCATACAAACAGATGGTACAGACTTTTAATCTGTCCTTTTATCTTTCCAGTTTATTCCTTGATAACACCCCCCCCCCCTATTTTTATTAATTTTTCTCAGTATTTAATGTTTTTACAGTCTTTGTAATCTTGGTATGGCATGTACATGTGTGGTGTTGGCGACTGAAATGAAGTTTTTATGCATTCATTGTTACGGTAGACTGATTGAGCTCAGTGTTAAAGCTAGAGTCCATCATTTGCAGCCATCTGAAAAGTAACTGGCGTAATTATTGTTGAAAAACAAACTTGGTTGAAAGATAGTAAGGGAACTAAACTCCCTGTGAAATTATTCTTTCTGGGAAGCTGTCATTTTGAAGTAATCAACGAAAGAAGGCATTTCCAACGGTGATTCTTAAGAAGCACCGTAGGAAAATTTAAATTACACATGTAGTAGTTCGTTTTGTTATTCAGCGCAGCGCGCGCAAGTATTGGAACGACGCACACGCGTGCGCGGTTGTTGTAATTCGTCGGATCAGTGCACGACGTCGCGTAAAGCTGCAATTCAAAACAATTCAAATCATGATTCAGTAACTTTTGATTTGAAATTGAGATCTTAGAATGCTGTTTTTCTCGGAATGTACAGCTGAAGCTTAGCTGAAACTTCATCAGGTTAGTTGCTCAGTATCCTTCATTAGATTTTGAACTCTTTTGTTGCTTCAAACAAACAAAATGCACAAATTACAAATGATGGACTGTAGCTTTAAGGGCTACATGTACATGGGCGATTCCATACTAACATGACTAATGGGCCCAAAAGTGTGACATTTTAGAAGACCCTCAAGTTTTAACGATAAAACTACGATCTTAGTCTCTCATTTGTTTTAAACATTGCAAGCATCGAACAACTATCCTCACCTGCAAATGATAGGCCCATGACCGGTTTTGTATTTTGGAAAATATAGTGGATATTGTTTTACAAAAGTGTTAGTTACTGGTACATGAATGTAACGAAGGACAGACATTTAAGTTCAAGTCACACAGTAGGCATAAAATTTAATGATCCCCTAATGTTGACTTATTTAAGAAGATGTACCCTGGAGGAATGCTATCAGTCAAAACCTATACAATTTTAGAGTCAATGTGAAGAATGATTTCATATTTTATTATCAGGATTTATACGTACAAACAGACTGGACACTTGTTAAATAAATTTAAAGCCAGTGTGAAAGCCGTTATGCTTTCGCTTGATAACATTGTAAAATGGCTTAATAATGTCACTGGAAGTGCCTGAAATTATTTTTCATTGGCCAAAAAACTCCACAAATATTTATCTGATTGGAAAGATGTTTTCGTTGCTGAAAAGCTAATGGACTATTCTCTTTAATGTATTTTTGTTTAAGCTGTGAAAAACAGGATGCTTTGATGGTTCGTTTTGTTATTTAGACACCCCTGTACATGAATGTGATGTCTCTGTTTGAGTACTGCTCACCGCTATGTGAAGAAAATGTCATCGGTTAAGAGCAAAAACCCATTATAAAATCGTGTGAATTTACTATGTGATGTCTACGTTAGAGTTCTGCTTACCCAGTTTACGTTGGAGGACGTGGTAACACGTATCGGTACTGGTTGTTTATTCTGTACATGTACCCCGGTATGTGGGCAATTTCACACTAACATGACAAATGGGCCAAAAAGTGTGACATTTGAGAAGACTCTTGAGTTTTGATAATAAAACTAGGATCTTGGTCTCTCAATTTTTGCTGTAAATATTGAAAGCTTTGAGCAAATATACTCAACTGCAAAGGATGTAACTGGTTTTGTATTTTAGACAATACGGTGGATATTATTTTTTTAAAGTGTTAGTACGAAAAACAGACCTTTTAGATGAAGTCACAAAGTAAGCACAACGTTTAACCCTAACCCACCTCACTCCTCCAAAATCCTCCTGGCGGTTTTGGAGGATTCTGGAGGATTGAGGATGAATGGTGATTGAATCAAATGAGGATTCTGGAGGATTGAGGATGAATGGTGATTGAAGCATATGAGGATTTTGGAGGATTGAGGATGAATGCATTTTGAGGCAGGACTGTCTGATGATTTTGAAGGATTTGGCGTTGGTTATCCTTCATTTAAACACGAGTGCAAAATTTTGGGATGAGGAGGATTTTGGAGGATTGACGATGAATGCATTTTGAGGCAGGACTGTCTGACAATTTTGAAAAATTTAGGCGGAGTTGAAAATTTTGGAGGATTTTGGAGGATTGAGGATGGTTCTTAGCAAAAAGGGCCTAGGGGGTTAGGGTTTTAATGATCCCCTAATGTCATATGATTTAAGAAGATGTACCCTGGAGGAATGCCATCAGTCAAAACCTAGAAAACTCAGAGTCAATGTAAAGAATTATTTGATATTTTATAATCAGGATTATACATACGAACAGACTGGACATTTGTCACAAAATGTCTGTCCCTGTTCGTACGTAACACTTATCACATCATAACTTTGAAGCCAGTGCAAAACCTGTTATATTTTCGCTTGATAGCAATGTAAATGGTTTTGATCATGTCAAATGAAAGTGCCTATTAGAAACTGAGTTTGTCCTAAGCACCCTTTTCCTTGCAGTGTCTCTGTCCATTTCTCAAATAAAAACAAAATATCATCTCTTGCATTTCTTGTCCTTGTCACTTTCAACTTAGCAAGGTGTAAGAAAACACTAAAGAAAACACTAGCTCATCTTTTACCCTTTATTTGCAACATCCATAAACTTATCTCATCAGCAAATTAGTGTCAAATTACACAGACATGGCTGATGGGATAAAACGTCAAGACTGCCTGGACTCACCTCCGGGTGATGTCTAAACACGCTAATCCCTTGTGTATTTTGCTGTACAATGTAAACTCTAACTAGTGCACACCATAGAATATTGAAACAGATGAGGTTTCGGCAAAATTAATTGTACAAATAATGTTGAAATGACTCTCGCGGCTCGGTATTTGTGGGGTTTGACTGTTTATCGGAAGTTGGCTGGAAATTTGGTTACACCTCTATGTTACGACACACATACATGTATGTTTTAACACCCCGATGTTCCAACTGCACATGTGAATTCCTAGTCCTATTCCTAACCCTAACCCTAACCCTCACCGGAAGTAACACAATCTTATGTGCGGGGTGTCAGAACATAGGGGTGTCGGAACATAGAGCAGTCACCGGAAAATGTCGCCTTTTGCAAAAATCTAAATTTTCGGCAACAACAACCCCAGCACGAAGTGGTTAATACCCCTATGTCAAAAAATTATCTATGAAAGGGTGAAAAGCAAAACCCATTATAAACTTGTGTGAATTTATTTGTGTGATATTTCATTTTAAAACACCTCACCCACAGATTCTGTGTCTTGATTGGCCGAGAGCGAGTCACATGGTACTTTCTATTTTTGCTATCTTTCAGTGCACGGCCAAAAGTACTATACCCGTAGCAACCAAAGTACTATACCATTAGCAACCAAAGTACTATACCCATGGCGCAGTATTTGTGTGCAAATGCATGCTGGTGTGAGCGTTAAGCGTTGCGCGTATTGTTCCTAAGAAAGCGCGCCACAGAGTTGTGTTCAAACATTTCGTGAAGGGGTGATTTGGAAGAGAAAACTATGTTTCCCACCAATTTTGCATTGAAATGGAAACTGTGTATTTTAACTGTAATCAGATTTAAAGTATTTAAAATATTAAAAACCAACCAGAATCTTTCGGTGAAGTGTTATAAAATAAATATTGAATGCTTATCTCGTGGTGAAGTAAAACTAACCTCCCTCGGTGATCCATGGAGCATTCTATTTTTCCCTCGGCTTCGCCTCAGAAAAATAGAATGTCCATGGATCACCTCAGGAGGGTAGTTTTACTACACCACTCGAAGCATTCAATATTTGTATATTTGTTTGGTTCTTCTTACCGCCATGTAAGCCACACAGCCAGCACTCCGTGTCCGCGCCTTGGAGTCCACCAGCCGACCACTGATACCGAAGTCACACAGCTTGACCACTCCCTTCTCATCTAGTAACATGTTGGATGGTTTCACATCTGAAGAAAAGGAAAAGAGAACACTGTCTCTGTTATCCGAGCCAGAATACTCAAAGGAATGGCTTCTTGGGTTTCGCCTACCACATTTTCTCCTTTCCAATCCATTCTACTAAGGACACCTTTGTGAGATCGTTGCCTTCCTCAAAGAATGTTTCCTCAATGATCCTATCAATTCCATTTTTATAAATTTACACTTTGAAAAAACTGTCCTCCTTCTACAGGGTGGTTAAAAAAAAAAGGACACTCACATTTGACAGCAATTTTCACCTATTTTTAAAAATTGTTTTTAACTGTCGATTAGTAGCTATTAAAATACTGGCCTTTAAGCAAATGTGACGTAAAAATCGTTGCATTTGCACATTTTGTCGTTGAGCTATGCTAATTTGAGCGTTTCATGTGCGAAACCTGTTTGTCCACGGAGGTATACATTCCCTTCGCTTGACTGAGCCAGCTTTCAATTGATTGTTATGTTACATAATGTTATGCAAAAATGAACTTAAGCCGACATCTCATTGAGTAGATGATCTTAACACTGACATGAATAATTGAACAGCTTCAATAAAAGTTACCAGGGCGAAATATATTTTGGTGGGAAGGTTTTTTAATTTGTATGAACTACGTAAACGTCCAATACATGTACATAGAATAACCCGTGGACAAGACTGATTTTGGTGACTTGTATTCAAATTAGCATAATATCACTATTTTGGGGACTTTTACTAAGCTTTTTTCACCATGCATGGTTAAAGGCCTATACTTTACTGCTATGTGAAGACATTTTAAAATAGGTTCATTAAGTAGGTGACAATTGCTGTCAAAAGTGGGTGTCCTTTTTTTTTTTAACCACCCTGTAACATGTATTTTCAAACATTACTTCTATTGAGATCAATAATACACATGTACTGGTACAAATCGTTACATGTACTGTGTATGCTCCGGTAATGTTAACACTCCTTGGCAAACATACATTCTTTGCCAAGTTGTCCTTTCAGTCAAAATCAATCAAGTGACTGTTTTCAAAAGTTAAGAGCTCCCAAGCTACCAGTACATAAGCCGGAATGCATGGCTGTGACCACATGTTTATGTAACTTGAAACAGTTACCAGTATGACTTCGACTGTAGGTGATTGAAAGCCAGCTGCCCCTACTTCTTGCCTGCTTTTGTCAGTTGACTGAATTTGACTAGTCACAGTGCTTGCTTTCAATACGATCTGACTGTTGGTGACTAGCCTGTGTAAAAGGCATGGCAGAGGAAGATTGAGTTTTAGCTGCGGAAGGCAGCTCAAGAAATGATCATGTCTCTGCGTTGGTTAGTGGCAAACTTCAGCAAATGCCTTTTTTGACAAGCAATCACCTTGTCCCTTAGGCCCTTGCCACAACACGTGCTTCAGGTCTCCACTGACCAGAGCTACCAATTTATTGCAGTCGTGGAAAATTGGGTCACGAGGTCACTCATTTCGCATTGGGGCTAGCACTACACTGCACACAATTGGGGTGCTACACATATATGCTATAAAACGCTCCATGCACCAACTGACGTTCAACAAAATGGTGGGAATCCATTTCAAATTTCAATTGACAGTCACGGCCATGTGAGTATTTGTCAGAGATGCCACAGGATCTGCTTGAAAAAAAACGGAACTGGGTCTGCTTGAAAAAAACTGGAACGGCTCCTTGAAAAAAACGGAACTTTTGTGTGTGTGAAAAAGCCACTCCGTGTCCGACACAAAGTCCCCGTTGTCATCTTTATTAGCCAAGCCAAATTCCGTTTATTTTTTTAATTTTGCTTCTATGGCCTTTAAAGCTGACGGTTCCTTCAATCACTTTGACTTTTTCCATATTCCTAATATTTATTCTGCCTACCCGAATTTCCAACGTAATATTCGACACGAAACGTGCATGATTCCACAACACTGCTGTTGGTGTACATGATCCTTGCACTACGCGATGCGCTCAACGAAAACATGGTTGGTACCCGCATTTTTGGTATTCACATATATCACTGCGATGCGATCGGAAACCACCGATAGCTGAAATGATAGACTTGATTTCCAGGCTGAATGCTACGTGTACTTAGCACACAACACGCCCGCACGCGTTGAAGCACGCGCGAGGCGCCGTTGTATACTGCGTGCAAGTACGTTGGCCGCTTGTATCGCATGCAGGCTCGGCAACAACATACACAAAGACTGTTTTTAAGACTTCTTCAATGAACAACGTTGTGCCATGCGTGCGCCTAAATGTACTAAATCGAGGTAAAAATCAACCCATTTCCACAGTTTTTCTTCTCTTTTTCTGGTTAATTTGACGGCCGGAAAAACTGGAATTTCGTGAGATTTTTTTTAAAAACCGGAATTCCGGTTAAAACCGGAAAAGTGTTGTTCAAAGTCTGTTCAATTGACAGTCACCGCCATGTGAGTATTTGTGCATTATACATGTTATAAGAACAGGCTTTTACATCAGGCTACAGCTTACGAGATCATTTCGAGCTTGTTTTTTACTCTCTGTGAATGTTCAGATAGCAGGAGGGTTACAGATCAAAATGACTGTACCGTATCAAATGTTTACTTGAAGTTCTTCCCCATGGGCTTTCATACTAGTTTTGATTACTGTCTCCCAGAAAGATCAGAACAAGAACTGGTGCCACACACTGAACAACAGAGGGCAGTATACCTTAAATATGGCCCAATACAGACAGCTTTCCCAGAAGAAAAAATAGAGGGCAGTGTGCTCTCAGCACAGGACTGGGGTCTCCCAACATAAAAATATTCTCCCATGCCTTAAAGGGAAAATACAACATTTGCAAACATCAAAAAATAAAACTACCAAATCATTTTGAAATACCTTGCTGGACTGTTAGTGAATGACAGTGTAAAGCATCCTGTAAAATCATGGCACCTGGTATACTGTCATTTTCAAGAAAAGTGGTATTTTTGTATCAATTTCCAACGCTGATCGGCCGATCAGCGTTGGAATAAAACTGGCTTTTTTTCAAATACTGGCCCCAGTTGACCATCGCACTTGTTTGCAATCGATTACACACCTATGAATTGGTACAAGCCAGCTAGACTGGTTCCCTGACCTTATTATTCCCCAATAAATGTAAACTGCTCTGTTTCTTCTTAAATGGAGTCAGGGAACCAGACTACAGGAAAATGATTGTTTTTCTTGGTTTTTATAGCATTTTCGAATCCAAAACCTCAAAAAAGTCAGTGTAACTATATTTGCTATATATTTCCAGCCCCCCAATTCCATCCATTTTTGAAAATTACAGCAAAAGCAAATGATGTATATTCCCTTTAACTCAAAGATTTTTGTTCTTTTTACAAGAACGAGTACTGGTACTTCCAAGTACGAGTACGTGTACAAGTAACTCATTCTTACCTCTGTGCATGACTCCATGGACTTCTTTCAGATAATCCAGAGCACTTACAATCTGTGGAGTAATAACATGTGACACAATTGTAGAGGAATTAAAAAAGAAGGCTATCGCAGGCCTCATATGCAGTGCCCCTCTTCATCAATAAAGTTTATTTAATGAGTTTTGAAAGTCCAAATTTAGGTTCTTAAAAGGATTTTCCCAAGTGCCAAAATATAGGCATTTATAGGTTTTTGGGATGCAAAACCGTGCATTTTGTCAGCATGAGGTAGCAGAAATATAGCAAAGTACTTACATGTACTTCAAGTTTTCCACACTAGATATAAGTTACCAATTTCATGCAAACTAACAAATTCTGAAACACTTCTAAAAAAATCTTAAAGAGGTACATGTAGGCTTACGTGTTGGAATTATGATAACTAAACCGTGGATTAGGCCACCAAAAAAAAGTCTCCGGTTTCTGGTATGCGCGCGCATTGCCATAGCCATGCGCGTCGGCAAAATGAAAAAGTTTTTTTTTCAATGAAAGATGATGTCTCAAAACCGCCAAACTCACTGGTTTGACTGGAATCCTGCTGCTGCACAATTTTAACGTGTTTTTAGATTGGGTTATGGTCGAGAATAAGCTTTATGTGGCCTCTCTGGACTCCCAAATATTTGCACTAAGTTTAGTCGGGCACCATTTGCAGTCATCAGCCGACATTTGAAGCAAAAAAATCAGGTAAAAAAAAAAAAAAAAAAAGCCGCGTCGCCGCACCACTTTTTGGGCAAGCTCCATACCAGAAACCGGAGAATTTTTTTTTTGGCCTTAACTTGATTCCTAACATATTTAAGAAAATTGTTGCAATTTTGTACCAGAATAAAAAAATATAGGTTTTAGAGGTTTTGGATACTTTTAACCCTGACCTTCCCAACTCCATCAAAATCCACCCACCCCCCTCCAATTTTCGGGGATTTTGGCAGACAAGCCATGAGTGCCAAGTCCATCAAAATCCACAGTGGTGGACATGGTGGATTTGTGGTGAATTTCGGGGGATTTGGTCCTTAAGTATTATATGAAGCAGAGTCAATCATGGATTTTTGCGGACTTGGTACTTTTTTTAGTAAAACTCTTCTGGACAAAAAGATGCCAACAATGTAGTCCACTTACTGCAAACACCATTTTGCCGATGATCTGTTCTGGGATGGGTTCCCGTAATTTCTTGAGGAGTTTCTCGAGACAGGTGGCCATCTGCTCCATACAGATCCAAACCTCACTCTGAGAAAAAAACATGGACCTTTGATCATGTATTGTCATACAAAAAATGAAAGTTTGTGAGTGCAATGGTAAGAATAATTCCACGAGGCGAAGCCGAGCGGAATGGAACATTTCATCTGTCACCGAATGAAATTATTCTTTCCATTGCACGAACGTGAAACATTCATTATTTGTTTTATATTACACCTGAATAACCCTTGTCATCTGATTGATTGACTTTTTAATAGCCAACTTATTCAGGTTAAAAAGTGTTTAAAAGTTCGACAAGTTCATCATATTTTATTAATGCAAACTGTTCAACAGGTTGTGAACAATCATATTCAATTTATCTCGATTTGAAACAGCGCCACCACCAGCAGCAGTGACACCGTGCAATGGAAGTTGTATTCACCATGCAATAGAACTTCCATTGCACTGAGCGCTGTGCGCCACACGCACGCCGTGCGTTGGTACGAAAAATTCAATGGCATGTGATCAACGATCCACCAATCAGATGACGGGGATTTATCCAGGTGTTGTATAAAAGCTAATAATATTTGGTTGTGGAAGAAAATATATGTATCACCAATTCGATTATAATATTACTTTTTCTTGTTATGCATAAGTATATTATGCATTCCATTTGAGTCTTTGAAAAGTCCCTGGAGAGTCTAAAAGGTCCCTGGAGAGTTTAAAAGGTCCCTGGAGATTTTAAAAGGTCCCTGGAGATTATGGAAAGGTTTCTGCGGGTATATATATAGGCATCAGGATATTTTGAAAGGTCCCTTGAGATTTTGAAAGGTCCCTTGAGATTTTGAAAGGTCCCTTGAGATTTTGAAAGGTCCCTTGAGACTAAGGTCCCTGGAGATTTCTAAATCCCCCAGGGATTTTTTTATAGGCCTTGGGATATTTTGACAGGTCCCTATTTTGAAAGGTTTCTAGAGATTTTGAAAGGGTTACAGTGAGATTTTGAAAGGTCCCTGGAGGTATTGACAGGTCCCTTGCAAGATTTTAAGAGGTCTTTCAGGGCATTAGACAGGTCCCTGGAGAATTTGAGATCCTTAGAAAGGTCTTGACTGGTCCCTCAGGGATGTACAAGGGTCCCACAGAGATTACGAAAGTCCCTTGGCGGGGTTTTTTAAAAATCCCCAGGGAAGATTTCATATAGTTCCCTAGAAAGTGTTTAAGGTCTTTAATAGGGATACTAAATCGCAGTCAACCTTTAAAACGGTCTTTTTCCCTAGGAGGATTTTAAGGTCTTTAATATGGATACTAAATCCTAGTCAGATTTTAAAACAGTCTTACCGGATTGACTAGGGCACCCAGGCATTGCACAATGAAGGGACAGTTATGACTCTTAAGAACGACCTCCAGATCCATCAGTATCCTCTTGTTCTCCTCCTTATTCCCTGACCGTCTCATTTGCTGTACGGTAAGAAAGGGAAAAATCACCTTTGAGAATCCCTCATTTAATCCTGCTCACCAGTTAACATTTATAATAATAATGATGATGTGGTACTTAGGGCCCGTGACCATTCAGCCCCGGTATGAAAAGGGCCCCCCGGTAAGCTCGTACCCTCCCAAGAAGTCCTCTCGTACCGTCCCAGCTACCGGCCCAGGAGCTGGTCCGGTTGCTAATCAGGAACTCCTCTATCCTGGGGTCTATTGTTTGCAAGTATTGACACATGTAATATATCCCAAAAGAAACCCGCTTGTGGTTTTCATCTCTCAGCACGAAACAATAGAACACTTTCATCAGCACAGATCAAAACCCCTGCCATGCGGTTTCATGCACAATTGGACCGCAAATTACCAAGGCGTTTGGAAGGATTTTATCTTTAATCTGGTAAGTCTGCTATTGTTCTGCTCTGGACGTTCTCTGAAGGGGAATAAATTGATGCGCCTGACTGACTTCAAAACTTCTCGTCAGACAGGACCATGTACCAGACGAGACTGGGCTGGAGACCGGACTGGCTTTGGACCGGACGAAGTACCGGGGGGCCCTTTTCATACCAGGGCTGAATGGTCACGGTCCCTTATACAGCACTTAAAGACTCAAAAGCGCTTCACAATTATTACCCCTGTTCATCAGGCCATGTGACCAGTTTTTGCAGCAGCTCGAGATCAGCACATTCCGGTCTCTACCTTCAGGGGTACCCATTTATACTCCTGGGTGGAGAGAGGCAATTGTAGTGAAGTGTCTTGCCCAAGAACACAAGCACCATGTTCCTGTCAGGGTTCGAAACTACGTACAACGGCACTGGAGTTAAACGCCGTAACCGTTGGACCACAACACCCCTATGTGCCGATAACCATGCCCATAAACATGATAAAGAGTTACGTAATAAATAATTGTGAAGATGAATCAACAAGCCGACTGTGCACGTGATGGACTTGCGATCGACTTCTGATGGAGTCTTCTAAACCACCATAACTTGTACTTGTTGTACCCAAGTGCAAGACTGATAGATACATGAAGTCTACAATTCCTGTCTTAGCTAAACTTTTGTAATTCTTAATTGTTTACAATGTAGGCATGGTAGGTGCGAGTACTTCCTATTAGACCACCTTCCCTGAATGATCTGTCTTCAATTTTGAATTTTTTTAAAAAGTTTACAAATCAGTTTTTTTTAATATTGTGCTGTTTTGTGCTGTATACATGATCCTATACTTTGTTGTAATTTTATGCTTCTACTCCTTTTAACTGCTATTTAACAATTTTTAATTCCTGTAAAGTGTAAACGTGGTTATATCAGCGACTCTTTTGTGGCTGCCTACCTCGTGTTTTTATATGAATAAACCAGAATAATAATAATAATAACTGTTGTATTTTGTACGTACCTTGACGGCAACGATGGTTTTAGTGTCCTTGTGTCTCATTCGTATTACGTGCCCACAGCTGCCGAACCCCAGCTCATCTATTGCCTCCAGTGAGTCTATGTTGAAAGGCACACGCTACAAATGAACCAAATGATACACAATTAATCAGGGTTATGTAACAGTCGACACATACGTGTAATTCATCAGGCTAATTCAATACTCTTGTACCATGGTTTTTCAATTTCAAAATCAGGTGTAAGTGCTTCCAGTTCCAGCAGCTTTCGGAGTCAGGGCAGTACAGAATACAGCACTTCTAGAGACCTGTACACTCTTATCCTGTTAATCCCTTTGCCAACAAACTGGCCCCTGTTATCAGATACTGCTGCTAATCCCCTGCATTTGTCAAGTGTTAGGGATTATAAAGCCACTGTTTTGGACAAAGGATTAAGATAGGTTTAGAGGGCTGGCCAGTTTACAGTAAGTTTGACTGTTTTCTCTCAGAAGTTCCTAGTGGAGGTTACTCGCAATGAATACACGAACACGTGTGTGTGTACATGTACACATGTACATGTACAAACATGATGTACCGGTATGTCCATTTTCCATTTCAGGAAATCTTGAATTCAGTTACAACAAAACAAAAATATTTGACCATTTTGATTGAGGATGAATGGTGTTTAAAGAAGATGATCTTGGAGGATTGAGGATGAATACATTTTAAGAGGCAGGACTTTCGGAGGATATATTTTGTAAACACATTGTACACTGTACTTGTATCAGACTGTAATGGACAAAAGAACTTTCACACAGTTTTTTCCCCTTTATACTAGTATCCTGTTTTGTGTAATCAGGGTTTTTTTGGGGCAACTGCGGCAAAAGTCCCAACTTGACAAAAGGCCACAAACTGGAACACACACACACTTCCTGCATTGCACAATTTTGTTTTGAGGTCCATTTCTGTATACACCCCATTAGGCGAGTAACATTACTAATCAATCTACCGGTACTTCTTACGTGATCTCTTATGTGATTTACTCTTTCAATGTATCTGTTTATGTTTCTTTGTTTTTGTTTGTAAAGCGCATTGAGCATTAATTTGGAACTGACCTACCGGTATATAAGCACCGGTATTATTATTTTTATTATTATTACTTAGTACGAAAGTTCAATGCACTGAAAAAACTCAATGGCAAAATTGGGACATACTGGCACATGGTACATGTACATGTACATGTGTGTGCATGTACAGGTATGTACAATGTACATACATATACATTAAAAACACAGTGCCTACATGTAACGGTACCAGGTACTGTACAGTTTCTACAGTTTATAATCAAAAGTCATGGTTTCAGAAATCCTGTTTAGGTTGTTTTATTTGAATATATATTGTTAATTTCACTTTTGTTTTTTCGCTGATACATGTATTTAAGGTTTTATTTTGGCTTTCATGTGTTTATATACATACATGGCATGTACCGTATGGTGTACACATTGTAGTAATTTTTGTTTTTCAAAGCTAAAACAAGTCAAAAATGTCCTACTATTTTGTTCAACACTTGTACTTTATGTTTTGTGAAACACCCGCTTGCCATGTCTATGGTACATATGCCTCGTGCACAAAGTGCTAAAAAGTCTCCCCCCCCCCCCCCGGCCCCTCCCTCACCCCCATCTGCCAGGACCGGGTGCCATTTCCTGTATCCTCTCCCATCATTGGTGCAAGGTGTGAGCACGGGATATCCACTTAAGACCAATCAGGCTACATCCTTACAGGCCATATGCAACCAGATCCCTACACAGCCTGGTCTATCCTTGCAACCATGTCAAACTTGACTTTCCATAAATTGTCTCCACGGCCCAGGAGACATCTTGGTCATGCACCTGAAGCCATGTCAAACTTTACTGACACATTTTTATACCAAATGGGTTGAATTAAACCAAAAAGGTGCCAGTTTATTTAGGTAACAATTAATGTGTCTATATCTTCACTGCCACTTCACAGTAAGTTAAGACTGCTGTATGATATCATGTAAATGTACATGTACCCTCCTACTCTTCTGCACTTCACAACCATTCAAGTTTTGCAAACCACTTTTGCTCATACATGTAGAGTTAGTACTACACTTCACAATTATTTGAGGTATTCTTCTGTGAAGTGGTATGCAGTCTCAATCCAGCAAAATCCTCAGTTCTTTCTAGAATGTGGTCCGTGGAGGGGTGACCACTGCCTCAATCCTGCAAAATCCTCCAGCAATCACTGTCAATATGTGATGCAATCAAGCTACATGTACATGAGTCGTTTGTGTGGAATTTTCATTTAGAGATACAGGCCAAAATAGGGCCACTTCATCACATCACTTCATCACATCTCTTGGTGTTCCGAATTCCATAATTTTTGAACTAAAGATGGTATCAGCATGCGGTTATCATAGCAGAAATGCTGAGACTGTGCTCTTTTCAAATCTGTAATAAAACAATTTTTGACTGGGGTCGACAAACGACTCATTTAGCTTGATCGCATCACATATGTTGAGACAGTGCCAGTGACATCCTGGAGCAGTGCGGAGGATTTAAAGTACATCTAGGCCTAAATTTAAGCATGACTGAGCATTTAAAAGGTTAATCGAAACAAGGTCTAGCCCAAGACATTGACACAGTGCATCCCCGAAGCCAGCCACAAATTTGTGCAGGACCAATCCTGCGAAATCCTCCATTCTGCAAAGAGGATTTTGGAAGGTTAGAGTTAACGTATATTGTACGGTATATGTATGCATCCGTTGAATGCGCATAGTCAATGTGCCACGCATTGACTTTATTTATACACAATCCCAGCTTAAAACCGGGACACAAGAAATAGCAATCGCTAGTTTACGTTGTATCCCATCACTTCACACCTACCCCGATCAGGGTATACCGGATCCAGCCACACAGCACACAGACACATGTACTTACTAGCCAGGGGAAATCCCCCGACTCACTGCTAATTTCTGTCATCCCCCCATTGGCAGGGCTTCCCCCTAAGCCAATATCCTTTCAGTGTCTGTGTCTGTAATGCCCTGGGAACTGGCCGGGGGAAATTGAACTTGACAGGCCAATTATGTTTAATAGTCACTTTGGATCAAGCTACAACTTCCCTGGACTGGAACGTGCCGGCACGAACCCCTACGCTGAAAAAACAGAAACCTTTGCCAAGACTACTAAACCGGTTTTTGAGAAACTGGATGGCAGATTTTTTTTTCGTCCTGGTGCGAAGTGTTTTTGTGGTCGTAAATCAATTGGCGACATGTGTTTGCTTTTAACTCGGTTAAACCATGGGCAAGGCTACATGTATACTAAGGTGTAAAAGTGAGTTAATGTTGAAGAGTTTTAGGGCCGACTTTATCAATGTTTTCTCTAAAAGCATCTGGGCAGTTATTATTCGAACAAATTTTGTACGAGTTGCAGACATCATTCTGAATACGTAATTTGCATTCAGTGGAAATAATCATGCAATCACCCTTTTCTTTTTTATGGTTATTGCAATCTGGTACATACATGTACACGTGCATATTTCTCTGTCTAACTTGGTGTCACTGTCAACAACCTCTTCATTAAAACAAAACAAAAACATTTAAGGGGATGCGAAAACTTTTGGTGTCTAATAACATGCAAATGAAATTTTCATACAAAATGTGTACACACAAAAGACTACAGAATGTCATATTTGTTTAGGGGGGGGGGGGTTCAAGGGGCAATGGCCCGCAAAATCATTTTTTTTTAATCGGAGGACTGAAAACACCTTTTGGTCTTAAATTTTCAGGAAATAAATTAAAATGTTGCACATATATGAGTCGTCGGACTTATGATACAGCCTAAAACCTTGACACATTGCATCCTGCGAAATCAACCACACACTTTTACCAGCAGCCTCAATCCTGCAAAGTCCCCCATTTTGGAGGATTTGGGAAGGTTAGGGTTAGGTTTACATCTCAAGTACAGTAACTGCACTGAATTCCACAAGCTGAATTCTTCATGCAGATGAAATTAAGGTACACAGTTGTAATGACAATACAATGTACTACTGTACAAATTGCTCTCTTTCAACATTTCAATTCGATATTCCGATTGATTTGGACATCTATCCTGAACGATACTTACTCTTCCATCAACAGTCAGTTTGCCAGTCTGTCGCATGATTTCTTGGAGTTTCCTCTCAATCTCCCGGCTAAGGGTAAAGTAAAAGTCAACACCAAACAGTTTAATAAGGGAATAAATACAGTGTATGTGCTTGGCCGGTTCTATACATGTACATGTTTAAAACCGGCTAAGGGCCTGCCTGAACGCGCATAAATATCGGTACCTTTCGGTCAGAAAGTTAAAACAAGTCAAAAATTCACAAATTTCCAATGATTTCGTTCAAAAATTTCACTTCATATTTTGTGAAAAACCCCTCTGGCCATTTCTATGGTATATTATGTGCCGAATGCGCGTACATGTAGTGCTAAAAATCTCCTTACATGTATAAATTGGCGCACATGTGGTGCACACGTGGCACAGAATACAGCGGCGTTTTACCGGTGTTTTATCGGCGGTTTAAAAACACCCATGTGACAAGTTCTCGACCAATAGGAACTGGTAAACTGTCTCAGGTATTTATGAGTGAGAAATAATGATTTATCTGTTAGAGGATTGCATCTGTGTTCACAGAAATTTAAAAGTATGTTCTTGCTCAAATCCCTTGTAAACGACAATAACTTCCAGGAAAGATAAACATGATGTCAGTTTGACACACATACCTGCAAAAATAATATCAATTTAACCAGACTATTCAAATATTGTTTTGTCAAGCCCTGTAAACAATTTACAATCTTGGCTCAGTAAGGAATCAAACTCAACTTCCTGTTTACCTGCACAGACAAATGAACTACAGTTTACCAGGGTCTACTAGTGTTAAGAAATTTGAAATTATGTACGACGTGGGTTCGAATCCAAAGAGGCTGTGAAGGGGCTTCTCAAAGCAATGTTGTCCAATTGCTGACAAGCGCCACGTGCTCACTCTTCCAAGTTCTCCCAACGGCCTCCACTTTTAACACACTTGGTTACTTATTCAATCCCATTTTCTCCAGTTATATTTGGTCTGTGAACTTCAAACTTGCTGTAGAACGCATTCTCATTATCCTGCTCTCCATCCATGCAAAAATAACCAGGGATTTCTCATGACCAGTTATTTAAAATTGAGACTGATCAAGTCATGTCATCACTGCCCGCCTGACTGGCAGCCAAAGGGAAAAAGCTGTGCACAAAAATATAAAGACAGCATAAACATGGATGCGTCTGGCCATTTTTCACGAGTTATATTTGGGCTGCCACTTCCAAACTTGTTTCAAAATGTGGCCACACTATCCACCTCTCTATCCATGCAAAAATAGCTCTGAACATCACTGAAAAGTGACCAAAACTTGAAGACTTATCAAGTCATGTCATCGCTGGCCGGGGCTCGGCTGACAGGCAGTGAAAGGGAAAACGATGCACAGAAAAATAAACACAGCAAAATCCAAACCAATAGCAAACTCCACTTGTTGCACCAGATCTTTAAAAAAGGGGCATCTTCCCGACAGAGTGTGCATAACAAGTCTGACCATTACCTGTCAATGGAGTTTCTCTGAGGTGCCGACGACCGGGGAAAGTTGAAATCTTTGCCCTTGTGCTTTCCACCTTGAACACCGCCGATTCTAGACGCTGCCTGGCCATGATCCGGCAAATTCAGAGCTGTAAAGAACCCAAAGATTAGATGGTAAATGGTTTATGAAACAAAATGAGAGAAAAGGAAACAAATGATGGTAAAAGTTACTTTTAGGGCCACTCTATTTTATTAGTTCGCTCAGTTTTTTTATATTTCTTGCAAGGTGTTTATCATTCCAAAATGACATTTGCAGCTTCAAGCAGTCCTTTTTGACTTACATGTAGATTGACACTGCGTTTTTATCGTTTTGAACATATAACTTTGGGAGAAAATTCTTACCAGATTTGGAAGTCGAAGACATGCGCACTGTTACATTCCCTACTTGTCAGCCCGTGGTTTTGGAAACTTTTGGCAGTTATTTCCCCCTATCACTCTCAACCAATCAGAGATCATGTTCCAAAACCACCAGCCAATCATTGACATGCTTTTAAACTTGTTCGGCATTATCGTAATCTTCGTTTTCGAGTCGTGTGTTTTGTCGTCGTCGATGCGTTTTACCCTGTGATGTCCCTCATAGATCAAAACCCTACCCTCTTTCCACAAAATAAATCCTGTTGGCATTCAACACGGTATCGCTGCCTGTTGTCTAGATTAGTCAGAAAGCATAAGAGTGGAACCTCACCAGCTTTTTAGGCGAGTTGGAAACATAAACATAGGAATGAGCTCCTAAAAATAACCATTACCCTAATGACTGGTTCAATTCTCCCTGAGACCTATTTATTTTCCCCTAAAGCTATGAATGTTCATACTTTCATTTTGTTTAACCCTTCTATGCAAACATGAAAAAACAGTAAGACTGCTGCAAACTGCTTACTGACTGGATGGACCTGAAATATATAAATCTAAAAATTATTGTGGCCTGACGTTGCGAACTTAGCAAGTTCTTCTTCAGAGGCTAAAACAGTTTTAGCCTCTGAAGGGAACTTGCTAAGTTTGCAACGTCAGGCCACATTAATTTTTAGATCCTTCTATGCAAACATACATTCTGTGCCAAGTAGTCCTTTCAGTCAAAATCAATTTTCAACAGTTAAGAATTCCCAGCCTACATAAAACAGTACTTATTAACTAACTGGGACTGTTAAAGCTATGCTTTGACTCCAGGTGAGTGATAAAACAGCTGTGACCACAACTTGCCTGCTTTGTCTGTTGACCCAGTTTGACTAGTCACAGTGCTTGTTTGACTTATGATCTGACTGCTGTTGACTAGCCTTTGTTTAACCCTAACGTACCAGAATCGATCAAAATCCACACCCCTGTTTTGGAAGATTTCGGCGGAATCAGGATACCTCCATATTGAAATATATTGAAAAAGTTGGGGGATTTTGATGGATTCAGGACAGTAAGCCTAGCGGTACCGCAGGATTTTGACGGATTCAGGATACCTCCAAATTGAGCAGTTGGGGGATTTTGATGGATTCAGGATCTCAACAGATTTACTCCTGGCTAACTGGTGGATTCTGATGGACTCACTGCCAATGAACATTTTATGTCATGGCAAAATCGATGGATTTTGGTGGATTCAGGATACTTTCTAGTAAAAATACCCAAGGGGTTAGGGTTAAAGTATAGCAGGGGAAGTGAATTTCGACTGTCTGTGACTCACTGTAAACGAAGTGCATATTTTGCCGTGAATCAGTCTCATGTTTTTTTTCCATTCTTAAGCCGGCAGATCGTATAGCACCCTCATTTTGCACGGATACGAGTAGGCCTACACCATAAGAGATTAAATTACCATCTCTCGTCGAGCGAACACGTGGCCTGGTGGACAGCGCGCCCGCCTCGCAAGCAACGCTGCTCGAGTTAGAGTCCTACATGTACATGTACAATGTACATACTTTGACCGATGTTTTTGAAACCTTATTTTTTTGTGCCAAAAAATAAGAATTGTCTTCTTTATTGTTTTAAATTGAATCCTATATTTAATTGCAGAGTATTTCATCTTCTTTTTCTGATTTGTGGCTCTGGAGGATTGTTTTTTTTTAAGGGAAATAAAGTCCGAAATTGTAATACTAACGTTAGGGGTGATTCCCATCTCTTTATATGAAGTCACAACGATATCTGATAATGTTAGCGCGGAACCAGATGAAGATTCATCACGATCAAAATGTCTAAGTCCAAAAAATAGTCACTGCGCATATGTTCAGTGCCGGTCCAACAATACTGAAAACAGTCGGGGACCGGCTCACGGTCAAACATCCACTGCCTCTTTTGACCCAAATTGAAGACAGAAAGATGAACGACAAAAACTATTCAAAAATGTGGGAAGTTTCGTATACGGACGCCACTTATAATGTTATATGCCGCCAAACACATGTCAATGTTCATCTCACCTTGTGATTTCATTGAAGACAAATCCATTAGGCTTGGCAAAACTGAAAACAAATCAGGAAAAATGTGTTTTTATAGCTCATTTTGGGTGCACACATCGTTCAGGAAGCCGACCTTGCAGGCAGCCATTTTGAAGTCTGGAAGTCTGCAGTGCGCATGGCAACGCACTAGCCAATAACACTGCAATAGCTCTCATGAATATTTTTTATGAATTAAATTATTAAATATTAATTATTCTTGTATTTCAATGGATACCTTAAATACCTCAAATAGACCTTCAACGCCAACAGGCGCTCGTGGTTGAGTGGTTAACTGAAGGCCCGTGTGATTCACGACGCAAATGATCGACTTGAAACAGGACAAAACTGACTAAAAATGGGGGGGAAAATGAGCTCTACATGTCAATTTCCTGATGAGCATTGGAGCTGGAGTTTCTCAAGCTAACATCCTGATATTTCTTAAAACATCTGAACAGCTGGTATTGGTAAGGACACCTTCTTGAATATCAGCAGGTTTACTTTTGTGGAAAGAGGGCACGGCTTTGATTTATGAGGGAAATTATGGGGCAAAAAACGACGACAACCAGAAAACCTGCTCGAAAAACAAGACGGCGACAGTCATGACAGTGGCAAACACAATGAAAGCTTGATGCTGATTGGATGATAAAATTCTATTTTTGTATTTTTTGTATCAGCTAACACGGGCTTTCATTGTGCCTTGACAGTCTAGTCAGGGACAATCACGGAACGTACTGCTTCACGCGTGTTGTGTTGTGAGAACGCGCACGTCTCACATGTCTCAGGTCTCTGACCACAAAGAAAAATCACATTTTCTTTGAAACTGTGTTTCAAAATTACAACAAACATGCGTTAATCTGAAGGAAAAAAGGGAAAGATTCCCATCTGGCCATCACGTGTCACCCTGTGCACAAACCCTATGGGACTGGTCTGAAAATTTCTAAGTGTTTCTCAGTAAAAATTCTAAATTTGTCCTTGCTAATGTTGACTTTTTAGGACATATTATTTATTATCACTTTCTGATGGCTAATAGGTCATTTAAGGGAAAAAATACTGATGGCCAGATATGGGAATCTTTCCGAAAAAGACTGCTTTAGCCTGCAAAAGTCATGAAAGTCACTTTGCCTTGGTACTGTATAGACATCTGCTAATCTGCGATAAGGTCTACCAGAATCTGTTTAAAAACGTGTTTGCTTTGATTTGTAGGCCTACAATGTACACCTGTACACACAATATGCAAACGGATAATGACAATGCAATAATAGGCCTAGGGCTAGCCCCATAAATGTGGCCAATTTTCTGGACTACCTCCGCAAATAAAGGCCACACTTCCACCATGTACAAAAACATGTTGAACTTTGTCAAATTTTGATTTTCACATTTAGGCTTAGTTTGTGGTTAATTTTTGCTTCGGAAGCATGCTCACCCTCCATGCCCTCTTTATACTAGGCTAATCAGAAAGTGCTGCCTTTTTCAGATGTCTTTTTTTCATGAAATTTCCAGATTCGTTTGCACACGTTTGCGTATCAACATTTCAACATGAAATTTCACGAAAATTAGGGTAATCCTTACTTTTAGGACACCTCTATTTTTTACAAGTTCTGTTCAAAACTGACTTTTGCAGATGTCTGTCCAGTACCAAAGTGACTTTTGCAAGCTAAAGCAGTCTTTTTTTCTTCATATTAACTCATGTTAGTTCTAATTTTGAAAGCACTTTCAAAGAAAATGTGACTTTCCTACCTTTTTCTGCAGTCAGACATGCATGTTGTAGTTCTCACAACACAGTGAAAGCCCTACATTATGAAAGCCCGATGCTGATTGGCTGCTAAAAAAAATAAACAAGATGTTTATTTTTTATCAGCCAATCAGCAGCGAGCTTTCATTGCATCGAGCTTTCACGTTTGCCATCTTGGTTTTTGAGTCTGTTTTCTGGTTGTCATCGTCGTCTTTTACCCCTGAATTTCCCTCGTAAATCAAAGCCCTGCCCTCTTTCCACAAAATTAAACCTGCTGATATTCAAGAAGGTGTCATTGCCAATCGTTCAGATGTGTCAAGAAGTATCAGAATGTCAATTTTGAGTGTCATTTAGTCAACTGTTTTGGTGAGTCTTTCCCTTCCTATATAGGAACGGGGTCCTAAAAGTAAGGATTACCAAAATTAGACATCTGAAAAAGGCAGCACTTTCTGATAAGCCTATAAGTATAATACACATAATACAGAGGGCGAGTATGCCTCTTAAGCAAAAATAAACTACAAACTAAGCCTAGGCCCTAAATGTGAAAATCAAAATTTGACAAAGTTCGACATGTAGTTCATGTCATGCATGTAGCCTGTAGGCCTAGGCTAGTTGTTTATGATGTGGTGGAACTTCCTTTTCCCTTTATTTACGGAGGTACGCCTACTCAGGTAGTCCAATAAATTGGCCACATTTATGGGGCTAGCATAGGGCCTACTTGCACTTGCAGCGTTGTACAGTACAACTAGTACATGTAGTATTGAGTATCAATCATGATCATTGAGTGCCTATCATCATGCACAGCCGCAGCACGTCCACAGAATGCATTGCATGCACACTTCAAAACAAAAACCTCAGTCTCCATCGCGTGAACTACGCATTACTAACCCATGTTCCCTGGCCCACCGACCACCTTACTCACCCGGTCTTTGCCTGTGTGATTTGGGGGAATCATGCTTCAAATCTATGGGTAGTCTGTCTCTCTTTCTGGCTTCGTTCTCCGCCATCAAACTGGCTTCCAAGCGATTTAATTTCTGGTGTAGTTCCACGGAAGAGGACATTTTGGCCATTTCAGAATATTTGGGGTCAGTGCAGCCTCTAACAAACGTTCTAAATCACTAATACTCTTAACTTCTCAGTTAAAATAAATAATATAGAATGAACATTTCAGTTTTATAATAAAATTCTGATACTGATTTTTATCCAGCTGGATATATTTGAAAATATGTACATTTACGATTTTGTTTATTGTATGCAAGTATAAATACATTGATTATTTAAATTGCCTAAAGTTCGCGGCAAAAAATAAGACCATTGTACAGAAGCGCGCCATATGTATGTACACTATGGGATCCCTATACTATACTGTATTGTACTACTTTACGAAATGGTATTTTTTTGTGTAGGCCTACAAATATATATGCAGACATTGAACCATGACTTTCACGTAAAAGCATGCGACTGATTGCGCGTTTCCCATACCGGCGGCAATTTTTGTGTCTCGCTATGAAAGAAATGATCGGTCGTAAAGTTCTGCCCGGCGTGTCCAGAAATGTGATACCTGCGATGAAGATTTCTGTGCAGAGTGAGGAGACCATCTCGAGAAATTATGAGGTAGGAAAACGCCGCCACAGACAGCCAGAATACCATGAATACGGGCTGCGCTGCGCGAGGTGGTCGGGACATGTGACATGGGGGACATGCATGATGATGTAATTCATAGGCAGTAGTATTTGATGTACACGTACATGTGCAAGTGGACAAATGCAGTTTGCAAACTGTCATGATTTCATGCATTGATCATACTATTACTAGAGAAAAGCTTTATTCCCCATTCTCAGATTCTTTGTTTCTTTTAGCGTTTTGTCAATTTTGTTGAGTTTGTAAACGTTAAAGGGAAAATACAACATTTCCAAACATCAAAAAATAAAATTACCAAATCATTTTGAAATACCTTGCTGGACTGTTAGTGAATGACAGTGTAAAGCATCCTGTAAAATCGTGGCACCTGGTATACTGTCATTTTCAAGAAAAGTGGTATTTTTGTATCAATTTCCAACGCTGGTCGGCCGACCAGCGTTGGAAAAAACTGGCTTTTTTTCAAATACTGGCCCCAATTGACCATCGCACTTGTTTGCAATCGATTACACACCTATGAACGGGTACAAGCCAGCTAGACTGGTTCCCTGACCTTACAATTCCCCAATGTATGTAAACTGCTCTGTTTCTTCTTATATGGAGTCAGGGAACCAGACTACAGTACAATGAATGTTTTTCTTGGTTTTTATAGCATTTTCGAACCCAAAACCTCAAAAAAGTCAGTGTAACTATATTTGCTATATATTTGCAACCCCCCAATTCCATCCATTTCTGAAAATTATAGCAAAAGCAAATGATGTATATTCCCTTTAAGGATACGACAACCTAGGCCTACATATACATGTACACATTCATCACTCACTAGACATCATCCGAATATTAACATGATTAAAATAGTTTGGTAATGATACTAGGTACGCAGCAAGATTTGACAAAAAAAAAATTGGAAAAAATGTTGCAAACTGATGCCACTTCCGCGATTGTTTACAAAAAAAAATGTTTGTCATAGTCCCAGATTCATGTCTTAGTTAAATTATCACCATTTTTGCAATGAATGACCTTCATTGGGATGATATGAAGAAAATATTGGGGTCAGGTTGAAGCATTTTTCTCACTTTTTTTTTGCAAAATGTTAGGAAAGATTCCCATATCTAAAAAATTAGTGACCTATCAGCCATTAGAAAATGCTAATAATATGCCCTAAAAAGTCGAATTTAGCAGGGAAATTGATTGAAGTATTTACTAAGAAAACACCTTAAATGTTCAGACCAGTCTCATAGGGTTTGTGCACTGGGTAACAAGTGATGGCCAGATATGGGAATCTTTCCGAAAGGTTTATCCCAAAAGAAAAATTGTCAAATCTTGAAGTTGATGTGCAAATGCACTCAGTTGGAATACCTCACTGGCTCGCAGGAAAAGATGTATCATAACGTTGATCTTTACCTCAGGAGCCCATTCCATCTGAAACCACAGCAAAATTAGGATCTCGGTCTGAATTTTCATTGGCTTGCAATTTCATTTGCCCATTTCTGAATTATTTTCTACATGTATGCTTTAGTTTAGGTACACTGTATACAGGTACGTATTACATTGTATTTAATATGCCCTCCTCATGCTTTTAAACACCACGTTTTAGGCAACTTTCTTTACAAACACGCATTGTTTAACTAATGTTAGGGACGCTATTTGCAGTTATACATTTCTTAATTAAATTAATGCTAGGGGTTGCTATTTGCAGATGAACAAACATGTAATTTACATAATATGTATGGATAACAGCTTTTTAGGCCATTTCTAAAACAGTAACAGTTAAATACAATACTGGCTCAGCATCATCTTTTTTAATGCATCAGTGACCAGGGACTCTGAGGCAGTTTGGCCTTGAGACTTTTGATCTGATGGATTGCTACAATGGGCAGGCTTGTCAGTTTGACAAGTGTTGCATGCTACTGCTTTAGGCAGAGTTTCTGGCCAAAATATACCCTGGAGGGTAAGGGTAGTCCCACTTGTTTGTCTTGTTTATTTTTATTTATTTTTTTTTTAAAGCATGGCGGGCAACTTTTTAAGCATGACAGCCACTTTTTGAGCTTGGCAGGTGCCTGGGAAAGCATGGCGGGGCACCAGGTTATTTTTACAGGTTGGAGTAATTCTGGTAAATGTGAAGTCACTGACAAAGTATTTTGCTTCTGGTTGACTCAAGACATCAGCGCAGACGTTGTATCACTTGGCACTTCAAACTTGTCAAGAAGTTGTTACATGTATGTGTTCCATGTTATCGTGTCATGCTTTTCTGTCCTTGGCCATCCTTCCTGCCTCTACCAGAGATGTCAGGTTTCTTTTGCTCAGTCTGCTTTGAAGCAGGCTGTCCACCTTTTATTTAGCTGGTCGTCCTTTTAGGCGAGTTCCTTGGATATTAGCTACCAGAAGAATGTTTGGGTACCTGCCATTGTGCATCCTTTGGACATGTCCAAAGAAACACAGCTTTTTTGGTGTTGTGGTTTAATCATAGTGACTGTCTTATTTTGGATCTGCGGATTTTATGGAGACATGATGAGTGGGGTGTCATACATGTATGGCCTATCGGTTAAGAGCACTGCACACCAGACTCGTGCTCTGGTGTTTCAGAGGCAGCAAAAGGGGGTTAGAGCCCAGGTCTGGACACTTGTGCCCTTAAGCAAGGCACTTGACCATTGTTGATTCGTCCTGCGGATAGGACGTAAGCCATACATGTAGGTCCTTTGTGTTGTGTAAAGCAATGCACGTAAAAGAACCCAGTCTTAACAATTATCGCTAAGAGAAGGGGTTAGCCGCGGTGTTTCTGGCCTCCTGTTAAAACTCCCCTGCTGAGTATTTAGGAGAACCAACCAATTAAGTACCAAGTGATATTCTCAAGATTTTCCCCGGGCACATCATCTCGAAGACCAGCAGATGGTTTTTGTCATCTATTTTCAAGGCTTTTGGTTAATAAATGTGAAATAAAATTGATGACCATTATGTATCTTGTATGTACATAATTGTACATATGTGTGCATGTGCCAGAAGTATTGCACCCTATTCTTCATGGTTAGACGTCACTGTTTACATTACTACATGTATCTTTATATCAGTACAAAAGTTATATACCGTACCTGTATGAATATACATGTACCTGTATGTTCAAGCTTATCACAAAGTATTGGACCACTGCCAATTTTTATCAGAAAGGCTGATAAACTGACCTGCCCTTTTTAATAACAGTTCTCTTGTAAAAATATCCTGAGAATTTGGATACGAACTGTGCCAACTTTAATCTTGTTTTGGTCCTAAAGACTTAAAGGTACATACAACATTTGAGTTTGCTGTAATTTTCAGAAATTAATGGATTTGTGGGTTCATATTTTATAGCATACTTAGGTGCCGTGATTTAACAGGTTGCTTGAGACTGTTATTCACTTACAGTGAAGTAAGGTATTTCTTAATAATTTGGTGGTTTTGTGGTTTGTTTGCAAGTGTTGTAGGCCCTATAGGCCCTAACCTTTAACGGGTAACAATCATAACAATTGATAAATCCTAAATATTAGTCTGAGGAATATTTATAGTTGGTCCCAAAATAAAAGAGCTCAAAGTCTAGTAAAGCTAAATAAACAATGTTTGTGTGTCAGTCCACAATGTTTTGACATTTGAGACTGTCTGGAAGCTTAATAATGCAGAAAGTAAACAAAAATGTAAAAAATTTAGTAGAGGAAATATTGAAAACAATCTTTTTTGACTGAAAATCTTTTCTTTTTTTTTGTTTGGAAATAGTCATTCTCCTATTTCAAGCACGTCCCAACACAGAATTTACAATTGTTTTGGGGGAAAAAAGGGGGGGGGAGGAGTCTGCTTCATTTGAAAAAAAAACATCAAAAAACTGTTCTGATTTGATTGACCCTTTTTTGCTAGGATGCAACCTCAATCTTGCTAAGTCCTCCAACTGCCTCCATGTAAAAATTGCATACAGCCTCAATCCTCCGTTATTTCTTGAATGTGCTCCTTGGAGGGGTGACCACTGCCTCATTCCTGCAAAATCCTCCAGCAATCACTGTCAATATGTGGAGGCAGAGCCAGTGACATCCTGGAGCAGTGCAGAAGATTTTAAGTACATGTATAATCTACATGTAGGCCTAAATTTATGGACGGCTGAGCATAAACAACACAAGGTCCGGCCCAAGACCTTCACACAGTGCATCTGCAAACAAATCAGCCACACCTTTCTCATGTAGCCTCGATCCATTTTGCTAAGAGGATTTTGGAGGATTTGGGAAGGTCAGGGTTAAATTTTGAGTTTTGCAAACTGCAGTTTTCTGAATAACCAGTTCCATTACAACCAATTTGTGCATAAATTAGCTGATAAAGAATTTTCTCTCAAAACGTTTCTCGGAGTTGGCATCTTCCTGCTTCTGAAGTGTGGCACTGCATTAAACTGAATTGTCATTGAATTGCTAATTTGTCTTTAAGGAAAACATGCAGTTAATGTCAACACAAATTGGAGCTCTCGAGTGAGAAATTGTAATGATGGAAATAATCACAAAAGTTAAAAAATGGTGAGTTTTTTTATGCATTTTTTATTTATTGTAGGAAGCAGTGAAGAGACTGAACACCCTACAGAGTAATGCGTCAGTGTTGGCCAATGTCGTGAACAACAAGCTCAATGAAAGGGCTCAGGGAAACATCAAAAAAGTGGAAGAATTCCTCCAAAGAGCTGGAATGATGGTATGAATGAAGAATTGAAACCAGCAAGCCAGCCCTGCTAGGCTTGTAGGCCGTGTTACACTCCCGGTTATTGTGTCAACTCGTAGTGCATTGTACCTGACGTGGAATTGAATATAACTCAGTTTCATTTATCAATAGTTTAAATCACAGCAAATCTAATATTGACTTTGCCAATGCAATCAAATGGAACTTGGGGGTGAAATGGGGCCTTGAAATTCCCCCCTTTGGCCCTTTAATTACCGTGCCGTACCTGCTCTAAATAAACTCAACCAAAAAGAAAGTCCCCCCTTCCAATACTTTTTTGTCTAACTCAAAAACTTCTGAGCAGCTCTCGCTCAAAAAAATAATGACTAATTAGTACAGAAAATCCTTAGCAATCCAGCCATACTCTCTAACATGTCTAATTGACCCAAAACAGTGATAATGTGTACGAATGTATGCAATTTATGACAAATGATACCAAAAACAGTTGCACTTTTGTATACGTGCAAGTTGTGGTTCACCCTCACCTTGCACGCATACAAAATTGCACCTTTTTTTCGATACCATTATTTTGTCATAAATTGCATAATTTTGTACACGTTATCACTGTTTTCATGGTTTTGGGCTAAACAAAAAGTATGGCTGGATTGCTAAGGAATTTCTATACTGATCAGTCGTAGTTTGAGCAAGATTGAGGGGGGGGACTTTCTTTTGTGGTTGAGTGTAGTATTCAATTCAATTCAATTCAATATTTATTTCCATACTGAATAACAGAAAGCAAAATACAAAATGGCGGAGGCACAATCCTAATAAGCCAAGACATGAAATAATTATATTGTTAATTAATTAATTAAGTCAAGGACAAAGATAAACAAGAGGACAAAATGATCTGACCAGAAATACATTTTTAAAAATGACGTGGAAAAAAACCGAAAAACAGCAAGAGAGGTGGCAACAGTGGAGAACAAACTGAAGGAAAATAACAAAACAAAACTATGCTACATATTGGGAGATAAGATACTCTTTGAAAGAGTCATTAAAAGAGTACATGTATGAGACCCTGCAGGTGATCGTCTGCTTTTTTGTCGTTTTAAGCTCGATTGCTCTACAGATTGGTCAGTAAAAATATTGTGTGCGGAACTAATTCCAAAGGAGCTTTACTATTTTCCACCACAATCGCATAAATAACACTATGAGTATAAACCTCATGACACAGTGTTCAGTGTTTGACTGCACTATTTGATAACGCCCCTGAAAAAGGTGCGGGAGCGTGTTCTTTACATGTATCTGAATGGAATGGGCCCTAAAGGTAGGTCATGTCCCATTGCGTTCCACTGAAAACATTAATTTTTGGATTCAGGACAACAAACTGAGTATGAACACACAAAGTTTACTTAATTCTCCAACCGGTACTACGGAACTCATTTTCTGCACTTTTTTTTACGGGAGTGTAACACTTACGGCCTGTTGGTTGTTGAGTAGTTAAAGCTACAGTCCATCATTTGTAATTTGTACATTTTGTTCGTTTGAAGCAACAAAAGAGTTCAAAATCTAATGAAGGATACTGAGCAACTAACCTGATGAAGTTTCAGCTAAGCTTCAGCTGTACATTCCGAGAAAAACAGCATTCTAAGATCTCAATTTCAAATCAAAAGTTGTTGAATCATGTTTTGAATTGTTTTGAATTGTAACTATACGCGACGTCCCGCACTAATCCGACGAATTATAACAACCGCGCGCGTGTGCGTCGTTCAAATACTTGTGCGCGCTTCGCTGAATAACAAAACGAACTACTAATTTAAATTTTCCTACGGTGCTTCTTAAGAATCAACGTTGGAAATGCCTTCTTTCGTTGATTACTTCAAAATGACAGCTTCCCAGAAAGAATAATTTCACAGGGAGTTTAGTCCCCTTACTATCTTTCAACCAAGTTAGTTTTTCAACAATAATTGCGCCAGTTACTTTTCGGATAGCTGCAAATGATGGACTATAGCTTTAAAACCACATAGTGTGATGCAATTGAACTTCTATTAACCGTGGAATAGAACTTCTATTTTTGCGGTGCTGCTGGGCTGTGGGTTGGGACAAATAATTCAATGACGTGATCAACAACCCAGAGATCAGATGACGAGGATTTGTTCAGGTGTTGTATAAGGCAAACAATGTTGCATTGAATTGAACCATTATTTTGTCATAAATTGCATAATTTTGTACACGTTATCACTGTTTTCATGGTTTTGGGCTAAACAAAAAGTATGGCTGGATTGCTAAGGAATTTCTATACTGATCAGTCGTAGTTTGAGCAAGATTGAGGGGGGGGGGACTTTCTTTTGTGGTTGAGTGTAGTATTCAATTCAATTCAATTCAATATTTATTTCCATACTGAATAACAGAAAGCAAAATACAAAATGGCGGAGGCACAATCCTAATAAGCCAAGACATGAAATAATTGTATTGTTAATTAATTAATTAAGTCAAGGACAAAGATAAACAAGAGGACAAAATGATCTGACCAGAAATACATTTTTAAAAATGACGTGGAAAAAAAACGAAAAACAGCAAGAGAGGTGGCAACAGTGGAGAACAAACTGAAGGAAAATAACAAAACAAAACTATGCTACATATTGGGAGATAAGATACTCTTTGAAAGAGTTATTAAAAGAGTACATGTATGAGACCCTGCAGGTGATCATCTGCTTTTTTGTCGTATTAAGCTTGATTGCTCTACAGATTGGTCAGTAAAAATATTGTATGCGGAACTAATTCCAAAGGAGCTTTACTATTTTCCACCACAATCACATAAATAACACTATGAGTATAAACCTCATGACACAGTGTTCAGTGTTTGACTGCACTATTTGATAACGCCCCTGAAAAAGGTGTGGGAGCCTGTTCTTTACATGTACATGTACATTGTACATGTATCTGAATGGAATGGGCCCTTAAGGTAGGTCATGCTCCATTGCGTTCCACTGAAAACATTAATTTTTGGATTCAGGACAACAAACTGAGTATGAACACACAAAGTTTACTTAATTCTCCAACCGGTACTACGGAACTCATTTTCTGCACTTTTTTTTACGGGAGTGTAACACATACGGCCTATTGGTTGTTGAGTAGTTAAAGAGGTTGTGGAATGCTCGAAGACATTTCCGTCATTTTTCGGGTATATATAGCCTAAGGTGTGATGAAATAAAAACGACTATTGTTTCTGTCATGAAATGAGTACAAAAAGTACTTTTGAGAGCTGTTTTTCAGGTCCAGTTTCGACCCGAACGTGCAATTGTGTAAAAAAGTTGTCGTTGCGGGCAGCAAACAAAACACAGTAAATCGTGACGTAATAAACAGGACTCCCGATACACAGTAGCATACACGAGTCCTGTTTATTACGTCATGATTTACTGTGTTTTGTTTGCTGCCCGCAACGACGACTTTTACACAATTGCACGTTCGGGTCGAAACTGGACCTGAAAAACAGCTCTTAAAAAGTACCTTTTGTACTCATTTCATGACAGAAACAATAGTCGTTTTTATTTCATCACACCTTAGGCTAAATATACCCGAAAAATGACGGAAATATCTTCGAGCATTCCACAACCTCTTTAAAATCACATAGTGTGATGCAATTGAACTTCTATTCACCGTGAATTGAACTTCTATTCACCGTGGAATAGAACTTCTATTTTTGCGGTGCAGCTGGGCTGTGGGTTTGGACAAATAATTCAATGACATGTGATCAACAACCCACAGATCAGATGACGAGGATTTGCTCCGGTGTTGTATAAGGCAAACAATGTTGCATTGAATTGAACTGAATTGAAGCAGCACTAAGTTTACAGTGAAGGGAAAATGCCATATTTGAGATTTTGTACTGACGAATCAGTGGTTCAACGTTTCCTTTCTTCTTCTTTTTTTTACAGGTGGAGCAGTTGGATGACCTTTCTATTATCCATGTGAGTGGGACTAAAGGCAAGGGATCCGTCTGTGCCATGTGTGAGAGCATGCTGCGAGCTAGTGGTTTCAAGACAGGATTCTTCAGGTATTGCTTGCACTGTTGTGGCTTGAGCTGTGTGTTTTAGTGGCGGGAGAAATCGGAGATTCCAAAATCCGGTTAACCAAATTGTTTTGAAACCGAGTAATGGTTGTTCGATTTCACAGGAAGCTGTTGTTCAGCTCAAAGTTATGCAAACAAAAAGTGACAAGTGAAGTGCTGTATGCAATGCCCTCTATGATGATTGGGTATCGTTTGCAGGATTCAGTGACCACTGGGCCTAAGTTACAAAAACAAGCCAGAGCTCTACGTAATGTTGACAAAAATTGGGGGAGGAGGCTTTCTGTAAATTTAGGGTCCAAAAAAGTGTGATATTGTCCTGTTCCAGTTACGTGTACATGTAGCGTATACATTTGAGTATCATTAAGAATGACTTCAAACTATTTTTTGTCATTATTGGGCAGGTAGTTTAATTGCTATTCATAATCACTCGGAGGATGACTACATTAACCCTAACCCTGCCAGTCGCAACACAGTGCATCAGGTGGAAAAGTCTGGTGCACTTGGATGCATTCAGCTACCAACACCAGTGCATCCTGGAGGGTAGGGGTTAAGGAGTGCATCAGAATTAAGGAAAAGTGAAAAATTAAGGGGAAAAAGTGGACCACACATTTCTAGAATGATCCATATACACGGACATGAACACCATGTGTAGTGACTAACTCTAATATAACCAGAAAACTCTTCTCCTTCACTCCACATACATGTAGCATGTTTCATCACCACTCTCCTCCGAAGCTATGCTCTGCACCATGCAAAGCCTCAAATCACACCAATTTCCATGAGTGATTTTTGCAAATTGTCGTTTCCGAACTTCCTATGCACAGCTCACCGCACCTGGTTGAGGTCCGGGAGCGAATTCGCATCAACGGCAGACCCTTACCCAAGGATGTCTTCACTGATTACTTCACGAAGATCTTTGATCGCTTGGAGGAAAGCAAGGCATCCCATGGTGGGGAGATGCCCGCTTACTTCCGGTTTCTCACCGTACTGGCTTTCCACGTTTTCCTTGAGGAAAAGGTCATTTTACCAAGATATATATTTGGGAAATGTATTTGCCCTTGTAAGACAGTTTTTACTGCACATAGGATCTTTGCATTTACCCCAAAAGTACATTTTGTAACCTATGAATGATCGTACTGGTATTATAAACAGCCCGTGACATTATTTTGTCTGGCTTGCTGTCATTTAGAAGAAATCAAGAAATGTAGGCGATTTCCAACGATCAGCCAATTGGCTGTTTTATGGAATAAAGAGTTATAATGACGAACTCACGTTTCATGATCAGAAGGCGGTGTAAAGTTTTGCACAGTTTTTTCGAAAACTGTAATGTCCACTGAGCTGAAACTTAGCAGGTTTGGTGTTGACACCTAGTGCATCCTGCAAAATCAGCCATACATTTTGTTTTCCATATAGCCTCAATCCTGCAAAATCCTCCATTTTGCAAAGAGGATATGGGAGATTTGGGAAGGTCAGGATTAACAAGATCTGTTATTACAGTTTTATCAATATGGACAACTACAAATTGTTAGACAAATTCCTAATACGTTTAAAGGGGTAATTTGTGTAAAGTTGAAATTGTTTCCATGAAAAAGGGAACAAGACCAAAAAAGGATTCAGTGGTAATTGTAAATATTTCCATTTATTATTTTTTTAGGTTGATGTTGCTGTCGTTGAAGTTGGCCTTGGTGGATCCTATGACTGCACCAATGTTATAAGGTATTGTATTCAGCAATTGCACAAAAGCATTATAATATGTGATGCAATCAAGCTAAATGAGTCGTTTGTCGACCCTGGTCAATTTTTTTTTGTACAGATTTGAAAAGAGCACAATCTCAGCATTACTGCTGTGAAAACATGCTGGTGCCATTTGTAGTTTTAATTATGGAAGTCGGAACACCACGAAATGTGATAAAGTGGTCCTACCGTTCCCGACAAATCATTTAGCCTGATCGCATCACATATCTTGACTTGTAAATTTTTTGACCAGTTTTATAACTGATCACCTTTGTTACTAAATTTAAAATCCTGTGAGAAGTTTCATTTGGTATATATCTGAAATTTTAACAGATTTTTTTCTTGATTTCAGAAGGCCTAGGAAAATTACCTGTTTTCCAAAGTAGGCCAAACTAAAGCCAAGGCAGCAAATGTACATGTAGAAACAGTTCTTGCAGAAGTTTCAGAAGTATAATTGGACTGTCTTATCATAAAACATGAAGGAGTTTTATGAGAAAGATTTGAGTGCACTGGTCATATTGTGACTTACATTCTCAGAACGGATCCTTTCACTCCAAATTTTGAACCAATAGTACTTCACATTGGCTTTATAATTTGTTAACACATTCATACATACATGTATTAAATAAACAGATTTAAATATCAAATCCAGATTAATATTTTGTGATATAAATACCACTGATGTTCACAGTTGCCAATAATTTTAATGATATTAATTGTTGGATGATACATGTATTAATATTATGATGTGCGTTGTTGATGATATTTATTCATTTTGGGAATACATAATTAACATGATTAATTTGACATTGTGACTTTTCTTTTTCAAGTTTGGTCAAATGTGTCCCTCCAGGACAAAACCGGTCACTTTTTGAAAACTAGGATTTGGGCTCATTGGAAAAGGACATTGAATATTAAAGCTTTCCAATGATGTATAGAATTTGAAACTAATAATCAAGAAGGTTGTCATTGAAGTTTTCAAATGCACTCATTAGGAAATTTACAAATTAACTTCACTGAAAGTAAAATACATGTATCTTCATTTATAGTCTTGTTAATTGTAACGCCTAAATCTGAATTTGATAATGTTTGCTTATACATGTACATTGAACCATATACTGTAGACTGCACTACAAGTTTACATGTACAGGGTGAGTGTAAAAAAAACGAAACCCAAATGTCGGGACCATTGTTTTAGTGAAGTTCTGCATGTAGCACTTCCAAAATCTAGGATATGAAAGCCCGATTCATAAGCTTTCTTTTAGTCAAGAATCATTCCAATCACTCATGTACGTTTGAAGTTACAGACTTATAAACACAACCACCATTTTTAAGTTCTGTCCACGGATCAACAGAAGGTAAGTGTTCTTTCGGCAAAACGAAATCAAATCACATTGGGTTGTGTGTGAATTGTTTCGTTTTTCTGAAAGAACGCACACTTTATTGTGATCAATGGACGTAACTTTAAAATGGTGGTTGTGTTTAAAATTCCATAACTTCAAAAGTATGTGAGTGATTTGAATGATTCTTGTACTAAAAGAAAGCTTATAAATTAGGCTTTCATATCCTAGACTTTGGAAATGCTACATGCAGAACTTCCCTAAAACAATGGTCCCGACATTTGGATGTTGTTTTTTTGACTCACCCTGTACAATGTATGTGTATCTCAAAATTTGCCCAAGAGACTTCAGACTGTATTAGTGCTGGAGGGTCACATGTAACATATACAACATACAATGATTTTTTTCCTGCAGGAAACCAGTGGCCATTGGCATAACATCACTGGGACTGGATCACACCAGTGTACTGGGAGATACGGTAGAAAAGATAGCATGGCACAAGGCAGCCATATCCAAGGTAAGATCATAGTAGCCTACATATGACATAAGTAAGAGTAAAAAATAAATAACCTCGAATTATTATTTTTTCCCTAAAAAGCAATTAAATTTGATACATCATTGAAGCATTAAACAAGCACACATGTATTCCTCCACTCATCTGAATAAATCAAGTCTTTTTTCCTGAAATGAGGATGAGTTTCGTCTGTTTTATTATGCACCTGTTTGTTCATTGTATTTAATAAAGGGTATTCATCAATGTGTATCGATAATTAAAAATGTAGAGATGAAGAATAGATGTAAAATGTCTGTGTTTTCAGGATTCAGGCTTTTTAGTTTTGAAGGAATACATTATTTTTGGAAGGTATGCATTGAAAATGTACAAATAATTAGGCCTACAAAGGTACTTCAATAGAGTCCGAAAATTGGCACATTTGTTCATTAAAAAAACACATTTAAATCCCCCAATTCAATTTCATATCCTCGTCTTGGGCCCAAAAAAGGCTTCGTTTTCTGGTATTAGGCCATCATCCTGGGGGTTTGGCCAGTATCAAATCAGGGCATAAATGATTATAGTGCGCATGCGCAAGGTATACCGCCCCTAGAGTGGTAACAAGCATTTTGATGGACATTTTGAAAAAAGGGTGATAACACCTAAAAAGCTGCCACCGCTGCAATGCTATCACATATTTTCCAACTCTGGAGATGAAAACCTTGCCAAAAATCACAAGGACGATTATTCCCCTCATTTGATACCGGTGGCCAAAATTTTGATGGCCTATGCTGATGGCCTATATATGGAGCTTGCCCCAAAAGTGTTGCGGCGACGCACGTTTTGTTTTTACTTTTTTTTTCTTCAAATGTCGGCTGATGACTGCAAATTAATGGTGCCTGACTAAATTTAGTGCAAAGTGTATGGGCACCCAGAGAGGCCACATAAAGCTTATACTCGATCGTAGCATGATCTAAAAGCAGCCGGATTCCAGTCAAACCAGTGAGTTTGGCTGCGGTTTAGAAACATCATCTTACATTGAATAAAAACTTTTTAATTTTGCCGATGCGCATGGCTACGGCGACTCGCGCGCATACCAGAAACCGGAGCCTTTTTTTTGTTTTTACCTTGGATGGGTAGACCTAAAGATCAACTTGCAGCTGCACAATCAGTATTTGATTTTAGATTGTCTGGAATATGTCTAATCAAACAATCAAGATAATTCAAATAATTAAGATAATAATTTTGAAAAAATGAACCTCTGTAGAATGCAGCGTATTACAGTGTCACAAGTTAATCCAAGCTTCAAAGAGGATCAGAAATATAAGTATTTGGATGTGATTTCCAGCATCTTTTTGTTTTGAATTCACATTCTGCTGAGGACAATCCCATTCTGATAGCAAATCACAATGTTTTCCTCTTTTTTTTCTTTTTTTTGACCTCGCACAGCCTGGCCGACCTGCTTTCACTGTGCCACAGCCAGAGGGCGCTATGAAGGTTGTCAAGGATACAGCAGTGGGGTGTGGGGTAAGTGTGAAATATGTGCTACGTTCCACTTCTTCTAACAGTGTGTATTGCGTGCTATTATCAAGCATCACCACGAAAAGTATGTTGAACATGTTGAAGGGCTATTTTGTCAGCAATGCAAGTATTATTAATTTTTTAGTGTGACACTGACCACAAAAAAATCAGCCCATGTATAGTTTGAGGAATTACTGAATTACTTAACAAATTTTCAATAATTTGTGGCCGGACAATAATTCAGTTTTTAAGTGGTAGGCTGGTTTAGATATCAGAATTGATAATGTACATATATGGACTGGGAACCAGTCTACCCAAAGTGCAGATCTACTTGTGTGCAAAAGCATGCCCTAAAAATAGAAGGAAGCCAAAAATAGTTTTTCCTTTAAAATGGAACATTAAGTTAAATTTTAAATAGGGCCTAAAGTGCAAAGTGAAACTGACTAGGTGCAGTATAATAATATTTTTATAACAATATAAAGCTAAACTTGTTATATACAAAATATATTAATTTGTTGCAGATCACATACATTGTACTGGACATCGTTAATTAACCAGGAAATGAACTCGTTATATTGCTTTGCAGGACTCATCCATAGATTTTTTTTTTTGAAGTAGGGGCCTTCAAGTTTTGAAAACTTGTTAGAACAAAAAAAAAATTGAAATTGTTTAAGATCAAATATGTTGCATCTTCAACCAAACTGCGTCGATTTTCGCCACATTTTCCAGCCAACTTCTGATAAACAGCCAAACAGAAATACTGATTCTTAAGAGTAATTTGAACAGTTTTTGTACGATTTTTCTTGCCGAAACCTCATATGTTTCAATACTGCGGGGTGTGCACTGGAGGGTAAATTGTACAACAATAGGCTGTGCACAACGGCCAAGTCAAGATCAACACACGGTCAGCCTCAACAAAATTCACAGACTTTGTGTGTGTACAAAAGGCACGAGGGATATAGTTTAGTCGGAAAAGGGGGGTATCGTGCACCCTCGGAAATCAATTTCTAATCAACGTTTCTAGGTCAGAAAAAATGCGTAGAAAACGATTTGCTATGTTAAAAAATTCAAAAAATGTCCCACGTATTGTTTTTATGCAAATTAGTGCCGCCATTACCGAAAAATCTATTTTTAATTATATCTCAGCCAATATTGCAGATAACTGAACGAACTAGGTGTCTAAACCCATGTTTTCAAGGTCAGAGATCACAATAAAACTATTCTGGAAGTGACCACATGTGTCTGTGGCATAGGAATATGCAAATTAGTGCCGCTATTACCGGAAAATCATGTTTTTGGCATATCTCGGCCAATATAGCACATAACTACACCAGTAAGGTGTCTAAACCCATGTTTTGAGGGTCAAGTATCATTAGAAGACCATTCACGAAGTAACTATGTGTGTCTTTGGCATGAAAATATGTAAATAATAAAGTGTCGGTTTATCCGCTCTTTGATTTTTAGCCAATATCTCGGCCAATATTGCACTTAACTACACAAGTAAGGTGTCTAAACCCATGTTTTGAGGGTCAGGTATCATTAGAAGACCATTCACGAAGTAACTATGTGTGTCTTTGGCATGAAAATATGTAAATTCTAAATTGCCGGTTTATCAAAAAAGTGATTTTCAGCCAAATTATATTCAATTTCAGCCAATATTACAGTTTATTTTGAATATGATGGCTTAAAATAAACGTTGATCATTATTGCTTATCAAAAACCCTTATGTTAACATAAGCTGCAATATTGGCCGAGATATTGGCTAAAAATCAAATTTCTGATAAATCAACACTTTAGAATTTACATATTTACTTGCCAAAGACACACATAGTTACTTCGTGAATGGTTTTCTAATGATACCTGACCCTCAAAACATGGGTTTAGACACCTTACTTGTGTAGTTATGTGCTATATTGGCCGAGATATGCCAAAAACATAACGTTCCGGTATTTGCGGCACTAATTTGCATATTCCTATGCCACAGACACATGTGGTCACTTCCAGAATAGTTTTATTGTGATCTCTGACCTTGAAAACATGGGTTTAGACACCTAGTTCGTTCAGTTATCTGCAATATTGGCTGAGATATAATTAAAAATAGATTTTTCGGTAATGGCGGCACTAATTTGCATAAAAACAATACGTGGGACATTTTTTGAATTTTTTAACATAGCAAATCGTTTTCTACGCATTTTTTCTGACCTAGAAACGTTGATTAGAAATTGATTTCCGAGGGTGCACGATACCCCCCTTTTCCGACTGAACTAATAAGCATGTTTAGACGTCATCCGGAGGCGAGTCGAGGCAATCTTGACATCTTAACCCATCAGCCATGCCTGTGTATAAAAACAGCTAGTGCGTGTTATCACTTCCTCCGATAACTAGAAAATTAACTCTTTTATTTTATTTTTGCAGGACTCATACGTAGAAAAAAAATTACCAGATGAAAGAAAATTTGTATTTTGTTGACTATCACATACAGCATCTTTAAATAATGAGACAATGAGCTCCTGCTTTTTCTCTTTCAGGCCTCATCCATAGAGTGCGCACCAGACATTGATAACTATGATTTCAATGGGATGACGCTCAGACTCGGTTTGACTGGGAAACATCAGTACACAAATGCATCCTTGGCCTTACAGCTGTGCAAAACGTGGGTTGAGAATTACCAAGATGATGGAAATAGCATGGAATGCGGAAGTAAGCGTAATGTTTATTACTTTCAAGAAGTCTTGTTTTGATATTAGGGAGGTTTCGCATGAGAGTGGTTAAAGGTATAGTCCATCATTTGTAATTTGTGCATTTTGTTCGTTTTAAGCAACAAAAGTGCTCAAGATCTAAAGACGGGTGCCGAACAACTAACCTGATGAAGTTTCAGCTCAGCTTTAGCTGTGTATTTCGAGAAAAACAACATTCTCAATTTCAAATCAAAAATTGCTGAATCATGTTTTGATTTGGGCCTGAATTCAGCATCCGCGACACGTTCTCACTGAGCCGATTGCAGCTACGGGATGTCGTGCACTGATCCAAACTGACGCGCACTGACGAATTATAGCAACCGCGCGCGCGTGTGCGTCGTGTCAATGCTTGCGTGCACTTTGCTGAATAACAAAATGAACTACTAATTTGAATTTCCTACGGTGCTTTTTAAGAAGCACCCTTGGGAAGGCCTTCCTTCGTTATTTCTTCAAAATGACAGCTTGCCAGAAAGAATAATTTCACAGGGAGTTTAGTCCCCTTACTATCTTTAAACCAAGTATGTTTTTCAACAATAATTACGTCAGTTACTTTTTGGATAGCTGCAAATGATGGACTCTGGCTTCAAGGTTAGGACTCTGGATAGATCATCAGTGTGTGGTCTTGTGACATCATACGCAACTCTCTGCCTGCTATGCATCATGGCACAGATATATCCCTCTTTACAGGTCAATTGGAAATGCGTAGTGGATTGCCGATTTGTACCTTATACTCTGTCAGTTTAGTTAATCATCTATTTGGGTGGCTTGTGCGTAAAGCGCTCGCCTCTCACCATTGTGGCCTGGGTTCGATTCTCGGCTCAGACCATTTATCATGTTTATGAGTAGAGTTGTTCGTTGATTCTCTCCTGTGCCACGAGGGTTTTTCTCCGGGCTCTCTGGTTTTCCTCCCACAACAAAAATGAACACTTTCGATCTCTGGCTGTGCTCTGTGGTCAGTCATGGGTCGTATGGCGGCTACCTATGGCGCCTTTACATGCTTTCGGCTCAACCATGTTGTAGCCGCATCCTTCGCAACTCAGCTTCTCAGCTGCGCGTAAGGATGATTAGCCCCCAAATTACTATTACTATTATTATTATGTCCAATTTCCAAATTTGTTAGGACAAAAGCGAGAATGGCTCAGTCAACGGTTTGCACTGTGTGTGCGCAGTGAAAGCTCCAACCTGACCGTGCTAGTTCTAATTGTCCTTTGTAGAAATTTGACTGTCAGTACCGTAGCTTATTTCATTCCAACTTTTCTCAAATTCAAATAAATTCTCAGATGGGTCTGAAGTCCTTCTTGGTCAGACGTTCAAGCTTGCAAATGTTTCCAACTCGGCAGTTTCTACAGCGGAAGACGTGGGCATGGAAACAGCCAAGCCTTTTGTCGTACCTTCACACTTCATGAAAGGTAAAACTACAGATGGCACACGCCAGTGATTATTAGGCCTAGTAAAAAAAAAATAAGACTTTCTCGTTTGGTTTTTTTTGGAAAACGCTTAAGGAGGTGGGCCTTCCCCCTGCCCCAAGATGGCAGATTTTCCATTATTGCTAATGGATTCTTCCGTTTTCTCGTAACAAATAAAAAGGATAAATATTGGCAATATATCTGCAAAATATATATTGCAAATGTATGAATATTAATGAGGTTGTGGAATGCTCGAAAACATTTTCGTCATTTTTTGGGTATATGTAGCCTAAGGTGTGATGAAATAAAAACGACTATTGTTTCTGTCATGAAATGAGTACAAAGGGTACTTTTGAGAGCTATTTTTCAGGTCCTGTTTCGACCCGAGCGTGCAATTTGTGTAAAAGTCGTCGTTGCGGGCAGCCAACAAAACACAGTAAATCGTGACGTAATAAACAGGACTCGTTTATGCTACTCTGCATCGGGAGTCCTGTTTAGTACGTCACGATTTACTGTGTTTCGTTTGCTGCCCGCAACGACGACTTTTACACAAATTGCACGTTCGGGTCGAAACAGGCATGACAGGACTTGAAAAACAGCTCTCAAAAGTACCTTTTGTACTCATTTTATGACAGAAACATATTTTTCATCACACCTTAGGCTATATATACCCGAAGAATGACGGAAATGTCTTCGAGCATTCCACAACCTCTTTGGAAAAAAAAAAAAAAGGGGGATGGCTCTCCAAGATTGTCTTCCCGTCATGCAACTATGAATTTCCCTTGGTTGTAGCTGGGTGGCTTGGCACAGTGTATCAATATGGTCGTTGGTCGTCCCACGTTTCACTTCCCTTGGGTTGGCTGCCAGAGAATCAAGCTGGCCATTGCTTGGTTACCGGATCCTCTGCAATGCCCTGCAAACTGGAGCCGTCTCTTCTTGATAGTAGTTGTTACTTTTGGTAGTTGTCTGTCGAGCTCTTGATTGGTTGTGTGAATCTTCCAGCTGATGTTGAGTGTTGCCTAATTAGCAGTCTGGTGCAGCAGCTATCTATTGACTTTCTTAGTTTTGTTGTTATTGTCCAGTCTAGGGACTTTAGTCTTAAAATTCAAAGTGAACTTGTGCGAAGCATACACGAACAAGTCAGGGCACCAGATATTCAAATTTGATTGAAGGGTCAAGGGTCACTTGCAAATGCTAATTCTAAAATCTTAATGGCTTACATGTATGTTTCCTTGTGTTTCTGATATATGCACCCCTCGGGTGTTAAAAAACACCATATCTCACATCACAGCAGTCAACAGTTGTTAATTTTTTTTTCAAATCAATTTGCATGTTATCCAACGATGTGTTTCAGGTATGGAAGAATGCTATTGGCCAGGCCGCACCCAGACAGTCAAGACAGAGAACGTAACGTACTACATAGACGGTGCTCACACACCGCGGAGCATCCAAGCGTGTCAGAATTGGTTCATGACGGCTGCTGAGGAAGAGTGCTGGATTCTCGATCGGCCAATCAAACGCCTCCTGATCTTCAACTCCACGGGGGACCGCGATGAGTACAGTTTACTCAGGCCTCTCATAGTATGTTTGTTACATGTTTGTTTTTTTGTTCGGAGTATATTATACTTATCAGGGCCAGTTTCATTGAGTTTGTTAGCACAGAAGTTTTGTCAAGCATAGAAAACTTGGTTGGCGTAGCGGTACTCTCCTCGCCTTCCACTCGGACACGGGTTCGAATCCCGCCCGGGCCAATATGTGGATTGGGTTTTCAGTCCCTACCTGATTCCGTGAGTTTTCCTCAGAATATTCATATTCCTGGGCTTTTCCTCCCACCTCTAAAACTGTAATTTCTTCTCATTGTCTTCTCTCTACAGGTTTCTTTAGGCTTTCGAGCTACAGTGCCTAGGGCACTTTTTAGGGATCCTTGGTTTCATTACCAGAAAGAAATAAAAAAAAAAAATGTTGTGCTATTATATTGCTCATCCTTATTACAATACATGTACATGTAGGTCCCTGAAATTGGGCCAGAAGCTTAAATCGCCATTACGGCCTTAAATTTCCAATGATTCAATGTTTTGGATTGTTTACTTCTCCTATTTCAAAGGTCTGGTTGAAAGGAAACAATTAACCTATGTCTTAACATTCCCGAGAAAAAGCTGGTTGATTTCATTGGACGTGACAGACTTTTTGTGACATATACATATTTCAAATCGTACCTATTCAATGTATCATACAAGTTGTGTGTGTGATACATAATGATGGAGTCTCACGTCGTTGCCCACGCATGAGTACTCGGCAATTATGTCGAGTTAAGTCCAATTGTGGGTTTTTGCATGTGAGTGGAGTCCAATTCTTGATCCACACACTCGACCAGGATTTAGAAGAATTGATGATGGTAAGACCCCAAAAAAAAAATATTCGGTCTCTGGTCAGACCAAAGTTCCGGAATTGACGCGGCCACGCGGCTTCTTTTTTTTTTTTTTGTGCTTTTTTTTTTTTTTCTTCGAGCTTGGATTGTACAGACAAGGTGGGGTACTATTTTGCTTTTTTGATGTCCTCATGTACATTGGTGTCCTCCATAATTTGCCTTGGTGCTTTCGATCATTTGCCTTGGTGCAATTTCCCATTCCTTGGTGCTCTTTGGTAAAAAAAATTGAGGCGGTGCGGAAATAGAGGGCGCTGTTGGAGCTACCGCGGAACATTTTGGAGAAAAAAAAAGATCGACGCGTATGATTAAAATCGACGCGCACGCTGACCAGAGACCGACTTATTTTTTTGTTGGCCTAACACAGATACTAAACTAAAGTTGTGGGGTTTTTTTTCCTCCCACCCTCTCTTAAGGGATGTCAGTTCGATGGTGCTGCATTCTGTCCAAACGTTACTGGAGATTCTGCCTCTGGAAACTCTGCGGGTATGTACAGTTGTCTGCTCGTTAAATTCTCATTTTGATTTCCAATGTTTTTTTAATATTTCCATCTTTTGTTTTTCTTTTCTTTAGTTGCTGTTCCACTAAGTAGTGCTAAACTGATGTATACCGCATTCCTGCATGCACATGACCATATTCTTTGCTTTTGCATATTATCCCTGCCTTGGTTGAAAATTACTTGCATGAAAAAAAACTGCTTGGTTGAATTCTTGGTGTGTGAGTTTTCATTTGTTCTTTTGGGGGACATGCAATTCACAATACCGTGCGCCACCGAGAGATTGCCACAGAACCGAAGAGTCCATTTTAATTTTTCCCAGTGCATTGTGGGAGACGGTCGACACATTTGCTATGGCGCGTGACAATTATAATTGTTAGTTTGTCTGCTCAGCAGTTTCGTAAGTGTATGATTCGAGTATCTTTTTTGTTTCTTTTTTTTGTAAGGATCCATTAAAAATTTCCTCAAGTTGTCTTATTACATTCATTGAAATCATGGCAAGTTGGCTTATTTTTTGTCGACCGTAAACTTCAAAAATGGACTCTTCATGGCAACCTCTGGTGGCGCACTACATTGTGAATTGCCGTATTGGTGCGAAGTTGCTTTTGCCTTTACCTCTTGTTTCTTGTTTACCACATGCATGCACAAAATACTTTGTGTCAAAAAAACAAAACAGGTCCTACTTTTGATCCGAAATAACTCTGTTGTTTACCAATAGAATTAAACCAACATTTTATATCATGTAAACAAGGCATGACAGATTTTGTGGAGCGAGCTTCATCAGCTTTGTGCAAGAGGGTGAGATTTAAATGCCATACAAAAAAAAATACTCGCTTTTAGAATGTCGATACAGCGCTGGTGGGGGAAGAAGCGTGCTGCGGCCAAACGCTTCTGAAGGAATGCAGGATCACCCCTGATGTCATTGCACACCTCCTCGATCATGGAGGTGTACATTGACATCAGGGGGGGATCCTGCATTCCTTCAGAAGCTTTCAGCTGCAGCACGGCCTTCTGCCAACATCTCCATCACTGTATCGACATGGTAGGTCGCCAAATCGAAAGTGGCAGATTCTGAAAGTGACTATTTTTTTCGTACGGCGTTTAAATCTCACCCTCTTGCACAAAGCTGATGAAGTCGCACCATAAAATTTGTCATGCCTTGTTATGATCTGAAATGTTGGTTTAGTTCCATTTGTAAAAAACAGAGTTATTTAGGATCAAATGTAAGATTTTTTTTAGTACAATAACAGTTGCATATGTTGCAATTTGAAATCCCCCCCAAAATGAAATGTTTTGAATTGAAACAGTCTTTTGGTTTATCGGATTTTTTAAAGACTGTTTTATTTGGTGCATCATGCTATAACAGGTGAAGCAAGCAAGGACCCTGGGATTGCTATGGGAATTGTTGTCAAGAAGTCTTCAGGTGACTATTTTTCCCCATGTTATTTTTTCCTGAGAAGGAACTTTTTAAATAAGGCACTGGGACTAGTAACGAACAACCATCTCTGTTGTGGATTAAAAATGGAAGGATTTTATTTTTCATATAATTTCTTGAATTTTGGGGGTTCATGCATTCCATTGTCATACATGTACATGAATGCTTTTCCCCACTTCATCACATTTGCTTGTAGAAGCATGATTAAACATTTTTTATTTTTTACTTTCATTGTAATGTACATGTATACTGTATGTGGTTCAGGGACAGTGCACACATGACATACTAGGGCTGTGCATCGGAACCGGGTTCCCGAGTACCCGACTGTTGGTGTCAGGAACCCGTTCCAGATTTATTTTGAAATTACAAAATTTACTGGGAATTTTCGAATGAAAGCCAGGCTACACGGGAGAACAAAATATATTTTGCGTTTACGACGCTCGCAAAAGTTGCACTGAGTTTACATCATAAAGCCATAAAGCTTGCTGTACACACTGGTATGTTGCTGTATTGGCCAAGTTCGCGCAAGGACTATAGTCGACCAATGGTTAACTAACGTTTGCCCGAACTCTGTCTAGTCGACGATGGTTGACTACGCTAGTCGACTATTTGGAACCAGCCTACTGGGGTTGGTTGCTTCGCTGGTAAAGCCGCGCGCATTCATAACGCTATCAGAGAGCCTGGATCCAGAAGTTTTGCGATGACATTTTGACCAGCGTTTGACTAGGGATGTTCGCACGTTGCTACCAGTGCGCAGGCGTAAGGTATGTCACAAATCAACCACTAGTCGACTAATGGTCCTTGCCCGAACTTGGCCATTGATGCACCAATGTAATGAGATTTTAGTTTGTTTGAGTTTTATCATGCGGACCTCTCAACAGCAACTTCCGAGATTTGAATTTGTGATTGGGTTTCTCAAACATGTTTTTTTTTTAATTGGGTGTCCGGTTCCTGTACTGCCTGTAAATGCACACCCCTTTGACATACATGTACATGATGATTAAAATTGCAAACTTACTATTGACCCTGTTTGGTTTTTAGATGGTGTTGACATTAAAGACGTCTTTCCTAAATCCTAAGAATAGGTCATTTTGCGACATTTAGTTGTATATGTTCCTAATGTTTCATTTAAACAAATGTTACATGGATGTGTGGTACTTTCTTGTACTAACCAAAAAAACTTACTTGAAACAATTTATTGAAAGTTTTCATGTTGCAAATATTTTGACCAAATAGATCTCTTTCTACTTTGTAAACGAATTTTCTATAAACATAGACAATTACTTAAGTAGTTTCATTTTCGTTTATAGAAAATTCATTTACAAAGTTGAAATTTCACCAGCCTGATGAACTTCTTTCAAGATCTCTTTCTAGTAAAATAACACACACTACATCATTTGTTTTCCTTTCATAAAATTCATGACGACAGTAGATCACTAGACTTGCCACACTTTCATATCGTCGTGTCTGTGCAACAAGGTTGTATCTCCTAATATGGCGCTTGGCAGCATGTACACGAGTCTTCAATGTCAAAAGGTCATATCTCGCTTAAAATATTCCGGATATACACACAAAGTCAATGGACATCGCGATGCGCGAGCGTGCGAAAGACGACTTTGTTGCAGAATCCAGTTACGACCTTGTTCCACTGACGCAATGATACATGTATGTAGATATTTTGTCAATTTTGGATCATTCCAGCTTTTTTTAGTGCCATAAAAGTCCCAGAACCAAGTCCTTATATCAAATTATTTTACTGCGCACAGAAAATGTTTGCTTAACAAGAACAGTTTACCAGACATTTTTAGAATGTACATTACAATGTAGGCATGCAACTTTTCCTCGTATCTGCTGATTTCCTCGTTTTGTACTTTGGTTTGGAGTGACCTTGTGTTTTCTAAGTTCCCAGTTGCATGCCTGACAATGTAACTATAGAGGAAATGCTAAGCATTGTGCGTATATATAGGCAATAAGGCAAGAATATTTTTGTGCACACATTCTATGTGGACATAGTATTCTTGTGCCTTGTAGAAAAGGTTTGACCCAAAGTCTTACTAAACAAAATCATCCCATTGAGCTCAAAGATATACCGATACCCAGCATGATTTGTGACAGTGGTACCCCCCCCCCTTATGTCCGTATACCCTATTCACACCCTAGACTATCGCTACCCTAGACTATCGCCCCCCTCCCCCCCCCCCCCCCCCCCCCCCCCGGCCAGTGAATCTTTTGTTCCCAATCGACATCCATTTCCCATCTAATGCTCTTCTCCACAACACGATAGGCTTTGTGTCTTGTGGAAATGTTCCTTCCTCACTTTAGTTATTTAAAAGGTAAAATTAGCAGAAGTGAAAAACACTCCCTGAGATTCGAACTTGGATCACCTGATTAGAAGTCGGGACTATACTTCCAACCAGTCCACGAATCAGCTGCCAATCGTCGGTGATTTAAACATCATTATTCCTCGCTATAGAACTTGTTCTCTAAAGCCATGGACATCATTAAACGCAGTGAGAGCGGCCTCTTTTGATATTGTCCAATCTCGTTTGGGAAAACAATTTTTTGCCCCCTCACCTATAGATATCTTAAAAGAATTCCTGAGATTCACAATGACCAACAGAAAAGAGGGGGGATTCCCTCTGTCACATATCTTGCTACACATGCTCAAAGAAGTAGAGGGATTGCACGAAGTACTGTCACAGTACAGTGGGCACGTTTTTCATTTCAATTTTAGTGACGAAATGAAAGTGACATTCTCAAGTGTATCACAGCAACAAAAACTACCTGTTTATGGTGGGGGTGTTCCTTGTAAACTCTCTATTAGCTGTGACCAGCGGCCTTGATATGAGCCACAATACATGCACATGTAGTTGCTAGGCAGCTTTTGCCTCTGCAAAATTCAAAGTTGCCTCCCCAAGAACTTCTCAGTTGTATCAGTGGCTATAGAGATCGTACAGCATTCACAGGAGTTATCTTTTTTTTTTATTATAACTTCAGATCAAACAGCTTGCAATGTCACCATGGACAAGCAGACGGCTCGCTGCCAACGTAACCTTGTCGCTTTTGAGAAGCTGACCGACGCGGAGGCACAAGCAGACCTAAGGCTGACCATCCAGGATGTCGCCAGGAATCCCTCGATCGACTGGCACAGCCGTCTCTACCGAAACGCTGAGACGTCCACTCACGAAACCAGGGTCAGTGAAACCAACGCGATCCGGTCCGTGCAGCAACACAAGCAGCTTCACACGGACTCCGCAGACATCGTGCAGACCGTGACCGCAGTGCTGCCAAGCATCTCAGATGCTCTACAGTGGGCCAGGTCATGGGCGGACAAAGAGCAGTGCCCCACAGGAGCTGCGAAAGACGCCGCGCCACAAAAACCCCACGTCCAGGTGCTGATTTGTGGAAGCCTCCATTTGGTGGGAGGGGTGATCAAAGTGCTTGATCCTGAGCTGGTCAACAGACCAGCAAGTTAAATTTGCAAAGTGTGCGTTCACACAGACTCTGTTGAAGTTACGATTCTGCGAATCTTTGTAAATTTTTATTTGATTTACCAAAATTGAGTTGTAGCAGGGTATTACTGAGGTACACATTCCTGACAATTGTTAAAAACCTCACCAATGGTGCTGCAACTGCATGTATTTAATATGATTTTATTTTTTATTATTATCAATCAATTAAGCATATTCAGTTACTTCCAGTAACGTACAGTGTACAGTGCATGTATCTTTCTTGTATCAGTTTATATACAGGGGGTGGGGAGGGGTTGGGTGATGGAACCACTACTTTATTTATATTTAATAAGGGAATAAATGTGTGTTCGGGAGGTATTATAACACTCTGTTTAAAGGGAATATACATCATTTGCTTTTGCTGTAATTTTCAGAAATGGTTGGAATTGGGGGGTTGGAAATATAAAGCAAATATAGTTACACTGACTTTTTGGAGGTTTTGGGTTCGAAAATGCTATAAAAACCAAGAAAAACGATCATTTTCCTGTAGTCTGGTTCCCTGACTCCATATAAGAAGAAACAGAGCAGTTTACATACATTGGGGAATTGTAAGGTTAGGGAACCAGTCTAGCTGGCTCGTACCCGTTCATAGGTTTGTAATCGATTGTAAACAAGTGCGATGGTCAATTGGGGCCAGTATTTGAAAAAAAAGCCAGTTGTTTCCAACGCTGATCGGCCGATCAGCGTTGGAAATTGATACAAAAATAACACTTTTCTTGAAAATGACAGTATACCAGGTGCCATAATTTTACAGGATGCTTTAGACTGTCATTTACCAACATCCTATTAAGGTATTTCGCAAAAACTTGGTAGTTTTATTTTTCGATGTTTGCAAATGTTGTATATTCCCTTTAAGACTGATGGGAGTCTGGATGGGTGATAATTACCCGAAGCGAAGCCGAGGGTAATTATCACCCATCCAGACTCCCACCGGTCTTAAGTAGAGTGTTTAATACCGACAGAACACATATTTATTCCCATTTATCAATACCTTTTCGGTCAAAAAAACAAATCTTTTTGGTCCAAAAATCATCACAAGTCACAAACTAGACGTTGCCAACCATTTTTTTAAACAATTTTACTTCATGTTTTACGAAACACCCCTCTGACTATAATATGGAATGCCCCTCCACAACTCGTTACCTTATAAGGACATTGGCGTGCGCGTTGCGCGATGTTGCGCAAAACGCAGCTGGGCTGGTGAAGTGTGAATTTCGGACCAAGAAATACTGATTCACTGGTAGTATTGCGCATGCATACATGAGGAATGTGAACGTTCAACCAATGAAACGTTAAAAGGCACCGGATTTCATGGGAGTCCAAATTTCATGTGACACTGGAAAAGTGTTTAAGACCAGCTAGCCATGTCTTTATCATCCGTTTAAGACCGGCCACGTGATTGGCTCTCTACCAATAGGAATGCGTAAACTGTCTTAGGTATTTATGAATTATTTTTAAAATGGCCTAGGGTAATTGGCATTATAGGTTCTTATTTAAGTGTTTAACAGTGGTTGCATAATTGGAGAAATTTGTCATTTTACAAAATTGGAGGAGATGTTGTGCCGATTCATGCTATTTTTTTTGGTTTTATTCTGAAAAATAGATTTGTATATTAATTTACTATTATTTTGAACACTACAAAAAGCCATTTACTATTGAATCAGACATCGAATGAAAACTCCTCCATGTTAGTGAGGGAATGAGTACTTGACACATTTCGAATTATGTGTGGCCGACAATAATTCAGTACTCATAGAGTAGCCTGGTTCCCGCCTTCCTTTATCAGAGTTGGCAATTATGAAGTTTGGTAACCAGCACTTTTTTTGAAGAGAGAGAGCAGTACAATTTTAAACATCCCGATCCAGCTGCATTATTTGTTCAACTCAAAATATACAAACGTGCCTTTAGTAAACTTCTTTATTGTGTAAATCAGTTTTTCCCACGGTGGTGTGAAACACGCTGTGGGCTTGAGCTGCTTATGTTGGTTGGTATGTTGGTTGGTATGTTGACAATTTACTCGGGTCGTATTATACTGTTCCATGCCACGCGTGTGTCACAGCTTTGCCAGTGAGTGGCAATTTTGTGACACTGATGCGCATGCGTCTAATTTGCATATTAGATCACGCCCCATTGCATTGCAAAATTTGTGGTTGTACAGTTTGTGGAACTGCCGTGGTTACTTGTTAAGTATTAATTATTGTTTAAGTTATTGTTTGGCTTTGGACTAGTGCCTCTTGAACAAAGACATTGTGAAAATAGGGAACTGCTAACATAAGCCTTGATAGAAAATAAAATCCACTTGTAGTACAGTACTATTTGATTAAAAACATCGAAGTAAATGAAACTATAGAACAAGAAATAAAAAACTTGCGCAGTGCGGATTCGATCCCCAGACCTTCAGCATGGTAGTCAAGCGTTGAACCTTAGTGAAGCTACCAAAGTGCTCTGGTCAAACTGGCAGTTGTTATGTGATTCGCAATGGTGTTTTTGCAGTGCCGTAATGATAGCAGTTGAAAATCACGTTGGCTGTTGTAAGGATAGTCACTACCTAATGAATAAGACAAATTGACTGTACAATGCCATGCAGCTTTCAAGTATGTACATGTTATTATTTATGTGGATAACTCTGTATCGTTGAATGGGCTTCCTTTTACAATTCAGAATTTCATTTTAATGACTAAGTCATCAACTTATTTGAAATTACAGAAGCACAAATAATTTAATCATTACACACTGGATGTAAACATGTATATATGTACAATATTGTAATTTGTAAATTCTTCTACAAGAATATGAATTATGTTAATTCATGGGTTTTTTTACACTTCAATAAAATCAGTAATTTGTTCACACTCTAATGAAATTATTCTGCATTATGGAATAAATTACAAAATTAAATGTTGAACAATTACATTTCTTGATTCATTCCCAATTTATTACGTGACAATAAAAATAAAGAGTTCCTTAAAAGAGCACAAGCACTGAAACTCAGAAGCCCGGGACAGAATGCTGCATCCTGACGCCACTTTTTTTCATCATATATTTATCTCAATGAAGGTCGGTCAGTCATTGCAAAAAATCTGAAAAGACATGAATGTGGGACTGAGAAACATTTCCAATTTTGTTAGAAAATACTTTGAAAATGCACTGGACTCTCCATATAGACTTTGTACACAACCAAAGAAGTGGCATCTGGATACTACATTTTTACCGAAGCCCGGATAAACCTTGTATTAAAAAGAACATGAATACATTTTGAATTTTAGATAAAAACCTTATTTGAGATGGGAGGAAATCTGCAGATCACATTTCCGACTTCTAGCAGGGACTGAAAACTCTATCTAATTGACCTGGTTGGGATTTAAACCCCAAATTATCCGAGAAACACCACGGCACAAACATTGAAAACACCTGGCATTAAGTAATAAATATGCTTCCGGTTCCTCTACTTTGCATAAGAAATATGATCACCAGCCAAAAAACCACCTAGTATGAAGTTTGGATGGTACCATGCAAGGAATGGTTCTCCGAGAAATCCAAAACTTTCACTTCATTCCTGTCCAGCAGGCACACCCATTCGCTCATACCCTGTACTCCCCCCCCCCCCTCCCCAAATAGGGCGCGGGGAAGGGCTGACCTCTTTGAGCTCTCATTGGTTAGATTTTGCGTGACCTGTGATGTAGCACGTAGCACACAAACTTGCATGCAGCTGTTTATCATACGTGGCGCGCGCTAGCTGCATCAAAGGTCATGATACATTTAAGTTACCCAGCCTATGGCATGCGTACTTCCTTCACAAGATTCTGTGAAGCTCATGCCCTTCCCAGCTCCCTGTTTGCAGGGTGGGGGGTACGAGCGAAGCACACCCACTGAAGTGTTAAAAGTGAAGTCTCCGTCTGCCATATTACCACTCCCATAACAATATTTACCTTTTTATAAAAATTATTCAATGTATTTAGTGTTTAAATAGTAAAAATTTATTTTCGACAAAATTAATTTACGACTTCAGTATCTTATTTATATTAAATGCTGTTGAAATAAATTTGTCTAATATATATACATTTTGTATTATACGATGGGAGTGGATATACCGGTTCTTGTACCACATTTCCAATAAGCCATTTGCGTGTTAAATTTGAATAAAATCTGGAACGCTGACTTAATACAATGCTTTGCACGTTTTAACCTAGCATTCTCCCGACCAAAGAGACTGTTACTATATCACGTGATTCGGGGCAAGCCTTATGCTAGCAACCCCCAGCTCCGGCATGGTCTGGTGTCTTTGTGCCATTCTCACCCATTGTGAACGATGTATTGGTGCTGAGCGTCTCTTACGTAACTATGCAAGAGCTTGCCCCGAATCATGTGATTAGCAACAGTGTCTTTGGTCTGGAGAATTCACAGTTAAAATGTGCCAAGCATTCTGAGCAAGTCATTGTACCAGACGTTTTTCAAATGTAAATCCCAAAGGGTATAGGTTACACGCAAATGGCTTATTGAGAGATTAGAACCAGCCTGCTTCAAATGGGACGTATGGCATGTATGGCACACAATGGCCCATGAGCCATCCAGATTTTTAAACATGGAGATCATCAGTGGGTATACAGCTAAAAACTGCTGATTCCCCTGAACAGAACATTTGGGGACACTCTCTGGAAAATATGTGCCTCGCGTGGATAATGATAATGACTGTAAGTTGCCCACCCTTTAAGAAACGTTCCCCCACCATTGACTTTGGTTACAGCCACCATCTTAAATTTGCCCATCCGAAATTAAAATCCTGTCCTAATTCAACTTATAAATAAATCTATAAAAAATATATGTTGCGGACAATTACAATGGATGGTTTTCAGTAAAGGTTTCATCCCATTTGGTCGCCATATTTTGTGGTCTTAATACCATCCTTAACCGTTGCAGGGGTTTCTGAGGGTTGTTCGCTAGTCGTCGTTTTTACAGTTCCTTGTGAGTTTGACTGCACGTGCTTCGAATTCATTTCTGTGTAGCTTTGCTGCTGTGCTGTGTTAACCCATAGCCTCTGGCACTGCTTACTGGCAATGGATGCAACGGCATACGAAGTAACAATTGCGCCACCTTTAAAAAGATAACACAAAGACAATGAACATATTAATTGTAATGACCAATCAGGACCAAATTGAGCATGAAGCATTGGTAAAACTCATTACTATGGCATAAATCCGAGTCCAAAAATCCAAAAATCCAAAATGTGTCCAGCCGTGGGAATTTGAAAAGCAGGAGGGGAGGGGAGGGGGAGCTGGACACTACATTATACTAGGGGGCGCTGTTCATGATACAAATGTACTTTTTATGTAAACTTGCGTGCTTAGGTGCCTTAACCTTACATCAAATCGGTGCATGTAAAGCTTTTGTATTGTTTACCGTTTTTCAGAACTATTAAAAACCTTTTGGACTGTTGGAAAATAATTTGAAGACCTCAAAATCATCATTTTTTGTTTTTCATCACAAAATCTGTGTGTGGGGGGGGGGGGGAAATGTTGGCTAATGTTTTTCTGTATTTTGTAGCTGGATTTACATCGAATAAAGATGAGATTATTATTCAGTACTTGGTCACGGAGGCTTATATTTTACATGGACAGAGAGCTGCATAAGTTTGGAGTCAGCAGACCAAATATAAACTAGATATAAATTCAGCAACAAATTTGACAAATAAAGATAGCTAGGCCATCATGACAGTTTTGCATAGTGTAGCCTAGCCATGTGAGGTCGCTGTTCATGCTTTGTACAGTACATGTGAGTGCATAGCATGTGGCTACTGTTATATCAGCCGCCGACCATTGATCATTGGACACTATCGTCAAAAGCCTTGACCAAGGCTAGCTAGTATTTGCGTCAAACCTCAAGAATGTGTTCACCTCAAGAATGATCTGGTCTAAAGAGCAGTTTTTAGACATATTAAGGAGGTTGTGGAATGCTTGAAGACATTTCCGTCATTTTTCGGGTAAATAAAAACGACTATTGTTTCTGTCATGAAATGAATACAAAAGGTACTTTTGAGAGCTGTTATACAGGTCCTGTTTCGACCCAAACGTGCAATTTTTGTAATAGTCGTCGTTGGGGGCAGCAAACAAAACATAGTAAATTGTGACGTAATAAACAGGACTCCCTATGCAGCGTAGTATAGACGAGTCCTGTTTATTATGTCACGATTTTTCTGATTTTACGAAGGACCCGACGACTGTTGATTTCAATTATGCGCTCACCGACCAACAAATTACTCGATGAATTCCAGTGTTATAAACATATAAACGCACATTACAAAAGAATGGGAGTTTGTCATTATGATATATATGGGTCTACTCTACAATAAAGAAATATAAAAAACAAAACAACTTTCAGCATTCCACAACCTCTTTAAGCAGAAAACCTGTGTTTCAAAGGCTAGGAAACCATCCTCTTCTGTTGGTAGAGGACGCTAACTCTACTACACTAACCTGCTACAAAGACAACATTGTATACTGGTGGGAAATTTGGATATCTGCGCTTGATTACGTAACTTGCAGTTAGACCAGCAGCACCTCCTGTTTGTAAAAGGCAACAAATTTGAAAGTAGGCTAATTAAAGGCAAACTGTGATTAATAGAACTTTTGACCACATTCCGCTTTGAATTAAAGGGTAATATACCCCCCCCCCCTCCCCGTTACAACATTTGCAAACTTCAAAAAACAAAACTAGTAACATATTATGAGATACATGTACCTTACTTGACTTTAAATTGTAAGTGAATAATAGTCTCAAGCATCCTGGTGTGCTGTCATTTTCAAGAAAAGTGGAGTTTTTGTATTAATTTCCAACGATGGTCGGCCGACCATCGTTGGAAACAAAACTTTCTTTTTTTCTTCAAATACTACCCACAATTAAAATAGTCCACATTTGTTTGCAATCGGTTACAATTCTGTGAATGGGTGCAAGCCAGTGTATGAGAGTCCCAAAACTTAAGGTACTGAAAACATGCAACACAAGAAAATAGACTGGCACCTGAAACAACCAGTCCAACACCCCTTTAGTACTGCATCAATCAACTGTGTCAAAAGAAACATTTGGTGCAGGTCTCTATTTCTACACATCTCTCCATAATCATGCCACTGCGGACAGTCGTTTCAAATAGTTAATTAAGACTACTTATTTGGAGTACTAGCAGTCTAGTCTTAGGCTTCAAATTGAAATCAATTGACTTCACTCTCATGTGCAAAATATTGAAGAAAAGTCTCCTTTTAAATTGAATTGAGACTTCAAACTTGGTAGGTAAAATACTGAGGATCTTGTCATATATATGTCTCATGAAAATGTTTGCATGTTTTTCAGCACTTGATGAGATCCCAGTCTAGGGCAAGTCCTATAGCCTCACCTGCAAAAAATGCAAAGATTCCCTTGATGAATGCCCTTGACTGACACTGTCCATACTGGTAAATTCCCTGTGGCAAAAACAAAATGAATTAATTCACAAAATTGTCCAAATCCAAAACCCAGTTTTATTGTGTTTGCAAGGAGTCAGTGTTCTGAAGGTCAGCCACTGTCACTGTTAGTGTTTTTTTAGTGTTGCACTGCAGGCCGACAGAAAGACATTTTAGATTTGCTTCAAGTTCAACAGCCCAAATCCCTTGAAGCTACCACCTAAAAATGTCAATATGATGAAAATTTCAATTTTTCAGAAATGGATGGAAGTATTTCTAGAAGTAGGGCGCCTTCTTATTTCATGTTGTCTACTAGTACTAGCGTGAAATATCATGAATTCATGACACAACTGTCTGCTATTTTGAAGCAAGCTAGTTTTGATCGGGGAAGGAAGTGGCACTTCGTGCCGCACATTTACAGACAAATTATCCCGGAAGGAACCAAGAAAAAGTCATAATTTTGGTAAAATCTGGACACGCCCTGGTAAGCATGGTAAGTGAACCTGCAAGCCAAGTTTGAGACCGTTTGATTTCAATTTAAAAAAAATCAAAAAAATTCAACTAAACTCAAAGTCAAGAAGACTTCTTAAAGTGTCAGTGATTCGTGACATTTCAATACCGGATATTTCCCTGCAGTTTCCTCATCAAGATCAGCTATGCCGACCAAAACCATGATGGACAAAAATGACAAAGTTTCCAATGTTACAAAACACGCACGGCACGCGCTCCGACTGTACTTCTTCGTTTTGTTGATCGGTGGAGTTGAATTACGTAATGTGTTTCAGACGGTGTCCATTTTACACGAGTCCAAACTATAGCGTTGTAAGGCGTCCAGGAACACGATTAGAGATCTATTTATATCAGAGCGCCACCAATAGTTGCAACCTCGCACCACTGAATGCGATATTAATTATTCATTTAGGTCTTTTTGATCTAGGACCTATACCGTACCGTACCAGTTTGCCCTGGCTAAGTGCTTTTGTACTTGAATAGAATGAATTTTGTGCCAGTGCCCTTAGGGCCTACGGAACACATGGTGCCTACAGGGGCGGATCCAAGAATGTTTGCAGGGGGGGGGGGGGGGGGGGGTACGTGTCAACAAATGTATAGACAGGTGTTAATTTGTCCGGACACTTGGCTTCGCTCCGTAAAAAAAATCAAGGGGGAGGGGCGTCGGGGGGCTATACCATACTTTCAATGGGAGCGCTGTTCAAATTCGACGATACTACCCAGCCGGCTCTGTCCGTTTTGTTCGTATATATATTAATACCAGTACATTGTGTCATCAGAGCGGGGGGGGGGGGGGGGTAACATTATTTTTTATGAATTGCTGTAGAAAAAACTTAAGACGTTTGAATGATGATCTTTTGCTAAAACTTTGGCAGTCTAGCAGATCCGCGCACCGGGGCGCCTAGAATCCATTTTTTTTAGGGGCCCTTAAGGGGGTCCCCGACCCCACGCCGTTTAGGCTGATCAAGATACACATGATTGTATGTACCACCCCCACTTTTGAGAAGCTTTTCGAATGTCCACGGCCGCCGGGCTTTGGTCATCCCCCCCCCCTCGCAGGCACAGATTTTACGCTACTGACCGTCATATTGCACTCGCGTGGTCACAATTCTAATCATCACACCGGCTGACGTTAATGTGACATTGTATTGATAATGGCATCATTCCCTAGACTAAGTACAAGAAAAGATGAATTTTCCCAAGCTAGCTCAGGGAGCTGAATTAGAATCAGACAAACAAAATGCCCTCGTAAATATTTGTAAACGGGTCAGTAGTTTGATATAAATATAATGAGGTAAGGGAAACTTGCTAGGGGTTCAGCCCGATATGTCAGTGATATCAGTGCCGGCCGAAAGACGCGCGACGCGAAACAATTGATGAGACAGAATAAGGCCAGGATGAGCTTGGTAAGGTTAATTGCTGGTAGTGACTCTGAATAGTCAACTGCTCGGTACATAAGAATGATAGTAGAAAAGAGTTACGTAACAGCGTTCGTGTGTATAGCGCGATGCTGATGCATCGTCCGTGCCGCTATGAAAAAACAAAGAAACTCTCCCACTGCGGAAATAAGGATTATGTTTTAAACACACAGAAAAAACACCTACTGAAACAGCCTAGTTGTTAAGCTCTCTGACAGCGGATCCAGGGTTAGGGGTTCGAACCCCGCGCTTGGTGTCAATTTTTTGGTTTTCGATGTCCGCGGTTCTGTCATTTAAGAGTATTAATTTCCCGTCGTCAATTACCAACAGCAGTTAGCTCGGTCGGTCGGTTAGCTGACTCACAAGTTGGGACTGTCTGCGAAGTCCAGGTTGGCGTCTGCGTATAGGTACGGGGTTCTTTTGCTGACTCGGCAGCAAGGCTTAGGGTGCCACCTCGTTTCCTCCCTTTATGGTGCCTGACTTTCGAGTTACATGGATGGACAGGGAAGGAGGTGTGGTGGGCCGGGTACCGAGTCCCAGAAGAGTTCTATATGGAAGTCGGTAAGGGGCTCATTAAGTTAGGGTCATAAGTCCGACTCCTGAAGACTTGGCCATCGCCACATAACTTTTTGTATTATTTTATTTCTTTTCTATCGGAGGACAATTGCAAGAATGATTAATTTGCCAAATTAATCATTCTTATCAATCAGTTATATTGAGAGCACTGTAATCGTTCGAAATCAATTTTAAAAATTGCTCGAAAATACAAAGTTCAATCCAGCTATAATCTTTTTATTTCATTGTCGCAAAACTGCATGTACATGCTCAGTACCTTTGCGCATACCTTGTTCAGGCCTGTTCCCTAATCCCAGACTGGGGGGGGGGGGGGGGGGGGGGTCCTTAAATCCTATGCATTTAGTGGATTTTTTTTTATATGCGAGCGCGAAGCACTGAAGGCGTTGGGTCCGGGGACGCTTAAGAGCCCCGGGAAATGTTTGGATTGCAGATGCTCTGTGGCGCAAAAATCAAAATTGTAGCTTGACTCTCTTCCGAAATATGGCCTTGTTATTTTGAGTCGTCACTAATAAGAGTCAGCTTAATTCGTAACTGCCTGCGAGCGACGGAGCACGTGCTTGTGTTTTGCACAGCTGTAGCTGTCAACGCCCGTACATGTTGCGACTTCGCGCGGCAGCTTGTGCCGACGTGACAGAATGTACAATCTTTTGCCATGGGTTGCAGAACCTGATTTTAGCTTCGCTGAGTTTTAAGCAGCGGTGTTTATTATTTACATTCTCCACTTTGTTCTCATTCCCTCTTCCTTTCCCCTTCCTTCTCCATTCTTCGGAACACTGGTGCCTAGGGCCTATGGAACACTTAATCCGGGCCTGCGCCCCGCTCGTGCCACTCACCGTGACGCTTTTCGCTTGCTGCAGTCGGGAGTCAGGAAATTATTTTCTAGAAATGTCGGAAGAAAATCGCTCCAGTACTGCGCCGGATGAAGCCTCACAATCTCCGGCCAACCTTCACCATTCTTTTCTGATTTGCTTGACTCATCCAAGAACTATGTTTTTACGATATACTCAACTGCTTCAGAAAGGAAATAAACATTAATCGGTGCAATCACAGCAAAGGAGGACCCCGGAAGAGGGGGGCAACGGGGGCCACCCCCCCCCCCAAAAAAAATATACCCCCTTTTTTAAGTGATGACGCAAAAAATTAGTCACTGCGTACACCACCCGCAACACTCAACAAAAGCAATAGGGGCGCCCCTCCTGCTTTTCATATTAAATTTGCCGGGGTGGGAAATTTGTGGACCCACTTTTTCGGGGAAAAAACACCTCTCCGCCCTCCCCCAACTAAATAAAATCACACGGAGATACTTGTGTGTGTGAAATGTTTTCGTTTCGCTGAAAGAACGCACACTTTTTTTGTGATCCGTGGACAGAACTTAAAACGGTGATTGTGTTTAAAATACCGTAACTTGCAAAGTAGGCCTACATAAGTGATTTGAATGATTCTTGTATTAAAATAAATCTGATGAACTGGGTATATCCTAGATTTTGAAAGTGCTACATGCAAAACCTCACTAAAACAATGGTCCCGACATTTGGGTTTCGTTTTTTTTTTACTCACCCTGTATTTCCACTTTGTAAATTTCTTCTTTCCTGAACTCTTCCCTTTCCCCTCTCCGACGGCTCTCTCTCACTCTTTCAGCGCCCCTCGTTCGTGGCCACGTCTTCGGCGACCATCAATTTAAAAAGAGGGATGCTAGCTATCCGTCATTGGTGTATCAGTGCCCAAAAGTGGTGTATCAGTGCACAAAAAGGTAATTGATAATGTGTGGCAAAAGGCCCTCGCATATATCTTCTTGTAGGTTTATTCTTATAATTCGTCTTATTTGAGGACAAATTTTTTTCAACATAAATGGTAGTTTTCCTGTTAAATCGTAACAATTTTACTTTTACTGGCTCATAGTTGAAACCTATGGCTCATAACCTGTACCTTGCACACATGTGGCTTCGAGTACAACGCACCAACTACAGCATGTTTAAAATCTTGTTAACTTAGCATCGGAAAATAGTGTGGTGCTGGGCGATGCTTGAATGCTTTTTGTATGCGGTGTTCAGGGTACACAATGGAACAACATGTTGTGGCGCGAGATCGGAAAACACGGTTTATTCAAATTACCCGTTGTAGTAGCTCATCCATGATCCATCCGACACAGAGAATTACACTATTAGTCTATGCCTTTTTTTTCATTTCGACTGGTATGACAGCCATTATCATTTCCATCTGATAATGAAATGCAAAATAATTTCGATTTTGTCTTTACCGTGACAGCGAGCCTCAGGGCCGTGGTACGTGGCACGTGTTTTTGACAGGGTTGCTATTGTTGAATATGATAAGAACTTCTTCTCATTAATCCTTCTCACCTTTTCTCTCTCTCATTATCTTTCACTTGTCACTCATCTTCGGGGTAAACAAGGCATTATGTTTGGTCGGTAATGATTCGAAGATTATAATTTATTTTGAACGCTTAGGAGTTTGGGGCTGTCGGATAAAAAAATAAGTAGCATTTAACAGCGCCGTCGTTCAAGGATAGAACAGGACAAGAACATTTTTTTTAGATGAGTTGGACAATAGGAGACGCCAATGTGAGGACGTGGTTCGAAAGAAAGAAGCTTAAGTCTAAAACCGTGCATGTTTAGTCAATCCACCTTTGTGCCTATCTCATTCAGGCGCGGTTCTAGGGGGTGGGTACCCCCAAAACTTCTGTCTAGCCCCCCCCCCCCCCCCAAAAAAAAATGCAAATAAAAATGGATGTGTGTGAACAAACAAATGGATGTTTCGGAAAAATTCAGGTCATGATATAGACTAATAGTTTGCAAATCCCAACGTTGGTCCAAGTTAGAACCAAATCAAACCTGTACTTAGGTTGATATAGGCATTAAAAATTACGTAACAACGTCATGATGACGTCACTTTGGATATTGAACACCAGTTTCAATACCTACCTACTCACCAAGTTTCACAACGATAGGACATTCCCTTACTTGTATTTCAAAAGTCACCTTCTTTGCTATACCTAACAAACCTATTGCGAAAAAATGGAATTTACCATCACGTTCCATTGATGAGATATGGCTTAAAGCTAAGGTCCACAAATTGAATAATTTATATAGAATCACATGATTACATCATCAAAACGTCACCTCTATTTTCTACCTATAACACATTCCGGACTAGGTACATACCAACTTTCAAACCAATCGGATCTGTCCTTCTGGAGAGGCATTAAAATATGCACGTCTATTGTGACGTCACGTGACAAGTGATGACGTCATGATGATCAATGTTCCACATACATCTGCAGGTGCTAATCTAAGTGTATGCCAAGCATCAATTCAATTCAATTCAATTTATTTATTCGTCATGCCAGCATGAAATTGTCCTTCTCGCTTTGCACATAAAATTGCAAATACCTACAATACAGAAAATTAAATATATAAACATACAGAATACACGTTAAAACATTCAATGAAAAGGCAATAAATTAAATAATAAACGTGTTTCTCAAAAACTCTGTAAAACCCTAAAAACACACACATGGACCACATTGAACAGGCTGCCTATGGGACAAGGAAAGGTATGCTGGAGGAAAAATAGGGATAAATATCAAGGAGGACAGAAAAAAAAGACTTGAACACACGCACACAAAGGGACATGGAGAAAGAAGGGGTTGATAACGGAAGGAACGATGAAGGGCACGAGTAAGGAGGGGGTGGAAGTGAATGGATAGGGACAAAATATGAGATAAGAGGGAAAGGAAAATAAGGGGGGGGGGAATGGCAAGGAAGGCAACTAGAAATGAAAACACTGTGTAATGACAGGCGTAAAACTATAATACATGTACATATTCTTTAAAAACACATTATCTGCTAAAATCGTTATTGAAGCGAGAAACTGCACTTGGTACAAAGGACAGGCGATGACGGTTTGTCTTGGATTTGAGTTGTCGTAGTCTGCCGGACTTGTTAAAAACTAACAAAGTATGCAGCGGATGGGTATTGTCAAGCAGTATTGCTTTTAGTTTTGCCGGCACAGCTGACTCGTAGATAGTTCTCACGTCTCGGACAGTATTACCAATGATTTCACTGGCTGATTTGGTGATCCTATTAAGCTTATTCAAATTATCTACTGTCAGACCGTTTACCCATGCAATACAACAAAACATGATCACAGACTGGATGACACTTTGATAAAACATAGTGATAATAATAAACAAGCACTTTAAAGGCAATTGGATTGGTTTTTGTGCGTAAAGTGCTGTGCACGATGAAAACGTGTACGAAATGCTATGGGAAATGGCTGAAAAGGAAAAAAAGGAAAACAAAAAGTTAACTAAAACAGGGGCTGTTTCGGCAATTATACTCATGTTTGTTTTACATACGCTATGTGGATATTCCATTGTTTTCGTGTGGTTAAGAAAACTCGGTACAAAAATAACTTGACTTAAACTGTGAAAACTGTTTCAACCCCAATTTTTTGTGTGATTTCCTTGAATGTTTCTCTTAATTCTGCGACTGATAAACCCTAACCCGAAAATGCCTCTAAACCTGTTTTCCCGCGAGGGTGAAACGTTATGTGGACACGGCTTAGTCCACATGACGCCAACACAACCTGCATTATGTGGACATATTTTGTTCACATGTCCACATAGTGACTGTAAGACTGCATTCAGTAGGGGACGTTGAACAATAGAGGACAATATAGGGTCCCCAACTTCCCGAAGGTCTCCAATTTACGATCGTGTACAAACCATATGGAAGGTCTTCCTAAAAAATTAATGTACAAACAACAGAGGGACAAAATGAGGTCCCCGATTGCAGGCAAACTCACATTTGTCTGTCTGTGTTTATGGGGGACGTCTCTATAGTCCGAAGTGCCATTGGTCCAAAGTCCCATTGGTCCGACGTCCCATTAGTCCGACGTCCCATTAGTCCGAAGTCCAATTGGTCCGAGTCCCATTGGCCCGAAATCCTATTGATCTATAAGTTCCATTGGTATAAACGTCCCATTGGTCTGACGTCCCATTGGTCCGAAGTCCCATTGGCCGGAGTCCCATTGGTCCGAAGTCCCATTGGTCCAAACTCCCATTGGTCTGACGCCCCATAGGATTACGGTTAGGGTTAGGGTTATAGGGTCAGTCGACCTGAACCAGTAGAACTACACAGTATTATGTTTCATCGGACCGATGGGACTTCGGACCAATGGCACTTTGGACTATCGAGACTCAACCGTTTATGGTGTAAATCGAGGCCACACACGTGCAACATCATCGGTGAATCGAGGACAGAAACCGAATCGAGGACTCCTCGGTTGGAAAACGTGTACAAAACCAATAAAAGCTGATGCGATAAAGTATAAACGAAGGAAAAGGGAAGAGGAACAAAGAAATGTCTCGATTTACATCATAAACAAACGCAGACATAGGCCTACTAATGTTTACGTTTAGTGTGGAAATTCTTTTGTTTTCGTGTGGTAAAAAACCCCTGTAAAAAACCCTTATTTTACTTACACTGTCACCTTGAAAACTCTTTCAACCCACATTTTTTTCTATGATCCCCTTTAGTGTTTCTCTTCATCTTTTACGGATAAACCTAACCCCAAATTGCCTCTTAACCTGTTTTCAAGAGAGGGGAAAACCTTGTGTGGACGTGGGTAAGTCCACACAACGTCGGTGCTACCTGGTTTATGTGGACATATTTTGTTTGGAAGTCCACACAGTGAATGTAATGCTTGTACAGGATTTCTAACTCAAAATGAAGCTCTTATTTATTTCGCCAAACGGACTCTGTGGTCAACTCCCCGCACCGCCATCAACTGCAACTGCGTATATCCAACGTAGGCGAGCAGTCAAGCACAGCTTCACAAAATGTATTACATTGTAACAACTTTAGCCCTGGTGTCTGGACAAACCAAAAGAAACCCAATTAAGCATAGACATTTAAAAAGCCTATTTCCGGAGCGCACGCTATTAGCCCCCCCCCCCCCCCCCCAAACAAATATAGGTCAGCCGCGCGCCTGTGGCCCAACACACCAACAATGTGCCGCCGGAGCCCTCCGGCATGCGGCTTATGAACAAAGGCAAAAACAGAATCGTAAACAAACTGTCTGTTACAATACGTTGAATTGTAGGGTTTTTAATGGCACAAAATTGTATGAGTCGGTGATAGGCACAAAGAGGATTGTAGCTAGGCTGGTCCAAAATAGGAAAGGTTGACTAAACACGGTTTTAGCCTAACAGTCTTTCTTGTTTACCACGTCCTCACATTGGCGTCTCACCCACTCACTCACTTGTCGAACCCACTCACTCACTCATCAGCCGCAAAAGCAGCGTTGGTCCGTTGCGCTGATCTCCTGTGCCCACGTCGAATAGCTTGATTGTAGACGCTCTCTACTTCTTAGAGAGGAACCATTGGCTGATTGCCACCCTTGCAATGAGCAGACGATGGTCTGTGTTTGCTGGGGCTTCTTCTTCACCTCTGTTATCTTTGTAGGTCTTGACTATGCTGCGTTGTCTTACTAAGACGTGGCCGAGTTCTTTTTGTGTGCGACCGTCCTTGGAAATCCAGGTAATTGCATGGATGTTTCTACGACGGAACCAACTGCAAGTGATGGGTATATTTTGTGATTCACAGAAGGAGAGAATCATTGAGTGGTCATTAATAGTGCCAGACTTGCAGGGGCCTAGAATCGACTCAAAACCCTGTCTTGAACAGCAAGGTGGTCTCCAAGGATGACGAGTTCGTGGTGAGGAGAGTCACAGCAACAAGTTGATCGTAGAACTGATCTTTGGCACTGGTTAAGTCTCGATAGTCCGACGTCCCATTGGTCCGACGTCCCATTGGTCCGACGTCCCATTGGTCCGACGTCCCATTGGTCCGACGTCCCATTGGTCCGACGTCCCATTGGCCCGACGTCCCATTGGCCCGACGTCCCATTGGCCCGACGTCCCATTGGCCCGACGTCCCATTGGCCCGACGTCCCATTGGCCCGACGTCCCATTGGTCCGACGTCCCATTGATCCGATGGACCAATGGAACGTCGGACTAATGGGAAGACGGACCAAAGGGACATCGGACCAATGGAGCGTCGGACCAATGGTACTTCGGACTAAAGAGATGTCCCCAATCCGATTGTCCAACTCATCCGGGAAAAAAATAAAATAAAACCGTTGCAAGCTCAATATTTATTAGTGACAGTCAGTTAATGAGTCTGTGAAATAGGTACAAAGAGGATTGTAGGCAGGCCCTCCTTGACCAGCAACAAGAGGAAAGGTTTGGTGGATTGACTAAACACGGTTTTAGACTTAAGCTTCTTTCTTTTGAACCACGTCCTCACATTGGCGTCTGTCATTGTCCATCTCATCTAAAAAAGAAAAGAAAAAGAAGATGTTCTTGGCGTGTTCTATCCTTGAACGACGGCGCCGTCAAATTATTATTTTTTTTCCGACAGCCCCAAACTCTTATTAAGCATTCCAAAGAAATGTTAATCTGCGATTCCGACTGGTTTGACAGCCATTATCATTTCCATCTGATAATGAAATAAAAAATAATTTCGATTTAACCTTACTGACAACGACCCTCAGGGCGTGGTACGTGGCAGGTGTTTTTGAAAGGGTTGCTTTTGTTGAATATGATAAGAACTTCTTCCTCTCATAAATCCTTCTCTCATTTTCTCTCTCATTATATTTCACTTGTCACTCATCTTCGGGGTAAACCTTATAAAAATGACCAACAGTCAGACGCTTCTTCACTCGTCAACAACAAGCTGCACGTACTGAACCGAACCATGAACCGACTGTTTCAAGCCTGCCTGTTTGTGACGGCTGCCATCGCCGCAGTCAGCGCCGACTGTTCTCCAGGCTACATTCAGCGCGAGGGCGGCAATTGCTACAAGTTGTGGTACCTGCATGGCGAATGGTGGATCTACGCCGACAAAGTCTGCACATCCGAGGGAGCCTGGCTGGTGACCATCCGAAACGAGCAGGACAGTGTGTGGGTCAACAACTTTTTCTTAGACAACAGGCGCCACCACTGTGGCGATCTGTACTGGATTGGGTACGTTTTATCCTGATTTAAGTTAAGTTTTTGTTTTGCTATAACACGGGGCTCTAGAATAGTAAGTTGTGTTGGTGGATTTCTGTTGTAAAGTCTATAAATTGACTCATTTGTAACCTACCAACTGTACAAAAATAGTCATAAAGTTGAAAATTTTGAAGACCCCAATTGATTTTTAGTGGATTCTGATAGAGGACGACATGCTCTATCAAGTCATTTTCATTTCGTTGATTTTCGGAATGGTACATTATTACATAAATTGGGTCAAAGGTCACGGTAACATATTGAAGGTCACGTGACGTACTTTTCACAACATTTAATTTTGACAAAAGAGTTGATTTGAGCATTGAGCATGCAATTCTTATTATTTTAATACCAAATTCGCATATATCCGATGAACATTGACATGGTTTTGACATATATCTACCAAAAGGGTGGTATTTCACTCTAAAAATGTCAATGTTTTGTGGTTTCTGCCCTGACCACATAGTAGGTCGGATCGGGCTAAAAATTGGTGTGCATTCATTGCTAATCAGAACCTACAAGCACAGCAATTTTTATCAAAATCGGAAGACATGAGGTAAAAAAAAGTGCGTAGGTCTGACATGGAATGACCCATATATACCACGTTCATTCTTGTGACAGTAATTCGAGCAATAACCATAAACCGTAAAATTGACGGGAAATGGACAGTGTATTTACGGGTTTTGTTCACAGTAAAGAGTCTGAGTGCAGCCAGCGGGTCGTTGACCGATCACTGACCTGTGTGACGTAAACGGGTCAATTTGATTTGAAATATCGACGTTCCGCGTGGACGTTTAGGCGCTTGAGAAGTAAGCCGGAATTACACCACATGTTGCGCATTACACCACATGTTGTGCATTAGCAATCGATGGGATTTCAGAACCGCTTTGGGTATTCCAAGCAGCCTCATAAATACGTGTGATAAAAAGGTAAATTTCAGGACCTCACCCTCGTCTCTTTATCTTCGTCTTTTCTCCTTTACAGAGGCAACGATATGACACAGGAGGGAGTCTGGCGATGGGTGCAGGACGGCAGCTTAGTTGGGTATACCAACTGGCAGCCTCATCAGCCCGACAACGGCCAATGGGGTGGCGAGCACGCGCTGGAGGTAAACGGCAGCAATCGCAAGTGGAACGACAACAGAATATCCGATACTTACCAACAGTGCTTCATCTGCGAGAAGAAACCAATCGGGAGCGCTTGCTAAAAGCTGAAGTCTCTTGCTTCACCTGTAGGCCTACACATGTAATGAAAAAAAGTAGATTTTTGGGTCGGTAGATTCCACTGTTATTTTACCGAGATAACCTGTCCAATTTTCAAATATCTCATTTAGAAGGTGTTTCTATGATGAGTAACAAAATCGCCTTGGCGTGGTGATGGCGTGCTTACGACTTCAGTTTAAAAACGCGTAAATGAACAAAAACGATGTCTTCATTACAAAGCTCTTTATTTAAAGGTACACGGAGGCATCTCTTGAATATCGAACTCAATTTTCGTTTTTCTAAATTATCACCAATTAAAGCTAAACGTGGATGTCAGTGCCAGTACAGAAACACACTTGTGGGGTCAAATTTAGATATTCCAATGGAAATTTTCAAACGACATCTGTCCTGCCAGTGTTCAGTGTTCAGTCAAAATATTGTTAGTGTAAAGAAAGCCGACAGTGCATTTGAACGTTAACAATCGTTTTGCTGGTATTCTCTGTTCAAGCAGTGTCCTGCTATGACACCTATATGTACTATTAATTTTGTAATTTCAGCATCTAAAACTAATTTGGCAAAAACATTGTGTTTTCGGGCGGGGGAACTGCTCGTTTAATTGGCATTCAATTACCCAAATAAAATTTTAATAACTTCTACTATATGAGCTCCTAATAGATCTATACAAGTCATCCAGATTCATTCAGAACACAAGGAAAAAGCAATGCAAGTGCCTAATTGTACATGCCAATTTGTTTCTATGTTTTTTCTTTGGTGAGAAGGAAAGACGTGTTTTTTTTTGGGGGGGGGGGGTTCGTAACACAGCAGTTTTTTGTGGGGTTCAAACTCCAGAGGGCGCCTTAGGGAATATTTAAGATTTCATTTCCAAAACAAAATCTCGTCTGCCACTTGTATAAGAATTAATTATTAAAGAAATTGAATAAAATCAGAAGCATTGCAAAGTATTTGAGTGTTACACTGTCCATCATGACGACGTTCTGCCAACACGACCAACTTAAAGATGTGTAGAATAGTTGCGTAAAATAAGGGGAAAAAAAGAGAAAAGAGGAACACCGATGTCTTAAAATCAAAATGTAATTTAACGTTTGTCAAAAAAATGGTATTAAGTACTCCGACCTCTGGCACACATGTACGCTCTTATATCATACATGTATTTGACCTACTGAGGCAAAATGAGGAATGTCCCCCAAAAGCTTGTTTTGAGTAATAGACGCCTAAAGTCGGACATACTAGAACAATTATGTCAAAATCGATATTGATTGTTTCATATTTTTGAGTGGCCAGGATATCCAAGATTCACACTATGCATTTTTGTTGGGAAAATATATCCACAAAAGTGGAAAAACTTTAGAACGTTTTGCACTGCCATTGGCGGTGCAATGCGTGTCTTTTTCTCAAAGCTGTTTTTCTCGAAATGCGTTAGAAAAACTTGGCAGGACAATATTGAAGTTCCTGCGTAATCATTATCTTGGGAATAAATTAAGATACAGAATAAATTAGGTATCATTGGAAAGCCAATGATTTGCGCTTTTCCATGATGTACATATTAATGTAAAATATCATAGGTGGGGGTTATTCTTCATTATGCTACATTATGCGCTTTTCCATGATGTACATATTAATGTAAAATATCAAAGGTGGGGGTTATTCTTCATTATGCTACGGCAGATAAAATTTTAAAGGAATAAATAATTGCCTAGCCAGTTTATACTAGTTAGTTTAAAACCAGACTGGGGCATGCATGGACGCTGATAATGGCCAGAGCTGAAGGCGAGGAACATTATCGGCGTACTTAACATTGACGGTTCTGGACAAACTTCACACCGTTGAAAAGCAGATGAATGGGCCAACCAGCATGCAAATCAGCAATGCTCTAGACTTGAAACTTTTGGAGAAAACCGCAGATGTAGTAGCTGATGCCACTAGTTTCGCTTTTGTGCAGTAAGTCCAATAGGGAGGCCTGTCAGCGCCAACCCGCCTGGCTCCCATGTATGGCAGCCTAAAGGTACCTTAACGTGGACAGATCTGGACAAACTTGGTACCGTTTTAAAGCAAATGAATGGGCCAAACAGCATGCAAATCGCCAGGGTGCTAGACTTGAAACTTTTGGAGAAAAGCGCAGATGTAGTAGCTGATGCCACTAGTTTCGCTTTTGTGCAGTAAGTCCAATAAGGAGGCCTGTCAGCGCCAACCCGCCTGGCTCCCATGTATGGCAGCCTAAAGGTACCTTAACGTGGATAGATCTGGACAAACTTGGTACCGTTTTAAAGCGGATGAATGGGCCAAACAGCATGCAAATCGGGAGGGCGCTAGGCTTGAAACTTTAGGGGAAAAGCGCAGATGTAGTAGCTGATGCCACTAGTTTCGTTTTTCTGCAGTAAGTCCCACAGGGAAGCCTGTCAGCGCCAACCCGCATGGCTCCCTTGTATCGCAGCCTAAAGGTACCTTAACGTAGATGGATCTGGACAAACTTGGTACCGTTTCAAAGCGGATGAATGAGCCAACTAGCATGCAAATCGGCAGGGCGCTACAGGCGAAAAATCAAAGTGCGTTGGGGGCCGCGCCACGTTAGGGTACGTCAACAATCTTCAAACGCAGACTAATAATGCGCGGAGGACTCTCTATATTACAACAGAGAAATTATCCGCTCCTTTTAAAAACTTACTCGTGTGTGCGAAAGTAGATGGAATTCCATCGATCGCCCTGTACGAAGGGTAATTACTCCTGTGCGTTGTGCTCTGTGATGTTGTCTTTCAACTCAAAGAAATTGCTGTAAAACTAAATGAGTTATAAATTTCAAACAATATCAAGAAAGAAATTACAAAACCTTTTCCCCAGAAAGGAGGAGACTTTCACAAAGAATGCTGCCCAAAAAAGAGAGTATGTTGGGTCAGACGTAATTTCGGGGATGGTATGGACAACTGTTGTAGCCTAGAAGTACATCGATAGGGAGGTTTGAAACAACAGTTTAAAGGTTAGACGTAGAAACCCACTACGAAGAAACTTTGAAAACCCCTACTTATCTAAAAAAAATAAATAATAATAAATGCCGTCACACTATAGCGCCGCATAAGTGACAATTCAGGTCCCTCAATAATAAAACACTTGAAGTGTGTGTATACGAAACAACGTTTGATAAATAAATTAAGGTACTCGAATCAAGACTAGCGCTCCAACGGCTCCATCATTTCGAGGATTTGTTTTACCCAGACTTCGCGCAAAAGTTACACGCAAACGTAAATGTTTAAGGGAAAAAACTGATACCTGGTGCACGTTTATATTCGACCATGTTCTTTCCGACAGGACGAAAGTTCGACAAAAATGAGTGTTTCGTATTGTTTATTAGCAATATTATTTTTATCTGGGTCACCGGAAATCCAATTAATCATCCCCTAAAATTTCCCACATTTATGGAGAAAATGTTGAAACACCTTGTTTGGTTACATCTGATGCGGTGATTTGTTGGCATAGCCTGCACGTATTTCCAGCAATGATAATAAAGCCATCGAAATTTGACCCAACAGGCAACATATTGACTGGCACCGCATGACATTCATATCAATGATCGATCCATTAGAATCACACTCTCGGAAAAATGGTCCGGTTAACTTTCTTTATGATGGGACTTGCGGTTTTGCCGAAGTCAATTGAGTGTGATCGGCTGACTGATAAGGTTTACGCACAAAACCATGAGCTAGAAGGCTGGCCAAACCATATTTTACAGCAGTGTGCCGGTAATGAGACTGAGACTTGAGCCTGCATGCTGCCAACATCACAAATGGCATCCCTACATTTGCTCGTGCAAATAGGACCCATTTTTGGACCCTAATTTTATCAAATCTGCTCTTAGATAATAGCCCAAAAGCGAGGAAGATGATCCTCTGCTATATTCGCACGATTCCACCGATTTTTAAACTAGACGGTCTCGTTTTTTTTACAAGAAATTGTGGGGTCACTTTTTATGTAAATGACTAGCGTAGAAATTTTTGAAACCCTAATCACTTGCGAATTTATTGCGCCCGCTGTCGGTCTTATTGTGTCATTCGGATATATCGACTGTCTGTCCCCCCACCCCACTCCCCCCCCCCTCACCACCATGCCAAAAAAAATGATAGTAATGAAATACTGCTTCAAAATGTGCTCGTTTATTCAGATATTCATGAAGCATAATATCCAAACTGATTGGATGTTTCCAAAGTGTCTTTCCCATTTGCAAAAGTTCTTTTGAAAAGCCTACTGTAGCATTAGAAGCACACTCTTGGAAAAAAAATGGTCCGGTCAACTTTCTTTATGATGGGACTTGCGGTTTTGCCGAAGTCAATTGAGTGTGATCGGATGACTGATAACGTTTACGCACAATACCATGAGCCAGTGAGGCTTTTGTAAAGAAGGCTGGCCGAACCATATTTTACAGCAGTGTGCCGGTAATGTCAGGTTCTACGTTTGTTTGAGACTAACACACTTCTATATCTATGGTAAATTGACCAATCGCGGTAGAATCGCGTCAACGCAGCTTGTGAAATAATGCCCAATTACATTATATATATAAATAGACGTGAAACGCGTAAAATCTGAGACAAACAAAACTAAGTGTACAAAAACTCCATGCATATAGGGTTGTCTAAGGGGCGTGGCTGAATTGCAAACTGCAATAAGTCAATAGTTTTCAGTGATCTATCTTTTTCATTATCATTAAACAAAGTGAAAATACGTTAAAAAACGCAAGGTTGTTTGAAAGCAAAAATTTCATGCATGACTATGAACTTGAACACTACTCAGCACATCAACGCAGTGAACGTATTGAAAGAAGCACAGCTGGGTTACCAAGAACAGAAGACACATATCTCCCACAGAACCCAATCGCCAGTGAAGACGATTTCCTTCCATTTTGAATTTTTGTATTCCTTTCATCAATTCTTCAGTGGGTTCAAACTTGGTAAACCATGCCAAAACTGAATTTATCATAATTTGTAGTCAACAGCAATTATCTAAACTGACTATATCTGGTATCAATGTGGGAGACTGTACTATATCACCTTCATTACAAGTTCGTAACTTAGGTTGCTGGTTCGACTCAAAATTGAGTATGCATAAGCAGATTACTACCACATGCTCCACTACTTTTTTATCACATTCACAATATCAAAAGAATTAGGAAATACTTGTCAAGAGATGCATTGATTACTTTAGTGCATGCTTTCATAACCAGACGCCTTGATTATTGCAACGGCCCATATTATGGCTTAGAAAATTCATAATTAGGTAAGCTTCAACGGGCTCAGAATGCTGCAGCAAGGCATGTTTGTGGAACCATCGTGGAACCATGTTACTCCTCTACTTAATCAGTTACATTGGTTGCCTATACAATCTCGCATACACTTTAAAATCCTTCTGTTGACCTTCAAGGCTCTTCATGATCTTGCTCGGCCAGATACATTATAGATATGTTGAAAGTTAAGGTCCATTCCAAGTATTCCCTGCAATCCAATGGGCGGTTGCTTTTAGATTATCCATCTGGGAGAATGCAAAAGACTATGGGGGATCGTGCATTTGCACGAGCCGCTCCCAGTTTATGGAACCAGCTACCGCCTGAAATTCAGTCTGTTCAGTCTCTAACAG